GGAGAAACTGACAATAGTAGCTGGAGCCATCAGTATCTCATTTCTCAATAATTAACAAAGCTAGACAGAAAATCATCCAGAATATAGTAGACTTGAAAACACTATCAACCAACTTGATCTACCAGACATTTATAGAACACTCTACCCTAGGACAGCACAGTCCACGTTCTTTTCAAGCATACACAGATCATTCTCCAGGACAAATGATATGTGAAACAATAAAGCAAGTTTATTACATTTAACAGTATTGACATCACACAAAGGATGTTTTCTGACCACAATGAAGAATGGAATTAAATTAGAAATCAACAGAATCAAATTAAAAATTAATAACTGAAAGAAATTTGCAAAGTTCCCAAACATTTGGACATGAAATAAGACACTTCTAAATCACAGAGAAGAAATCACAAAGGAAATTAGGAAATATTTTGAACTGAAATAAAACAAAAATGCAATGTATCAAAATTTAGGGGATGTAACCAAAGCAAGTCATAGAAATTGATGGTTTTAAATGCCTTTATCAGAAAGGAAGATACGTCTCAAATCAATAACTTAAGATTTTACCTTAAGAACCTAGGAAAAAGAGAAGAGCAAATTAAACCCAAAACAAGCAGAAGGAAGGAAAGACTAAAGTTGAGGTCATTGAAAAAGGAGACAGAAAAACAAGAGAAAACCAAGCTAATGAAAAGATCAAGAAAATCGACAAACTTCTTTTCAGGTTGATCACAACAAAAAGAAAAGATACAAAATTAGGAATGAAAAGAGGGAATATCATTCCTGAACAGGGCTTGGAGTAAGACAAGGCATTTAACAAAATTCAACACCCATTCAATATATTTTTAAATCTCATAACACACTAGGAAAAGGAGGAACTTCTTCAGCTTGTCAAAGGACATCTATGAAAAAACCTACAGCCAACGTCATAGTTAATGGTAAAAAACTGGATACTTTCCCCTTGAAATTGAGAACAGGGCAAGGATCTGTCTTCTGACCACTGCTATGCGACATGGTACTAGAGGTTCTAGCCACCAGTTCTAGTACACCAATTCTAAGTCACCAAAGGGGGGATAAAGCTTAAAGGCACCCAGACTGAAAAGAAAGACATAAAAAAATTTATTTATTTGCAAATGACATTATCTTGTTTATGGAAAATTCCAAGAAATCTACAAAAAAAAAATTACTCGAACTAATAAAATGAATTGAGAAAAAGTCATAAGATCAACACACAATAATCAATTACATTTCTACTAATAATAAACAATCTGAAAATGGAATTAAAATTTTCATAGACATGTATAATAGCAAAAGAATAATATGCCTTGGAATCAATTTAATTTAAAAAGTGTAAGACTTGTACACTGAAAACTTCAGGACATTATGGACAGACATTCCATTCAATGAATTAGATTTGGTACTTTTAAAATGGCAATTCTCCCCAAATTGATCTATGGATTCAACATAGTTCCTATTAAAATCTCAGTAGGCTTTTCTAAAGAAATTAACAAGCTAAAACTAAAATTTAGATGAAAATGCAAAGGATTCAGAATAGCCAAAACAACTTTGAAAAAGAAAAAGTTGGAGGAATTACATTTTCCAATTTCAAAGCTTACTTTGAAGCTGCAGTAATCGAGACAGATATGGTACTGGCATAGGTATCAACTTAAAAATCAGTGGAACAGAACGTACCATCCAGAAATTATGGTCAATTGATTTTTGACCAGGCTGTTAAGGCAATTCAACTCAATTCTTTTCAATAAATGATGCTAGAACAATTAAATACCTAAATGTTTTTTTTAAGATTAATTTAGGCCCTTACCTCAATAGCACACACAAAAATTAACCCAAAATGGATGATCACAGTCTTAACTGTAAGAGCTAAAACTATAAAACTCCTAGAAGAAAATCTTTATGACTTTAAGCTGGTAAAGATTTCTTACATACAACACCAAAAGCACGATCCATAAAAGAAAAAGAATTGATTGATTGGTTTCATCAAAATTCAAGTTTGCACTGCAAAGGACACCGTAAAGAAATGAAAAGACAAACCACATAGTGAGAGAAGATATTTGCAAATCATATACCTGATAGGAATCTGTGATCAAATTATATTAAGAAAGATGGTTGATTCAATGCTTGTACCTCCCCTTCCACCTGAAGTTCCAACAAATGATGATAAACTCAGAGGAGAATGGAAGAAGGGTGACGGCAAGAACATGGTGGAATATGAAAAACAGGTAGACAAGTGTCATCTATTTTCTTAATCAAAGAAGGTGAAACACACTGGCAACCTAGTTTACAGGCAGAACTCTGAAAGACTTGCAAATGGGATTCAGGACAGCAAGTAACACTGAAAGTGGCATGAGATTAAAACTGGACCTATTGAAAAGCTGCTTAAATAGCAGTTCAAGTGGACTGAGGACTTAGACATTTCACGAAAGAAAATACCAAAGTGGTCAATAAACAGGCATCATAGAAATGCAAACTGAAGCAACACACTCATCAAAGAGGCTAAAATTTAAAAAATTGACTATCAAGTGTTGGTGGGCAAGTAAGCAACTGAAATTCTCATACACTGTTGATACAAGTATAAATTGATGCATTGTTTAAAAACTAACAGTATCTACTAAAGTTGAGCATTCATACCTGTGATTCAGCAGTTCCACCCTTTTATATGCCCAACAGAAATGCATCAAAAGACCCATATAAAAACATTCATACACAATAGCCACAAAACTGGAACAACCCAAATATTTATCAATAGGAGAATGAATAAGTAAGTTGTAGAATATTTATGCAATGGTATACTACATAATAGCAAGCTACAGCTGCCTGTAATACCATGGTTAAATGTCATGTAAAAAGCCAATGCAAAAAGTTACACACATAATTCTGTTTATAAAAACATCTCAAACACATAAAACTAACCTATGGTTATAGAAATCGTAACAGTGGCTACCTCTGAGGTCTAATGACTTTAGGGATATTTAAAGTTTTGAGATGATAGAAATGTTCTGTCTGGATCTGGGTGGTAATTACTTGGGTGTGTTGATGTGTCCCATGTGTAAAAACACACTGAGCTGTACACTTATCATTTGTGCACTTTTTCTGTATATGTTATTCTTGACTAAAAATTTTACTTGAAGATAGAAGCAGACCTCTAGATTCCCATCTTAAAGCTGAGTAACCATCCCTACCCATTTTATGCCTTGTCTTTTTCTCTATGTTATTGTTCTGGACAATAGGTGCACAAAATTGAATGCATCAAAGTTCTCTTTTTGTGGCACCTATCACTATTGGGCTGTGCCAGGCTCTTAAAATTTTTTTGGTTCTCCTTTTTTCTCTATCCCGCATCTCATTTCCTTCAATCTCATAGATATCCACTCTTGCATATTTAGTGAATGACTTTGCAATTTATCATCCATATTTTCATACTCTTTTATCCATGAACAATATATAGTATTAGTTCTTTCAAGCTTTTAAATATATAGACTTGTGCTAGACATCTAGTCAACACTGTTTTTTGTATCTCTCTGAGTTGATATAGGTAGATCATGTCCATTTCCTACTAGCTACTGTAAAGTTTTAAAAGCATTGTATGTATATACTATTTTACTTATTCATTCTCTTATTAATGTATATTTGTTTCCTTCCCTTTGATATGTAACTGTTGTGATGGATATCTACTTATCTTTGAGTGACTGTGAGAATTTTTCTGTCTAAACTTATTTTCACTAAACATTCTCAAACAACTTTCTAGAATATTAGCATCAGTCTAGTTCCCATAGCTGTGTGGGCAAAAAAGTTATTTTCTCAAATCTAGGAAACATTTTATGTTGCCCAACCTAAATATTTTGCCAATCTGATGTGTGTAAAGTGGTATCTCATTTTCATCTGTATTTTTCTGATGACTAATAAAGCTGACATCTCTTTATATGCTAACTAGCCATTCGTGTGCCTCTATATGCCAACTATTAATTTTGTCAATTTTAAAAATTGGGAATTCCTATGTTTTCTTTAACCAGTTTATAATAGTTCTTTATATATTCTGGACTAGTATTATAGAAATTAATCATTTGTTGGTTGTTTAAGTTTCAAGACTATTTCCCAGTCTGTTGCCTTTCTTTATGAAAGGTGTTTTTCACTGAACAGAAATCTTTCATTTGATGGCAAATCCATCATTTTTTTCCCTTCTATGACCGTGCTACTTTGTATCTTAAGACATTCTTTCCCAACCCAATATTTAAAAGATATTATATCTCATTTTTTCTAATAATTTCCTGGTTTCACTTTTAAGTTTTAACCATTAATCCACCTGGAGTTTATTTTTGGATACATTATTTGCTATGGACTTTTCTTTTTTTTTCATATAATGGGCCCACCTATTAAATAATCTTTTCTTTCCCAGTCTGGTCCTCAAGACCTCCATATAATGCAGGGCCCTGGCAGTGGACTCCATTCTGTTCCATTATACATTCATCCTTTCCCTTATCACACAGTTTTAATGACTATGGCTTTGTGATACCCTTAATACATGGTAGGGTAAATTTCTCCTCTTTGGTCTTTGTTTTGAGAATTGTCTTGGTTAGCATGAACTTTTATTCCATATAAAATATAAAATCATACAATTTTCCAAAAGTTCTGCTAGAATATTTATTTCAATTACATTGGGCTAATACATTACTAAGTTGGGTGGAATTGACACTTTATAATTCCCATCCATGAAAATGGCATGTCTCCCCATTTATTCCGGCCTCTTTTTATGTCCTTGAAGCGAAGTTTAAACGCGTTCTCCATAAAGCCCGGGCGCATTTTTGTTACTGCAATCTCTGGAGACTTTTTATGTTCATTGGTAGTGTAAATATGTTATTTCCTATCTTACTTTCTATCGTATTTTCTAAATGGTTATTACTTACGTAAAGGAGCATCACTCACTTTTATTTGATGTTGCGTATGGTAACCTGGCTGAAATCTCTTTCAAGTTAATAGTTTGTTGATCCTCTGGTCCTCCGCTCTTCCCCAGCGAACACGCGGCGACCTCAGGACGCTCACGCCCGGGCCGGGCACGCCCCAGCGCACACCTGCTTCCTGCCTCCGGGCGCAGCGAATCCCCGCTCGGGCTGCGCGCGGCCGCGCGCTCGGACCCCGCAGGTGAGCCCCCGCCCCGCTGAGCACGAGCCCGAGGAGGCTCGCGCCCTGCCCGCCGTCGCCCGAGCCAGTCGCGGCGAGCGCTCGCCTGCCGGGAAGGACCGACCCGTGACCTGCCTCGCCGGGGCCGCAGCCCTGGGAGAGTTAGCGCCGGCCGCCGGGGAGCTTCTCCGCCAAGACGGCCAGGCGCTGACTGACGCGGCGCCGCGCCACGGTTCCCGCCCGGGGCCGCCCCGCCGCCCGCGCAGCCTCGAGCCTCGTCCCTCTGCGGCCCCGCGCCGCCCTGGCCTCTCGCCCATGGAGGTGGCCGCGCTGTACACGCAGGTAGGCAGTCGGCGCGACCCCGGGCCCGGCGCTAAGGCTGACTGTGCCCGGGCCGGGCCGCACCTGTGCGCGGGCGCGCGCGCCGCGAGAAGGGAGCCCCGGCCCCGGCCTCCGTCCGCGGGGAAGGCGCCCCCGAGGCCCTCGGGATGCGAGGACCGAGCGCCAGGGGCTGCCTCGCCGCCGAGTTTCCCGGCGTCCAGGGGTTGCGCGTCGAGCCCTGCGTCCCGCCGCCGCGCCTCTCGGCCTCCTCCCGAACCACAAATGGAATCTGAGTTGCCCACGGGGATGTAGTAATCTTAGACACGGGCAAATAATAGCACCCATGACCTCCCCGGTCTTCTTGGGAGCTCCTCTGAACAACTTGGCCCAGAAGCTTACGACCTGGGAAGTCAGGATGCTCTCTAGAATTACCAGGTCTTCAAGATGTCTGCACGTGCGCTTAAGTTCATCTGAGGCCTGAAGGAGCAGCTACCTGGCTGTGGCCCAGGCCTCACCCATAGTGGAAGTGAGGGCCTCTGTGAGTTCAGGGGTCCTGATGTTGTCACAAGCTCTTCATCTAACGTTTGCAGGGTGCCTACAGTTTCTATAGCATCTTTCACATACATCCCGACTCTGGGAATCCCTCTAGAGTATTCCTCTAAAAACCTCCTCTTCCACTGGGCCACGCGTTCCGCCCCTTATCTGGAAAGGGCAGCTTTCTCACACCATGCCCACAATCTTCTGAGATAAGTTGGGTTAATTATTAGGACAAAACGTGTGAAAGTGTTGGCCCTTGTGTAAAAAACCTATTCGAGTAGCCATAAAGCTTGACCCTCTGACACCCTAGTGGAGGAAATCTGTGGTCCCCAATATTCAGATGGATGACACTGAAATCCATCCATTTCCCCCAACACATGCCCTAGCTTTATGTTTAAAAATGCTTTTGCCCTAGATAAGAAGGATAGTTGTAAGTTTTCAGTGGCCTAAGCAAACTTTTATCTTCTACTTTGCTTAATAATAGTACAAATACCACACTTTCCCTTCTAATGTGTTTCCATTAACTAGAGTTGTAAATGGACAGTGTTAGAACTGCTTCTGTTCCAGAACAGTTTCACCAGGGAGAATGTGAGCCATTAGTGACCCAGCAGTGGTTCTTAGGTCTTCACCTTACTGGAAGTAAAAGAAAATTCTTGAACATAGTATCTTGGAAGATACTTTGGAGGACAAAGGAAAGTGTTGGTAATTAACCTATTTTAAGCAACAATTTTTCCTGAAGCAAAAGTACACAGGTGTGAGCTCCCATCAATATTTCACAAATATTTATGAAATACCGGCTCTGTACCAGGTGCAGTGTAGGAGAACTGATAAGGAAGAGTTTTCTAGAGATGAGCTTGGATGGACTGAAAATCTGAGAATCCCAGAGCCAGAAGAATCCTTGATGGTCACCCTACACACTTTGTACCCAGCTAGGCACCTGTGTCCCTGTGCTGCCACCTCTCTTGTAGGTGGTCAGTCAGCTCCCACTTTGCCAGTTCCAGAGGTGGGATACTCTCCCATTGGAGTAGATGCCCGTTTAGGCTATACAGAGCTTGCTTGGTTAAAGAGTTATTAAACTGAGTCCACATATGTCGCCAGCAAACAGGATTGGCCTAAGTCAATGTTTGTGGCTAGGGCCCCTTGCCACATTTAACCCCCAGGGGCATTCTGCTTCCCTGTATTATCTTAGCCACACAATGTTTTAAAACAACCTGAAGCCCATTCTGTATCTAGAGGCAAATAGTGACCCTGCAACAGGGTGCCTGGTGGGCTGTCCACTCAGGGATCAAGTGTAGAAGCCAGTTCCTCTGTGATAGCCGAGCCCACCCCATGATCTCCTGGCAGCCCCACTCACCCAGTTTATGCTGCTGTTACCTGCCTGACCTCTGTCTAATCTCCCTTACTGCATATGCCTTGGAGACAGGCATATTATCTCCCATAAAGCATTTATTTAGCACTTTATGCATATAAAACATTATGCTTAGGGGAGGTTAAGATTTTTTTTAAGTAGTAGTCTTGCCTCTCAAGGAGTTTTCTGATTAATGAGAAATGTCAAGTAATTCTATCTGCTGAGGCCTTCAAGACATGGAGGAGCCTGCTGGGCAATAGAGCTGAGATAGGCAGAGTTGTGGCTATCAAAGAGTTAGGTTGGGGCTCTATAGTCCAGATAAGATTTGGAGTGGGGGACAATCGGGGTAGTGTTTTAGAAAGTTGGGAATGCCAGCAGTGCCCATGGGGCTCTGTACCCCTGGACAGTGGCTGGAGTCAGGTAGCTGAATTCTCTGGTCATCCTAAGTGTCTAGGAAAGAATTTGGGCGGTGGTATTGGAAATGGAGGACGGAGGCAGAGCCCAGAGGGCAGGAGGAGGCAGGTGAGAATGCAGACATGTCCAGGTAGCGTGAGGGCGAGCAGGGAGCAAGGATGGCAGGGAGGTGAGCGTCTGGATGATTTGAGAGTAGGGTGTGCCATTGGCACAGCTAAGGATATCAGGAGGAGGAGAGATTTCTTAGGACAGTCACAAGGCAGATTTTGCACCTGCAGGGGTGGAGGTGGTGAGGGGGCCTCCAGAGGGCATTGCTCTGGCAGCTGGAGGATGGGCTGGGAGGCTTCTGCCCAGGAGTGGTAAGTGAGGCCCAGGCAGTGAGGACCTCACCAAGGGAGAGAAGGGCCGAGACCGGACACTGGGGAGTGCATCTGCTCAGGGCGGGAGAGGAGGCAGAGGGGCCGAGATAGAGCCCTCAGGGGAAAGAGGAGACGGAGAGCTGGCATCGGGAACCAGAGGACCAGGGCCTCCTCTGGGAGGAAGCCTGGTGAGGGTAGCAGTCGATGCTGGGCCAGGTGTAAAATGACCCATCTTGTTTCAAAAGCTCGTTGGCAATAAGCCTTAGAAATGTTCAGAGCATTTGACCTAGCAGTTCCACTGTTTGAAATCCCTCTGAGAAAAACCCCTGCCATGTTCAGACTCACTGTCAGCCCCGAGGTCCCGCCTCTTTGCATCACCGCCTGCTGCCCACTCCCGCTGGGCTCCTGCCCTGCCTGGCCTGCCTCCAGGCTGCAGCAGCCTCACCGCGCTGCGCCTCGGCACCCGCGGCTCCCTCTACTGGAAGTATCTGTTTGCTCTCCAGTGCCTGCACCTTCCAAATTCTGTGCGAGCTGAGAAATCTTGGCGGCCAGCCCCTCATCTGGGCACCCTTCACGGTGACTTGTAACAGCTCATTAACTCTCTGTCTCCCCTGTGGACCAAGAGTTCCTAGAGAACAGGGAGCAGTGGGGGCTCCACAAATGTTTGAGGTGTGCATGCACGAGTTTTCCTGCTTTCAGAGAGCTGTGGGCACAAGGAGGAGGATGCTTACTTTATCCTTGCAGTCGTGAGTACTTACGTGCCAAGCGCCGTCTTCAGGACCCTGTGTGCCTTCTTTCATTTAATCTGAATAAACGGTGCTATGTGTTAAATGTTGCTGTCCCGAGCTTAGTTCACCTCCTCCTGATGTCCGTAACTGTGCCAATGGCACCACCCTACTCTCAATCCGGTTCAGGTTAAGTAAGTTGCCTAAGGTTGCATAGAAGTGATGGAGGCTCGATTAAGAACCTGTGTTCTTAATACTTCCCTCTACCACAACCAACCTTAGTTCACCTTTAACACCTTCCTCCTGCTGCAGGGAGCTGACCTCTTCCCACACACAGAGGACTCTCAGGAAGCCCATGCACTTCATAGCGGCACGTTAGATACATATGTGTTCTTTCCTTCATGTAAGTAAGCTATTGGTAAAGCAATGAATGGAGAGTGAGGCGGTAGAGCTCTGCGGCATGCCTCTAGAGACTCAAGTTGTTCTTGCTAACCAATCAGGATTCGGGTATGACTGGCTTTAGCAACAGATTCACGAAATATATTATCCTTAAACTGTTTCTCTTGCTTGTACACGAGGAATTCATGAGACATCTTCACAGAAGTTCTGGTGAAACTCAGATGTGGAAGTTCAAAGAAGCATCTTGACTGGCAGTCCAGGGTCTCTGTCTAAAATAAGATCAAAGTTCAGTAGCTTTCCATTTGGCCATCTAAGCAGCTTTTAGACTTCTCTATATCATTAACAACTCTGGAAAATTAGATTTATCCATTATATATGGGTAGTTCAAAAGAGTTAAAAAATGACATAAAGACTAAAATACAACTTTTATTGGTTCAACGGAACACCTGGGGATTTGAATTCTTGTCCAGAGGATGCTTATGGAGGGCCAGCATGGGGAAGACATTATATTGGGTTCCAGGGCACAAAGATGAGGCCCTCGAGGCTCAGGTGCCGGTGGGGGTGGGGAGATGTGAAGTCATGCAGAGCCCTGGGGAAGGGGCCGAGAGAGCTCTAGAAAGGGAGCGTCTGTCCTGCCTGGCGGGCAGGGTGGCAGGGAAAGTGCCCCAGAGGAGGACAGTCTGGAGATGACTCGACTGCTCAGAGCAGTTTGCTCACCGGTGAGGAGAGGGGTGGCACTGGGGGTAGAAGGAACAGAAATGCACAGCACAGGGCCAAGGAAGAGCTTGGCATGTTCTAGAAACTGTTAGTGGTTTGGATGGCAGCAGGTAGAGGGTGGATTAAAAAGGGGTTGAGGCTCAAGTAGGAAAACTGGGGAGGCCAGCAGCTCCCCAGGCCTGGCTGTTCATCAGAATCCACAAGGGGGGACTTGTGAAGCTTCCTCTTGTCAGGCACCACCCATGGAGATTCTGATTCAGGTGTGGGTGAGGGAATCTGTGTGTCCACGGAAACCTGGTGCTCGACTAGCTTGAGGAGGCACTTGACTCAGCTGCCGGGGCAGGCGAGCTGACGATGGCCGGGGCAGTGGGGGCGGGAGGGCACGCCGGCGAGCCCTTTTTGAGGTGTAGGCTTCCCAGCGCCTGGTGACCACTCAGTTGTCGGGGCCGGGAAGCGGCGTGGCCCGGTTGTCTGACTTGGGCAGGAGAGTGGAGGAGGAAGGGCAGCAGGTTGGGGTGGGCATGGGATCGCTTGAGCTTGGAATTTGTGTGTCTGAGGGCATTTGGGGGCCAACATCTGGGAAGCAAACTGAACTGCGATCTAGACCTGTTGAGAGATCCGGGCCGGAGGGCTCCGTGTACAGGGACCAGGGTGCCAGGGAGCCATGAGAATGGATGAAAGTCCCCAGGAAGAGCCTGTCACTAGGAGAGGCTGGGAAGGACATGGAGGGATGGGGGGCATGTGGGGAGCCCTGGAAGGACCTGGAAGGACAGGCTGGCTGACCGGGAAGGGGGAGCAGCTAGAAGGAAACTCATGGCATTCCATATTTCCCGGAAAGTCTCCAAGCCCTTTCTGTGGCTGACGACAGAAGATGCCCTCAAACAGGCGGGCAGCATGAGAAAATGCCGCCCTCCTCTCATCTGAGCATGTGGGGCCGGCAGATCCGGCCTGTTCTGGAGGGCACAGCATGTCTAAGGGAGGGTCTCCTGAAGGCTTCATCTCATTTGGAGTCTCCCCTGAAGAGGGGCAGCGTCCCCAGGGAAGGCATGGGCGGTAGGCCTCTGCTCTCCTGGCCGGCCACAGGCCTGCCCCTGGGGCTGGCAGGCGGTCTGAGTCCCAGGCTCCTGGCCCACAGGAAGGAGTCACCCGGGGAGGTCATGTGAGAGCCAGTCCCATTGTTGGCGTGGACTGCGGTTGTTTGTCTAAATGCTGAGCAGTTAGGCCTTCCTCCACTTGGAGGGTTGCCTGTGGGCTGAGGAATGTGGGAAGGAGGGAGGGACAGAATGGGTGTAACTTTGTCGGGAACTGGGTAAACTTTGTCATATTTACTTAACAGGCTGGGTTTCAGTTGCTGGGCCCTGAGTGACTGGCTGCGTTGCCAGCATTGCTCCAGGCCTGGTGGGGCTTGGGAGGCCTGGGGAATCGGCTGAGGAGGCTATTTATGTTTCCTCCAGAAGAGAAGCAGACTTCTGGTTCCGTATGTCCTGTACTGCCAGCATGTCATACTACTGTGAGCTGAAACGAACCAAGGAAAACAGATCAGCCTGTGCACTCCTGACACTGGCTGCCTGAGAGTTCAGGCATCATTTCAAGTCCAGGTCATTGAATTATCTAGTGGTTCAAAGTAGGAGTCCCAGGCACTGGCTCCGTGGAGTCCAGGCTTTTGAGACCCTCTGCGTGTGGTGTTTGGTGAGTTACTGACCACTGGGCTTGAGTCAGGGGATCAGTAAAACAAAAGACTTGGATTGGCTTAGTGACTGTAACATTATTTTTTAGAGCCCCAGGCTTCCATGCAAGAACCCAAGGGACCTCGGCCTCAGCCCCCACCTCGGCTTCTACGAGAACACCCCCATGCTTCCCTGTTTCACACGGTGGCCTCTCGCCATTTCATTTGAAGTACGCTTTCTGCAGCTTTAAAAAGAACTTTGGCAGCAACTAGGAACGGACATCTTCCTGGGATCCTTTCAGGTCTAAAGTTCTGTAGTGACCAGTTCTTTATAAACTGGGATATCCCATTAATGACTTCAACTCTATGAGATTAACAGTCAATACTTGCAGTAGGAGACCTGGGATAGGGAATGGTAGCCCGTGGCAACTAGTGTGTGTGGGTGTGGGTGTGGGTGTGGGTGTCTATGTTCATGAGGCTTCCGACCACCTATTTGCCTAAGTGGTGTATCTAAGTGTGTGTCACTGCCCGTCTGTCATTCTCCCATTTGCTCTCTTTCTCTCCCAAATCTCCCCTGTCCCTTGCCACATTTCAGTGAGCTCTTGCTCTTGGCTAGCTTTCCAGGATTAAAGCAACCCCGATAACCTACCAAGTCATGGTGGATATCCAACCAGTGACACATATTTTTGTGTTTTTGTTAAGCGAGGCAATTTATTTTAACTAATGGATTACTAGATGTTCTTTAGTCTAGTGCTGGCACCTGCTCTTTGCTCTTTGTTTTACACATATTTTTTATTTCCTCCAGCATCTTACGGAAATTTTAAGCGTAACAACAGTTGTAAGAACTTTATTGTGAGCATCTGCCCCACCATCTAGATGTTAATCTGAACATTTTACCATATTTGTTGTATCATGTGTCTATCCATCTTTCTATCCTTCTGTCCAGCCCTCAGATCAGCTAATTTTTTTGAAACATTTTAGAGTAAATTGCCTGCATCGATACATGTCCTCCTAAATATTTTATTATGCATGTTGGGAAGAGTTCTATTTTGTTTAGTTCTTTGTGTAAAATTGCCAGACAATGAAAAACACAAATTTTAAGTCTTATTCTCCGAGGTTTGAAAAGTGCTGAACACCTGTGTAACCCAAACCCCATCAAGGTAGAGAAGATTGCCATGGTCCCAGAACATTCCCTGCATCCTGTTCCCTGTCATTCCCCAGCCCCACCTACCCCGAGAGGCAGCTAGTGTTCTGCTTTTTCCCACCTTACATTAGTTGTACGTGTTCTAGCTCTTTACCGAAAGGGACTCACATAGTATGTACTTGTTCATGTGATGTTTTTTTACCTCAGTCAGATGCTTTGGGAATTCATTCATGTTCTCGCTTTTATCAGTAGTTGATTCTTCTTAGTGATAATTAGTATTCCATTGTATGAGTATACCACTGTTTTATTTGCCTTTTAATTCATCTCATATTAATGGACATCTAGTCTGTTTCCAGTTTGGGGGTCGTTATGAATAAACTCACTGTGAGCATTCATGTCTTTTTGAGGGTATATATTTGATATTTGCCTTTAAGGATTGTTTATGCTGCTTATGAAAGTAACATTCGCACATTATAGAATATACATAAAACTGTAATGGAGCAAATTAAAATGTTATGATTTTATTGCCCAGAATTTTTTGGTACCTGAAAACTTCTGAATTACGATCTCTCAACCCAAAGGAATATTTTCTCACAGTCAAAAGGCAACTGCAGACCACAGGCCAGCTGTTCGGCTGGTGCAGGTCCAGGTCATCATCTGCTCCTGATGTTTGCCCTCAGAAGCAGAGAATCACAGGGGCAGTATCTTGCTCATGTTTGTCCCTAGAGCCAAGGATGGTGCCTGGTGCCAAGTCAGTGCTCAGGGACTGACTGTATTTGAAAGGATGGCAGTCACTTAGGCAAAAGGTCTCCTAATGGCACAAACGTTCCCTGTCCTGGGAGTTTATGTGCTGTACAGTTACCCTCAGAGAGTCCGTTTGTCCCAGTGAGGGGCTGTGCCGAAGAGCAGGATTCCTTTGGCCTGTGGGTGTGTGCGGAGGTGACAGGGAAGGGCCACTGTAGGTGGAGGCCCTGGGCCAGCTTTCTCTTGGCAGTGAGGGTTAGGTGTGGGTGGCCCTTCAGACTTCACCCAGATCTGCGATCCTGGGCTCTTGAGCCTCTGGGTCAAGGAGCTTTCCTGGGTGCTGCCTAAAGTCTCCATATGTGTATCTCGCTGCTTGTTCCTTTTGTCTTGGTTGTATCGCTGGACGTCAGGGTATCCTGCAGGGGTGCCCTTGATAGAAACCACTGATATGCGAGCAGAGAGATGCAGATAAATGCATACACTCATGCAGCCCCAGGTTGGAGTGGCTGCGTTAGTAGGAAGACCACGACGACTAAGAGGAGATGGCTTTCCTTCTGGGTAAGCCAGCACCATGCCAGACATACGTCATAGATGCCTACAAAGTGTTAATGAATGAATGAACAAACAAATGAATGAACTGAAGGAGAATGTGAGATGTGGGGTCTGGGTGGGAGAGATTAAGATGCAGACAGCCAGTCATGTTCCTAGATGACAGCTGCAGTGTAAGGACATGGCGGTCACCTTGTCTTTATCGTGAGCAGCATTCAGGTGCCACTGGTGGCTTTTGGAGTGAGACCGCCCCTTTCTCAGAGTGTGAGTGTGGAGTACTGGATGCATGTGTTAGTCTTTGGGCTGCCATAACAATACACCTCAGCCTGGGCAGTTTAAATAGGAGACATTCTCTTTCTCATGGTTCCCGAAGCACAGAAGCCCAAGGTCAAGCTGCTGGCAGAGCTGGTGTCTGGCGAGGGCTTCTCCCCCGGGGCCCCTTCTCACTGCGTGTTCGCGAGGTCTCTCTTCAGCACGTATGGTGGGGATTAGGTCTTAAACGTAGGAATTTGAGGGGAGGACGCAATTCACTACATAGCAACATGGTTCTACCTGAAGACTTGTGTGTCAGTACTGAGCAGAGGTACCATTTGCATTGGGAATTGAGCGTGGCAGCTGTATCTGGACTTGTGCCTTTCCCCTGGAGGGGATCCTCGGCTGCTGACCAGTGTGGTAACTGTAAGAATGCTGTGATAACAATACTTCATAGCATTTTGCAAAGTACTTTCAACTACACAGTCTAATTTAGTCTTCCAGCAAACATATGAAGGTGTTCTTATACCCATTTTACGGATGAGGCACTAGAGGCTGAGTGTCTGACCCGGAGCCCCATCGTCCATCAGTGGCAAATCAAATCCCTCTGCTCCAGCTCTCATAGAAGGCACTCAGATTCTTCTGTCAAGGGACTCACAGATTTTCTTCTCAGGCTTTCAGTTTTCAAGGTGCTTTTGGGAGGCTTTGGGAATTCCATTGCCTATAAAAATCAAGCAGGTAAGTCTGATGCATTGCAGATATGCTAAAGATTACCTCATAAGCACAAATTCAGTAGAAGTGTTCCTAATGAGAGAACTGACCTAGTGGACAGAAGGAAATCTCCCTGAGTCTAATCCTCTAACAGTCTGTGTTTTTGTTTTTGAAGTGCTGGAATTAAGCTTGTCTTATTCTGTTGGTCAGTACAACAGGGTTTGGATTCCCAGTCCTGAAGAAGTTTGGAAGTCTGCTGAAATAGCGAAGGACTACAGAGTCGGCGACAGAGTCCTGCAACTCCTGCTGGAGGATGGAACGGTGAGGGTGCTTGCTAGCTATGGCCACCCTCATGGAAAGGGCAGCTGGGCTGCGTGCGGAGGGGGCTGGTGGTCCCCAGGAGGGTACGTGAGCTGGTGCTGTGGGTCCAGTCATGGGTTTGTACCATCCCCTTCCAACCCCACACTGCCTAATGAAGGCACCGAGTGTGCCTTCCACCCACAGGGTCTCTCTCTGTCAGGAGGGGCAGTACACAGGGCTCTGCCCTGTGCTGCATTTCCAGGGATTCAGCACTGTTAGGAGAATGTGGAAAGGTGGTTAGCCATTTTGGTTCAGGGGTCTCAGCACAGAGACTGGGCAAAGACGAGAAACTTGGAGGGAAATGACTTGAGCCCCAGGCATAAACTGGTAGAGAAAAACCAGATGGGGAGAGGAGGATAGAAGATAAAATGGGAGAGGAGGGTTTGGGAGGAGAACAGAGGGAGAGAAGGTCTGTGGGTGGATAGAAATCAATAAGAATTGGGACCAACAGGAGGAAGTGTGACAGGGTGATTAGGGGGGTGACGGGAGATGGGACAAGAGGGCAGGAGCTTTGGGTGACACCGAGGAGCCTGTGTGGGCAGGATGAGCTCCAGCGGCTGTTCCTGGGGTGCAGAATGCCTCTCAGAGGCTGGGCGTGTCTTTTGATGTCCAGCTTCTGCCTATTTTTGCCTCTGCTTTCAGCATCCATCATCAGTTGTCCTTTCCCCCCGTAGCTGTAATGACATCCCACTGAATCCATAACTAGGGTCACCTTAAGTTTCTAGAATCAAGTATCTGCATGCAAAGCTGGACAAAGGTTCATGATCCACATGGATCTCAGAGTTGGTCTGGGGGAATATCATGTGAAATTAAAATGCAATTCCCAAGGCATGTAAATGGCATCTGGAGAGACAGGACACAGTATTCCCAATTAGACTGTCAGGGATTTGGGAGTCATTTCCTGAGATCCTGGGAAGGGAGATGAACGTAGTAGTAAGGGCACGTCCTGTAAAATCAGATTATCTGTATTCATATCTTGCCACGGCCCTGTGCCAAGACTGGAGTTTATGTGCTGTACAGTTACCCTCAGAGAGTCCGTTTGTCCCAGTGAGGGGCTGTGCCGAAGAGCAGGATTCCTTTGGCCTGTGGGTGTGTGCGGAGGTGACAGGGAAGGGCCACTGTAGGTGGAGGCCCTGGGCCAGCTTTCTCTTGGCAGTGAGGGTTAGGTGTGGGTGGCCCTTCAGACTTCACCCAGATCTGGGATCCTGGGCTCTTGAGCCTCTGGGTCAAGGAGCTTTCCTGGGTGCTGCCTAAAGTCTCCATATGTGTATCTCGCTGCTTGTTCCTTTTGTCTTGGTTGTATCGCTGGACGTCAGGGTATCCTGCAGGGGTGCCCTTGATAGAAACCACTGATATGCGAGCAGAGAGATGCAGATAAATGCATACACTCATGCAGCCCCAGGTTGGAGTGGCTGCGTTAGTAGGAAGACCACGACGACTAAGAGGAGATGGCTTTCCTTCTGGGTAAGCCAGCACCATGCCAGACATACGTCATAGATGCCTACAAAGTGTTAATGAATGAATGAACAAACAAATGAATGAACTGAAGGAGAATGTGAGATGTGGGGTCTGGGTGGGAGAGATTAAGATGCAGACAGCCAGTCATGTTCCTAGATGACAGCTGCAGTGTAAGGACATGGCGGTCACCTTGTCTTTATCGTGAGCAGCATTCAGGTGCCACTGGTGGCTTTTGGAGTGAGACCGCCCCTTTCTCAGAGTGTGAGTGTGGAGTACTGGATGCATGTGTTAGTCTTTGGGCTGCCATAACAATACACCTCAGCCTGGGCAGTTTAAATAGGAGACATTCTCTTTCTCATGGTTCCCGAAGCACAGAAGCCCAAGGTCAAGCTGCTGGCAGAGCTGGTGTCTGGCGAGGGCTTCTCCCCCGGGGCCCCTTCTCACTGCGTGTTCGCGAGGTCTCTCTTCAGCACGTATGGTGGGGATTAGGTCTTAAACGTAGGAATTTGAGGGGAGGACGCAATTCACTACATAGCAACATGGTTCTACCTGAAGACTTGTGTGTCAGTACTGAGCAGAGGTACCATTTGCATTGGGAATTGAGCGTGGCAGCTGTATCTGGACTTGTGCCTTTCCCCTGGAGGGGATCCTCGGCTGCTGACCAGTGTGGTAACTGTAAGAATGCTGTGATAACAATACTTCATAGCATTTTGCAAAGTACTTTCAACTACACAGTCTAATTTAGTCTTCCAGCAAACATATGAAGGTGTTCTTATACCCATTTTACGGATGAGGCACTAGAGGCTGAGTGTCTGACCCGGAGCCCCATCGTCCATCAGTGGCAAATCAAATCCCTCTGCTCCAGCTCTCATAGAAGGCACTCAGATTCTTCTGTCAAGGGACTCACAGATTTTCTTCTCAGGCTTTCAGTTTTCAAGGTGCTTTTGGGAGGCTTTGGGAATTCCATTGCCTATAAAAATCAAGCAGGTAAGTCTGATGCATTGCAGATATGCTAAAGATTACCTCATAAGCACAAATTCAGTAGAAGTGTTCCTAATGAGAGAACTGACCTAGTGGACAGAAGGAAATCTCCCTGAGTCTAATCCTCTAACAGTCTGTGTTTTTGTTTTTGAAGTGCTGGAATTAAGCTTGTCTTATTCTGTTGGTCAGTACAACAGGGTTTGGATTCCCAGTCCTGAAGAAGTTTGGAAGTCTGCTGAAATAGCGAAGGACTACAGAGTCGGCGACAGAGTCCTGCAACTCCTGCTGGAGGATGGAACGGTGAGGGTGCTTGCTAGCTATGGCCACCCTCATGGAAAGGGCAGCTGGGCTGCGTGCGGAGGGGGCTGGTGGTCCCCAGGAGGGTACGTGAGCTGGTGCTGTGGGTCCAGTCATGGGTTTGTACCATCCCCTTCCAACCCCACACTGCCTAATGAAGGCACCGAGTGTGCCTTCCACCCACAGGGTCTCTCTCTGTCAGGAGGGGCAGTACACAGGGCTCTGCCCTGTGCTGCATTTCCAGGGATTCAGCACTGTTAGGAGAATGTGGAAAGGTGGTTAGCCATTTTGGTTCAGGGGTCTCAGCACAGAGACTGGGCAAAGACGAGAAACTTGGAGGGAAATGACTTGAGCCCCAGGCATAAACTGGTAGAGAAAAACCAGATGGGGAGAGGAGGATAGAAGATAAAATGGGAGAGGAGGGTTTGGGAGGAGAACAGAGGGAGAGAAGGTCTGTGGGTGGATAGAAATCAATAAGAATTGGGACCAACAGGAGGAAGTGTGACAGGGTGATTAGGGGGGTGACGGGAGATGGGACAAGAGGGCAGGAGCTTTGGGTGACACCGAGGAGCCTGTGTGGGCAGGATGAGCTCCAGCGGCTGTTCCTGGGGTGCAGAATGCCTCTCAGAGGCTGGGCGTGTCTTTTGATGTCCAGCTTCTGCCTATTTTTGCCTCTGCTTTCAGCATCCATCATCAGTTGTCCTTTCCCCCCGTAGCTGTAATGACATCCCACTGAATCCATAACTAGGGTCACCTTAAGTTTCTAGAATCAAGTATCTGCATGCAAAGCTGGACAAAGGTTCATGATCCACATGGATCTCAGAGTTGGTCTGGGGGAATATCATGTGAAATTAAAATGCAATTCCCAAGGCATGTAAATGGCATCTGGAGAGACAGGACACAGTATTCCCAATTAGACTGTCAGGGATTTGGGAGTCATTTCCTGAGATCCTGGGAAGGGAGATGAACGTAGTAGTAAGGGCACGTCCTGTAAAATCAGATTATCTGTATTCATATCTTGCCACGGCCCTGTGCCAAGACTGTGCCAGTGAGCCCCTCACTTTCTCCATGTGTAGAATGCAGTAGATGGCATCACAGGGTTGCTGAAGATCAAATGAGATAATCCATGGGTGCATGTGCAAATGCAAGACCCAGAGCGAGAGGACGCTGCTGTTCCCACTTAGCCTTTTCCGTCAGTAACTCCCGGCAGCACGTGCTGAGTGCCTCCTGTGCATGGTCAAGGTTCTGATCAGGGATCAGATGGCTTTGGCTGGGGAGTAAAAGTCTCCAGACAGCAGCTGCAATGGCTGTTCACTGCTTCAGCAGGGCTTCAGGTGGTGACGTTCCTGGCCCTGACCTGGCTGCCCAGGTGAGGAGGGGGAGAGGGAGGCAGGAAAGAGGGCAGGCAGCCAGACCGCTCTTTGACTTAACTCTCTGTCTGTACCATGAGGGACAAAGCCTGTTTTGTGCAGGAAAATGTCATCTCTGCCTCCACCTGTCAGTCTGATGTCCTTCATGTTTTTTCCCATGCCCTCCTCCCCAAAGACTGTTCTGTTGATCTTTCTCTTTCTCTGATTCTCTCACACACACATACACACAACACACAGTGACTGAGCTGGAAAAGGAAGTTGTTGATTTAAAATAGATAACAGAAGAACTCAGACAGGGAAAGCAAAAATTATGTATGAGCAGCATTTTTCATGATTTTATTCTCAAAACAAAAGTATGGTGATTAAGAATATTTTGCCTGCAGCACTATTTACAATCTCCAAGAAATGGAAGCAACCTAAGTGTCCATCAGTAGATGAATCGATAAAGAAGATGTGGTGCATATACACAATGGAATATTATTCAGCCATAAGAAGAAAACAAATCCTACCATTTGCAACAACGTGGATGGAGCTAGAAGGTACTATGCTCAGGGAGATAAGCCAGGCAGAGAAAGACAAGTACCAAATGATTTCACTTATCTGTGGAACATAAGAACAAAGAAAAAACTGAAAGAACAAAACAGCAGCAGACCCACAGAACCCAAGAATGAACTAAGAGTTACCAAGGGAAAAAGGACTGGGGAGGATGGGTGGGAAGGGAGGGATAAGGGGGAAAGTGGGGCATTATGATTAGCACACATAATGTAGGCAGGGGGAGGGGGGACAAGGGAAAGGCAGTATATACAGAGAGGACAAGTAATGATTCTGTGGCATCTTACTATGCTGATGGACAGTGACTGTAATTGGGTATGTGGGGGGTACTTGATAATGGGGGGAGTCTGGTAACAATAATCAAGTAATTGTACATTAATGATATCAAAAAAATAATAATATGCTGCCTAACTGGACCCCTATCTTACACCACTCACAAAAGTTAAGTCAAAATGGATTAAAGACTTAAATGTAAGACCTGAAGCCATGAAACTCGTGAAAGAAAACATAGGAATAAAAACTCCTTGACATGGATCTTAATAATGATGTTTTTGGGTGTGACACCTAAAGCACAAGCAACAACAACAAAAGGAAGTAGGGTGACTCCATCAAACTAAGAAGCTTCTGCTCAGCAAAAGAAACCATCAACTAAGTGGAAAGACAACCTAGGGAATAGGAAAACATCTTTGTAAAGTCTGTGTATCTGATAAGGGGCTAACATTCAAACATACGAAGAACTCATACAACTCAGTAGCAAAAAAACAACCCAATTGAAAAAATGGGCATATTTTTCCAAAGAAGACATACAGATGGCCGACAGGTACATGAAAAGCTGCTCAAAATCACTAGTCATTAAGGAAATGCAAATCAAAACCACAATGATGTATCACCTCACACCAGTCTGAGTGGCTAACATCAGCAAGACAAGACGTAAGTGTGAAGAAAAGGGAACACTCATGTGCTGTTGGTGCAACTGTAAATGGGTGACACCATTGTGGAAAACATGGAGAATCCTCATAAAATTGAATTACCATATGATCCAGCAATTCCACTTCTGGGAATATATCCAAAGGAAACAAAAACACTAATTCAAAAAGATGTCTGCACCCCCACATTACTGCAGTATTATTTACAGTAGTCAGAATGTGGAAGCAACCTTAGTATCCATTGATAGGTGAAAGGATAAAGTTGTGGATATATACACAATAGAAGATTATTCATCCAATAAAAAATGAGGAAACCTTACCATTTGTGACAGCATGGATGGACCTTGAAGGCTTTGTGCTCAGTGACATAAACCAGAGAAAGACAAATAGTATATGATATCCCTTATATGTGGAATCTAAAACAAAATAAAACAAAAACTCAGAAAAAGATCAGACTGTGGTTACTGCCATAGGTGGAGAATGGAGGGAGGCAGAATAGGAGAATGGTGATCAAGGGGTACAAACTTCCAGTTATGAGTAAGTACTAGGGATGTAAGGCACAACGGGAGGGCAATAGCAAACACTGCTTGGAGTTACGTAGGACAGTTGTCAAGAGTGACTCCTAAGAGTTCTTCACTGCGAGGAGAAAGGTTTTCCTTTTTCTTCTTTCTTTTCATTGCATCTGTATGAGATGATGGGTGTCAACTGAGCCCAGTGTGGTGATCATTCCATAACATACACAAGTCAAACCATCATGCTGTATGCCTTAAGATTATACAGGATACATGTCAGCTATTTCTCACTAAAACGGGGAGAAAAAAATGTTCTGCTTGGGGCAGGTCCACAAATAGAGTTGCATTGCTGGCGGAGCAGGTAGCTGCTCTGAGGATGCGCACCTAGCTGTCTCCACGTAGACTGCCCTGAGCTGCTCTCCCCATGCAGAACAGGCCAGCAACCTGCAAGCCACCAAACCAACCCCGGTCAGCACTGGGCACCGGGACGCAGGCCTCAGAGCCCGACAGGCCCTACTGACTGTGGCCTTGGACATGGAGCACAGCCTCTCAGCTGTTTCCTGAGTGAGTTAGGATAGTCGTGCCTTGGAAGGCAGCTCTCAGGATTAAGTGAAATGTCTAGTGCGGAGTGCTTGGCATAGGGTCTGCACGGGGGCACTTGCTAGGGGGCAGCTGGGCCACCTTGTAGAGCTGTTCCAGGGCCAGGTATCAAAAGGAGGGCAGTGTAGGAATGTAGAAGGTAAACAGTTTGCTGGGTGACCTTGCTCAAGTCACTTCCCCAAGATGTGAAGTCAAAGTGAAGGAAGTTAGAATAGGTAGGCATAGGTTCCTTGATGCTCTGACATTTAGAAGGCCCTGTTCTCTGGCATCAGCACCACAGGGCATGCTGGCTGGCCTTCATCCCACTGAGGCAGCTACTTTAGGAATACCAAGTGAGCTTCAGCAGGAGAGGCCCTCCTGGGCAAGTTACTAGCCCAGGGCGGGTGATGGGAACAGGCAGTCTTGCAGGGCAGCCATGACACACCACCACTCACGCGGGCTCCTTTGCACGCTTTTCATACCAAGTGTGTCAACTTCCAACAGAGATTCGGCAGTCTCAGAGCTGCCAGGAATCTTAGGGCACTGTGTCATTTTAGCAGCAGCATCGTGTTTTCAAACAAAAACTTCCATAGCACCCAAAATCTAAACTCTATGCAAGTGGAGTCCTTGTGGTAGAATTGGGCATGGGGTGGGTGTCTGGTTCCTGTCCATGGGGCTTCCCTGCCACCCTTCACTGAAGCCTCTGTAGCTCTGGGGACCCTGATCTGGTTCAGCTGGTTCAGCTAAAAGAAGAGAGGCCCAGAGAGGGTAAGTGATTTGCCCTAGGACACACAGCCAATGCCCTGGTCCCCTAGCTCCCACTTTCCAGGAGCCAGTCATGAAGATTATTTTCTCACTGCTCTGTATAAGTTTGTTTTTCAGTGTCAGGGATCACTCTGAAGTGGGGTGGCTAGAACGGAGGAGGGTGGTTCAGTAGAAGCATGCATCTTTTACTCCAGAACTTTCATTTCCCCCTTGTCCATAGGAACTGGACTATTCCATTGATCCAAAAGCCCTGCCTCCTCTTCGGAATCCCGACATCCTCGTGGGTGAGAACGACCTCACCGCCCTCAGCTATCTCCACGAGCCGGCGGTGCTCCACAACCTCAGAGTCCGCTTTGCAGAATCCAAGCTCATTTACACCTACAGTGGTAAGGAGCAAGACTCCAGGAGGGCAGGAATGACGATAAAACTTAAGTCCAGAGCCTCCTGATTACACTGCCATTAGTTTATATTAGAAATATCGACTTCTGTCAGAATGTGTAATCACACCTAAATGTTTGTCCAGACTTCTATCTAAAAGGTGCAGACATTTGATCTTCTAGAGTTTGTTATAAAAAGAAGTGTCTAGTTGGGGAGAATTTTCAGCAAAAACTACAATTGGACTACCAACAAAAATATGTGTGGATAAAGCTTGTGTTTGAATTTCCCATTGGATTTGATACATTTATTACTTATAAGGGGCAATGATATTATCATTATATTTACTTTGAGAATTGCTAAAGCCCTTCAGTTTCAGGGCATGTCCACCTGCCGTCTCACCTAACCCTCAGTCACCTGGAAGGGGAGATAGCGTCGGCAGGGAACTGAGATCTGTGACCTTAAGTGACCGGCCCAAAGCCACACGGAAGGTTTAATAAGGGGCAGGGCTGGGGTTTCAAAAGAACTTGGAGAAGTGAGTGGCAGTAAGAAACCCATCACGGCATCTGACATCTTTCCTCAGGAATCATTTTGGTGGCCATGAATCCTTACAAGCAGTTGCCGATATATGGAGATGCCATCATCCACGCCTACAGCGGGCAGAACATGGGTGATATGGACCCACACATATTTGCCGTGGCAGAAGAGGCATACAAGCAGATGGCCAGGTAGCCTCCCACCAGGCAGGGCTTCCCGTTCTTCCAGCGCTCCAGCACTTGCTGGGTCCTCACAGTGGAGGGGACGTACCCAGCTTGGTCTCACTGAAAGGGACCCTCAGATGGGAGGGGAACTGGGGGAGCAGACTGCCTCTGGTGAGCAGCAAATAAATGTTACATGTAACTTCTCTGAACTGAATTTCCTGGATTGTGCTCCTTCTAGGTGGTCAAAAGTCCATCTTAGCCATCTGGGAATAGCAGATGTTTGTCTTGAAGTGTATTTGGTTGGAGGAATATTGACTCATTCTTCATTGTGAGACATTTAAACTTTTTTACCCATCCAAGGCATCAGGGTCTGTGATAGATGAGCACAAGTTTTAGCTGTAGGAGATTTTGGCTTTTATTCTAATTTTGCTGCTTGCTTTTGGTATGGCCTTGTGGAGTTCTTGTTTTGCTAGCAAACATTTATAAAAATCCTCCTTTGGACCAATGACCACGCACACTTGTTCTCATACATCACACTGAGTGTGCTCATCATAGCCTGTGATGGAGATGTCTGAGCAGCAAACTGGGATTTCAGACCTCCCAGCAAGTAGAAGGCAGAGTTGGGATTTGTGCTCACATTTTTTGACTCTACATATAATTTCTTTTTCCCATAACTATCCTCTTTTGCTTCAATGTCCCCATCTGAATACTAGAAATAAAAATACCATCTTATCTTCCTAGATACTTACAGTTTACAAAAGAACTTTCACAGACAATGGTCCCCTCTGAGACTTACAACATCCCTGTAAAGTCCATTGAGGTGACAACATTCCTCCATTGCACAAATAGAAACCTGAGACGCAGGACCTGGACCTGCTAATTACTTACTGCATAGTTCTGGCACAGCACCTCACTCCCTCAGCTTTTGTGTCTTAATCTGTGAGCTGGATGCTCAAAGAATACCCATTCTAAGTTCCACTGCTTATAATCAGGAGAAAACAGTGGTGGTTTAAGCAAGGTAGAAGTGTGTGGTTCTCTCTTGCAGGGAAGTCTGCGCTAGCACAGCTTGTCTGCCAAATCGTCAGGGACCCAGTGCCTTCCAGCACCCCCGTCCCTAGTGTGGGACCCTTGTCCTCAGGGCCATGCTAGTACTTAGCTATCTCCTCCATTTTCTAGGTGACAGAGCTTCCAAGTGGAAGCATGTGCCCTTCCTGATTAAGGAGACTCCCCAGAAGCCCCTCAAAGCACGTCTGCTGAAAGCTCGTTGGCCAGAACCTACTCACACAGTCCTGCATAGTTGCAAGGGAGGCTGGGATATGTAGTTTTTCCTATGGGCAGAACATGCCTGCTAAAAATTGGGGCGTAATTCCTAAGAAGGAAGGGAAAGATGAATACTGGGTAGAGAGTTGCCAACTAGTAACCCAGTTACCTTGGTTTCTGCCTTAAGTTTCTTTCCAATTCTGAAACACTGGTTCTGGATTGATTTGCCATGGTTTCCTGTTGGTCTCCAGGGCATCTCCATGGTTAGAGTCCATGTCTTACACCTGATGGGCCAGGCTGCTCCTGGGCATCGGTGGTATGAGCTTGTTAGAGCTGCGAAGCAGAGCCAGGTCCAAGGTTGGTGAGCCAGTTTTCTGAGGTCTGGCTCGCTGTGACAGCAGAACCAATCATAAGGCAAGCTTATGTCTGACTTGGGCTGGTTGGGAGTCAGGAGAGCCCAGCTTTTCTAACCCCAGCCCCATTCTACCTGGCCGAGGAGCATTGCGAGTGCCCTTCATCTCCTCAGAGTCTCAGCTTCCTCTCTCGGGCCAGGAGCTCTCTGTCTAAGGAACCCCTGCATTCACAGGGAGGCTCAGTCGGTACCCTGGGGCAGGTCACTTCCCCTTTCTGAGTCACTTTGTTTTCCTCATCTGTAAAGTGAATTATGTGGCATAGGATTTTTGTGAGGCTAAAATGAGAATCCCAGCAAAGTACTCACTGGGCACCTGGTGTGTAAGTGGTGCTAGATACAGAGAACAGCATTGGAATAAGGTTCTACTCTTATCATTTTACGACATGGGAAGTTCAATGCCTGTTTAAGATCTCTCAGTTAGGTAGCAGAGCATGCTGGCTTACTCAGCACATACGTTCCAAAGCATCTGTTGAATAATTGCTCTCCAGATGTCTTCAGAACATTTTTATATTTAAGTGGGAATACTGAGAAGTGGTCAGCCCAGGCTTGAGACTGCTGTTCTTAGAGGCCCATTTGCAGGGTAGGCCCATGGCCAGCTTCTGGGAACTTGGATTTCAGGAAGTTGATAGGAGTGGCTCACGTACCTGAGCTATTTGCATGAACCATGTGGTTCAGGCTCAACACCTGCTTTCCTACTGGGCATCTGGAATTTTGGTATGTGCTCGGCAGAGGATGCCCATGTAATCAACCCTCAGCAGACACCCTGGGCACCAAGTCCCTAATGAGTCCCTGGTAGACAACATTTCCCATGCATTGTTACATCTTACTGCTGGAGGAATTAAGAGTGTCCTGTGCAGCTCTGCTGGGAGAAGGCTCATGGAAGTTTATGCTCAGTTCCTTCTGGACTTGGCCCTGTGTGCCTTTTCCCTTTGCTGATTTGCTTTGTATCCATTTGGTGTAGTAAATCTTAGCCATGCCTGTGGCTGTGGACAGAGTTCTGTGAGTCCTCCTGGCAGTTTGTTGACCTGGGCTTGGTCTTGGGGACCCACAGTACAGGGGACGTAGCAGGAAACAAAGCTGGTGTTCAGCATGATCCCACAGTGAAAAGTACTAGAAGGAAATTCACTGGAAGGCTAACAAGTTACTTTAGAGTGATGAAACAAAGTTTCCCTTCTCCTGGCTTGTCTGCATTTTTCTTACTTGAGTAGTATATATTGCCTTTTTAATAGGAAGAAATGAACATATAAAAAATCCTTTGATTTCTTTGCTTTAGAAACAATAAAAATCAGTCAATAATTGTAAGCGGGGAGTCAGGAGCTGGAAAGACAGTGTCGGCTCGCTATGCCATGAGGTACTTCGCCACCGTCAGCAAGTCGAGCAGTAACGCCCACGTGGAGGACAAGGTCCTGGCATCGAACCCCATCACCGAGGTGTGAGCCCTGCCAGCAGCGGGGGGCAGGGCAGGGTGCGGTGAGGGAGAGGGGGCTGCGTCTCTGTGTGTTGTCCTGACGAACCTGAGTTCCCACCCTGTAAAGACCAAAGAAGCGAGGGCAGGAAGGAGCCAGGCGGTCTGTTCTCCTGCGGGATTTGAAAGAGGTTAGGGCGGAGATTGCTGCTTCTAAGGTTCTCCTCTACCTGCCGGGCTAGAGATTCTGCCGTGAGTTTCAGAATATCCCCAGGGAAATTCCTCAACCACGGAAATCGCTGGTACACGGAGAGCAGTGGTGTTCTCCATCTGGCACAACTTTCCTGAGCTGGTTGTGAAATATTCATGATTTTGTTTTTTTGAGAGCTCATTGTAAACCTTTGGTAGTTTGAAATCAGTCCTGGTGGGAGAATTTACACCTTACAAATCGGCAAAGCCGGGTGTCCAGGCTCCTCCTCCTCCTGAGAGCTGACACCCCAGCAGGCCCCTGACAGGGCCAGAGGGCCGCAAGTCCAGCCACTGAGGCACAGGGAGGGCCCAGAGGCCAACTCTGGGGCTTTGTGGACTGGGAAGAGGGTTGATTTGGATTTATTTGGAGCATAGCAAATAATTAAGAACATTAGATTTCTAGACCTGCCCTCTTGTTTTCTCAAAGCAAAATCACCAATGAATATTTATGAGATCATCTATTCTATTTAAGCCACTGGACCAGATAATATGGGAAGTAATGGAAAAGAATAAGATTCAGTCTTACCTCAAGATTCTCTGTAACAACATGGATGGGCCTGGAGGGTATTGTGCTCAGTGAAATAAGCCAGACAGAAAAAGACAAGTACCATGTGATTACACTTATATGTGGAATCTAAAAAAAATAAAACAAATGAACAAAACAGAAATAGGCTCACAGACACTGAGAAGGAATGGTGGTTGCCACAGGGGAGGGTAATATAGGTGAGTGAAATAGGTGAGGGGGATAAATAGGCACAGAAGCTTAATATGAATTAATCACAGGGATGAAGTACAGCATAGAGAATATAATCAAGAACTCTAACATCATTCTGTGTTGACAGATTATTAAATACACTAGTTGAGGTGAGCATTTGATAATGTAGTGAGCTGTAGAATCACTATGTTGTGTATTGAAACCAATGTACAGTCAACTATACAGAAAAAGAGAATTCTGTAACATAAGCATATTTTAAAGTTAAATAGAAACATAAGTCACAATCTAGTATAGCAATAGAAAGGTTGTCCAAAAGCACTGCTCAGTGGATAGATTTGAGTGATTATTTGTTTAGGGCTGGTCTTGCCCACTAGATGGTAAGCTCTACAAAGGCAGGGCTGAGTCTCTGTGGCTCACCCTTGCCTGCTGAGCACATGGCCCATGGCAGGTGCTCAGTAAATGTGTGTCGTCAGAAAGCATGGCAGTGTGGCCCCGGGGTTCAGGATGTGTGTACAGGAAGGGTACTTCTAGATGGAGGATGCTCAGGAAGGGGGAGGGGATGGCAGAGGAGAGACAGAGTTCAAGAAGGGGAGTAAAAAGCAAAAATCATGCTCAGAGTGTGGAAGGGATGGGAGGGGGCGGTTTATGGTGGAGTGAAAAGTCTGTGTAGGGAAGTGGTAAGAGATAAGGATAGAAATAAAGGTTGGATGAAGGAGTGGACTTTGAGCATCTATAATATTTGGGGCATGGGTGAGCTGAGGCACTTTATATTATCTCATTTAATCCTTCCAACTCTGTAAGATGCATATTATTGCTCTATTACACATAGAGAAATTGAGACTTGGAAAGATGAAATTACACAGATAATAAAACAGGAATCTAGGGCCATGAAACACCAAAACCTGTACTCTTTCTGATGCTGCTCAGAGTTTCCCAGCAAGACTGAGAGCATGTATGGCAGGCTAAGCCTTGGGCTGCTTTCCTCTGTCCCCCAACCCCCCTCTGCTAACCAGATCTTCCCCCAGCATACAGGGTTGTATTTTACTAAAACTGCCCCAATGATATTGATGCAAAGATCTTTTTATTGTTATTTCAAGAGAGTCCTGTGTTTTGCAGGCTGTTGGAAATGCGAAGACTACTCGCAATGACAATAGTAGTCGGTTTGGGAAATACACAGAAATCAGTTTTGATGAGAGAAATCAAATTATAGGAGCCAACATGAGAACTTACCTGCTGGAGAAATCCAGAGTTGTCTTTCAAGTAAGGATAAAAATGTTAGTTAAATTTCCTTTTTTCCAACCTTTTAAGTACTGTCTGCAATTATGGGCTCATTAGCCAACCAGCATTGTTTATTGTTCTGTGATGTGGGAATGGAGTTTCCTGACTTTTCATTTGCAGTTTGAGTTATTTTTTTCTGCTTCTTACAGACAAAAACTTGATATACCAGTGGAGTTGCATGACTGCACTGAGGGAAAGATTACAGCTTTTAATTTGGGGTACTTAAAAGTTCCTTAGAGTATAACGATTAAGTTTATCTTTCTAGAACACAGAAACTGCTTGATACAGACAAAGCTGTTAGACTGGCTCTCCTATCGGGAAGGGAACAGGATTAGAGCTAGTCAGAGAGAGCTTAAGAGAAAGGCTCTTCTGTTAGTAAAATGGAGGAAATTCTCATCATTCTGCCCAAGAGAGTCACAGTAAGCCTTCTATTGGCAGGAAGTTTCTTAAAAATTTCAGCTAGTATGAATGACATTATTCCCATTTCATGTAACGTTTAATAGCATTTAGTAACATCATCTCTGGGGGTCATTATTCGGAATGTGATCTCGGGCCACCAGTTCTCCCTCTATGAGAGGAAGGGGCTGCTTATGAGCCAGCAGAGGGACAGGGAGGGTCACCTGGTTACTGACCCATGTGAATCAGTGGAGAGCAGAATTGCCAATCCAGATAAGCTCTCCCAAGAAAACTTCACCTTTTCACCTGTAAGGGGCTCGTGTAATTTCAGGACTTTTCTTTATTTTGCAGTCGGAAAATGAACGAAATTACCACATTTTCTATCAGCTTTGTGCATCTGCACAGCAGTTGGAATTTAAGCATCTTAAGTTGGGTACGTGACAGATGATGGTCGGAATTGTAGGGGTGTAAATTCTGGGTTAATTTCTTCTTCTTACAGTAACATGACTTAAAAAAAATATTCTGCCCAAAGACATAAGGTCCTTGTGTTTCAGGGGTAGAACTGATACATCTGAGAAGGTAGACACTCGGGTGGGGTGGGGACTCCAGAGTCGTTTCCAGAGCTCAGGGGTGACAGTGGGCACCTAGCCCGAACCATCTGCACAGGGCTGTGGACCACTGGGACTTACTGACGTGAAGTCCCCAAACTTTTCTACTTAACTGAACTTCCTTGAATGGTCATTTTTCTAATATGTATGATGTGTTTCCTTGTCTTCAGGACAGAGTGCCTCTATCATAATTTGAACTTCCTTGATGACTCAGGGTCATCATTATTTGTAGTCATAAGTAATTATGCTTCAGCGATGACTGAGATGTAGAGCAAATGGCCCAACGCCTGTGCTGTCTCAGCCCCCCTGTCTTGGTGTTTATGCTGTGTCAGTAGATAGAATTGCCTAGTGTGTTGGAGTTGAATGCACACTCCCTAACCTTGGAGAAGTTGCTTACACTCGTGGCACCTGAGTTTCTTCAGATTTCCCATAAATATAATAATATCCATGCCTTCTGCCAAGCAGAATGTGAATAGCAAGCAGAAGAGCTTTCCGGAAGGTCATCTACTATTCAAATTTTAGATGTATATATGGTCCTTATCTTTATTGTGGTGATGATTTTATAAGGGTATACATACATCAAAATTGATCAAATTGTACATCTTAAATGTGTATGGTTTATTGTATATTCAATAAACCTCAGGAAAAGCTGTATAAAATTCTTAGGTATAATAACAAAAATCATGAACTTTGTAGTCGGGCCTGTGTTTACATTCTTGCCCTGAAGTCAGCTGTGGGGCCCCAGCCTCAGCCTCATGTCTGTGACGTAGGAGTCGAAGGAGTGAGTGCAGTAGGGTGGGTCCTGAGCTCACTGTAGCACAGCAAGCATGACCTCCCTTCTTGCCTTTTGTAGCTTTTTCTTTTTCTCTTTCTCCTTTTCTTTTATTTTTCTTCTTGCTTTTTGCTTCTGGTAAACATGTATGTCCCAATTTCTGTGTCACACACATAACAACCTCTTGATTTCAGGGAGTGCGCAAGAATTTAATTACACGAGAATGGGAGGCAGTACTGTGATCGAGGGTGTGAATGACAGAGCCGACATGGCAGAGACCCGGAAGACCTTCACACTCCTGGGTAAGTGGGGGCCTCCTATCCAAGGTGTGCCAAAAAAAAGGGGGGGTGGTCAGGGATGCCCAGCAGGCATGTGTTCTGAAGACTCCTAATAAATTCTAATTAGGGGGAGCATATTTGGAGACCAACTGGTCAAGAATGTGCTTTTCCCTTAAAATATCTAAAAATTGGCTCCTCTGCCCTCAGGCTCTCTGGCTTTCTGTGAGAAACCTGGGCAATTTACACATTTTACAATAATGAGATAAACACACTTGGTACTGATGAACATTTTCTTTAAATAATTATAGTCAATTTCAATCTTTGTATAATATACTGAGTGGGAACTTGGTGCATGAAGAGGGGACAGGCGGCCTAGCTCTGGAAGGGCTCCCAGAAGGCCTTGGTTCACGTCCACATTCCCAGTCTTTCCTTCCTGCCTTTACCCTCTAAATACCCTTTCCCACCTCTGTGAAGTTTCACCTCAAAAATTCAAACCCTAGTCAGTAGGGCCCTAAGAATGCTGCCCTCTCTAAGACTCAGTCTCCTGACCTGCAGAATGGCCGTATTCCTTATCCACAGAGCTCCTATGACAACTAGAGAGGAAATGTGTGTGAAATGTATGTGCAAGCCCTGGTACCAGGCTGAGCCCATAGCAGGCACTTGACAAGTATTACTGCTTGCCTTCCGTCTCTCTCTCTATGTTCCCTGTTGTCAAAGTCCTAACCATTCCTTGAGCAAAACCATCCCCTCTTCCATGAAACCTTCCATAATCATTAGAGATTAGCAGCAGCAATTTTTCCATTGTATCTCACAAATTAGATTATTTTCACAAATGTCCACCCCCACATGGCTGGGACTAGGGTTAGGCAAGAGAGGCGACTAGGGCAGAACATGACAGGAGGCACGCAGGCATGCACTCAGGGTGGTGCCATGCAGGGCCGGCCCTCCGCTAGCTGCCTCGCACTCTCAGGGTGGTGCCATGCAGGGCCGGCCCTCCGCTAGCTGCCTCATCCTGCTCCTGGCCCTGCCCACCTGGCCTGGACGTTCTGACACAGCCCCCGGAAGTTCTGTGGGGACGGAGAGCACAGCAATCTCCTGCCTCCCGTGGCCTTCAAGGATGATGGTGCCCTCTGGGCAGGGTAGGAAGAGGTTGGGGCCATCCCACCTCTGTCCTTGCAGAGATCTTGGCATGTGGCTGGGCATGGCTGGCAGGGTGCCAGGGCCACTTGTCCCTGCTTACTTTGCATCAAGCCTGCAATTTAAAGACGCCAGCCTGATGACCTCTCTCTCCTCTGATGCCTGGCCTTCAGACCTCACCACTTAGTTTTTACGTGTCTGTTCTCATGTATTTGCTCCAGTGTTTTCCTGGGCCGTGACATCAGTCTGTGGCCTTGCACAGGTCAGTTACTGTCTCAAGGCTTTGGTTTCCCTATCTGTGTGCTGGGATAGTAATGAAAATATTCAGTTGTCTAATTATCTATTGCTGTTCCCCAAATCTTAGTGGCTTGAAATGATTTATTATCTTATTCTAAGATTCTGGGTTGGGTGGGCTCAGCTGGGCACCTCTCACCTGGGGACCCTTCCTATGATGGTGAAGGGCTGGGTCCTCTGAAGTCTTCTGTCACATGGGCTCACATGGGCTGGCATGGCTAGAACTACTGGGGGGCGGGCAGGTGTCTCTGCTCACATGGACTTCCTCATAGTCTCAGGGTGGACGCTGTTCCCAGGGTGAATGGACGGCACATGTTGTGGTTAGCTTCTTGCAGGCCCAGTTCCGGTTGGCTCATCAACTCTGCAGGCTTTTCATGAACCAGCCTGAGGTAACATATCATGTGGTCAAAAGCAAGTCACAGATGCCAGCTCAGGCTCACATCTCATGGGGAGGGAGCTGCATGGGGCATGAACACCAGTGGGGGGGTGCATTAGAGGCCATCTTTGAAGAGCAGCTGCCACAGTAGCTGTTGGGGTGTTGAGGATTAAGAGATACTGTCTGAAAGGGTTTATGAACTGTAGCATGCTGTATCAGTATCAGAGATCAGTACACATTTAATGAAAGCATGACCTCACTGCATGAATTGCTAGATGACATCCTAGGAGGCTGGCTGATTGCAACCCGTTTTTGTAAATGAAAGTTTTATTGAAACACAAATACACTTATCTGTTTAAGTATGGTCTATGGCTATTTTCATACTATAGTGGTGGCAGAGTTGAGTAATTGTGACATAGACTGTACAGTCTGCTAGCTCAGTAAAAAGCATTTGCTGACCCTTGTCCTAGATGGTAGAATGAGGATGGCTGATGGGTGCCATCAAGTTTTCTTGCAGTATAGAAAAGACTCACGGATGGAATTCATGAAGCTTCACCCCTGTGTGTCCAAACATGGAAGTCCTTTGGTGACCCTGTGCCAGGCGAAGGAGAAGTGTGAACAGAGCCTGGAGGTCCATTTCCTGTCCTCGGAACGGCATCACGCATGGAACCAGGGGGCCTCCCAGCCTTGAGATTGCTGTTCTCTTGTGACCTGCACCGTCTGTGATCTTGTGCTCTGTGTTGATTTCAGGGCCTCTACACCTGTGCCATCCAACACAGTAGCCACTAGCCATAAGTGACTGTTGAGATTTCACTTTAATTAGATTGAAATAAACCTAAAAACTCACTTCTTCAGTTGCACGGGGCAGGTTTCACGTACTCATAACCACATGTGGCCGATAGCTGCCACAGGGTACAGGATGGATTTAGAGCATGTCCATCACCTCGGAAGTTCTATCCAACAGCGTCTCCTAACAGTCAAAAGCCTTATCTATACTGCTTGTCCCGTCGGCTGTGCCCTCTTGCCTTTGTCTCAGTGTTACCTTAGATGGAGAGCTCCACGGGGGCAGACTGCCTGACTTGAATCATATATAGGCTTCTATAGCACACTTGGGCAGATCACCCCTTTTAAAAATGTAATCATAAATCAGTACTTGGTTGATTTATCCATTGTTGTGGTTTGTTATGTAGATATATAGAGAAACGGGCATGGTTAGCAGCAAGGTTATCTAGCTCAGTACACAAATCCGTTTTATAATACGCCCAGGAAAAGGACCTCTGGAGTCTGCTCACACTTCTTGCAGGGCCCAGGGCTGACCATCAGGGGACCTCTATTTAGACACCTTTAGACACACTGGGGTGAGCCCCACAGGTCTCTTCACATATTGCGGTGGTCACCAGTTAAACTGTTTAAATATGACATCCCCAGTATGATCGAAGCCTTCTCTACCTTCGTTTCCCCCTCCATAAATTGGGAACAATCCCAGTACTTCATATATAGTTGCAAGCACTCAATGAGGTGGTACACGGCAGGTGCTGGGGATTAGGGCCTGACAGAGCTCCATTCCTTTTCTCTTCCTCTTCTGCTCCTTAGACACCTTAGCTGCCCTTGAGGTTCCTTCCCGAGAAAGCAGAAGGGGATGCATTCTGATGAAAATCTCTTTTCCTTTGTTCTTTGGCTGACTCTCATTTAGTTCATCCTTTGATCCTCGCCTGACCATTAAGATCTCTGATAGGAAGAACATCCTGGAAAGAGTCAGGCCAAGCCTGGACCTCAGTCTCCAGGAACCTGACCACCGCTCTTCTCCCTGAAATCTGCCTCAGGCCCCAGCGCTGTCCTGGGCCGTCGCCTCACTCCAGATAACCGATTACCTGCCGTCTTCAGAGCTCGCTTTCCCATGACCGCTCTGGAATCACGCTTTCACTTTTGGCAGTTCTGGACGGCCTGGTTTCATTCTGGGCCCCATAGTGCGGGGGCCTGGGAGTGCCACGACGAAGATGCCAGAGCAGAGATTCCCAAACTTCATATTTTTAGTCGCTTTTCCTATCACTTGTCCTTTATCATGGCAGCAGCTGGGGGTTATTTCTGTTACAGGCATCTGTCCCTCAAATGGAGCTGTAAGCTTTGAGGGAAAGCAGCAAGTGCCTGGACTCAGACCGAGTTGGAGTCCCTGTACGTCTGGTTCAAAATTGTTTGTGACTTTTTGTTTAATCTTTGAAGCAGAGAGGACTATAGGTTTTGAAATTATTTAAGAACATGAACCAGCTGCAGTGGAAATATCCCGGGTGTCCTTGAGTGAGAGGCAGTGGGTGGCTGCCGCAGCTCTGACCTTGGCATTTGGGGTCTGCCGCTGAATGCTTGGAGGGAGCTGGGGAGTCCATTCTGGTTGCCATTCTAGTGAGGACCAGGAAGCCTGCGTCTCTGTGGGAATGAGCCTGCCCCACCTGCCCTGGTGTGTCTCCAAGCTGCCTGCCTCCCTGCAGCGTCCTTACACCACTGGGGCCTGCCCCGGTCCACTGCACTTGCACAGTGGGACCCTGACCTCGCAAAGCCCTGCTCACACCTGGCAGGTCCTTCATTGTGATTTACGGGGTTCTGACACGGTCCTTCCAGGCAGCAGGTTTGGCTTATTTTTAGCTCCAGGAAATGTGCTAATGTCCTTCCAGTGACAGAATATGTTGCGTATTCATAACTAATATCCTGGCCCTATCAGTCAGGGTCCCAGTGGGAAATACAGGGCTGCTCAAACCAGGATAAAGGCGGAGGGCTTACTTATGAAGGGACCAACCACAGGGATGTGGGTGGGTCCAGGGGTATCATGGGGCAGTCAGAACCTGGGGTCGGCAGCACAGCTGTTGGGTGCACCTTCCCGTTTGGGCTGAGGGATCTTTCTGCGAGCCTGAAAGGAGAGCTGGGGAACCAAGCCAGGAATGCTGACCTTCCACAACACAGCCAGCCTGAGGCAGCTTTGCAGGGAAAGAGACAGGACGACACACCCAGCGCCTCTCTCCTCTGCCAGGGTCCCCTGTGGCCAAACCCAGCTAGAGGCTAGAGGCCATAAGAACCCACTGCCTTGGTCCAGACAGGTCAGCCCCTGGGGCAGAGAGCAGGGTGCAGAGCTGGAGAGGCAAATGGAATCCGCCCAGCACCCCACCATGGAAAGAATTCAGGGAGCTTGTGAGCAAAAAAGAAAAAAGGTACATTAAAAATAAAGCACAGAACACAGAGAAAACAAGTAGTGATTCTACAGCATCTTACTATGCTGATGGACAATGACTGTAATGGGGTTTGTGGGGGGGATTTGGTAAAGGGGGGAGCCTAGTAAACATAATGTTCTTCATGTAATTGTAGATTAATGATAGCAAAAGAAAAAAAGGAAAAAATAAAAATAAAGCACAGCACACAGAATAAATGAAACCTGACACAAAATGGTCCTTAGATACTAATTTTTGTGTTAAACTTCCTAGCAGCCATGGCACAAGGGGAAACCTTGTGGGTTTTCGAGTTCACATAGTGTGTCTGCGCAAGTCAAACTGGAAATAGTAGTGGCCCAGATTCTCTTGGGTCCACTCCACAGTCCCTGTCCCAGCTCTGGGCTCTGATGACATGAGGCGGTCTTGAAAGAATTTAGGTGCATCTTACTAGTGATTAAGTAAGATAAAATGCAGTATTTCTAATTTAGGAAATTTTTTTTTTCAGGTTTCAAGGAGGATTTTCAGATGGATGTTTTTAAGATCCTGGCAGCCATCCTACATCTGGGCAATGTGCAGATCATAGCCGTGGGCAATGAGAAATCCTCAGTTAGTGTAAGATACTTGTTTACTTCCCCCTTCCTGTGTTTGGAGGTTCATTAGTAGAATGTCTCATGGTCACCCTGCTTTTGCATTTTAGCACCAGGCACATCAGACCTAATGGAGAGAGCAATTTAACAGGAAGAAGGAAGCAAGGGTTTCTATAAGTTGCCTCCAAAGAATACATCTTTCCCTTCTAACAGTAGGGATGGAGGTGGAATGCATTCTCTGTGTGTTTTTCTTTCATTCAACAAAGTTTTACTGAGCATCCGCTATGGGCCAGGTGCTGTCATAGACTCTGGGGAACCAGCAGTGACCCAAAACAAGAGGCCTTTTGTGGAGCTGATGATCTGGGGGAAGGAAGGGGAGGGGAGGAGACCCAGTAAACAGTTGTAGGCTCTGCAGCTGGTGATGGCTTTTAACAAGGAAAATAAAGTAGAGTAGTGGGTGGAGAGGGGCCATGCCTTTTGTAGAGGAAGCCTTTCCAGTATGGAGGCATTGGGCAGACGACTGAAGATGAGGAAGTGAACTGTGCCTTTAGCCCAGAGAAGAACATTGAAAGTAGAGGGACCAGCAAGTTCAAGGGCCCTCAGGCAGGAAGTGTTATTTGAAAAGTAGCAAAAAAGTCAGTATGTCCAAAGAGGAATGAGTGAAAGGAGGGGTGGTAGATGAAGCCAGAAAGTGTGTGTTGGGGGGCTGGGGGTGAGCTTAAGGGCACTGGATGGTTTTAAACAGTAGGGACACTGTCTACTTCTTGACACTCGCCAGAATCATACACCAATGGTGCTGCTTCCTCCCTGGAAATACATTCCTGTGTAAGTTTAGTGACAGATTTCTTTCTTTAATAGACACAAGGTGAGCTATGTGTGTGTGTCTTCCGCAACAGATATTTGGACTAGTGATTCTAGCAGGGGGTATGTGTTTGATTATTCTCCTGGATATCCACATGAAGAAGAAAATCATAGCAAAAAATTTCTTTGAAATGTAAAATCAACTTAGCTTTTTGTTAACATATCTTAGTCAACTCCAGTCGCCATAACAAAATAACACAGGCTGGGCAACTTGAACAATAGATGCCAATGCTCTTGCAGTCCTGGAGGAGGCTGGAAGTCCCACATCAGGGTGCCAGCATGGTTGAGTTCTGGTGAGGACCCTCCTCCTGGCTTGTAGACAGCCACCTTCTGGCTGTGTCCGTACATGCCGAGAGAGAGGAGGAGAGGGAGAGAGAGAGCTGATCACCTGGACACCTCCCCAGGTCCCCACCTCCAAATACCCTCACACATGGGAGTTAGGGTTTCAACATGGGAGGTTTGGGGGGAAATGAACATTCAGTCCATAATGATGTCTATATTCATGTTCCCCAAACACCTGACAGAAACAGTTGATGATCTAGTCCACCAGCAATTCCTCTGGTACCTGCGGGTTCAGAGGGAGACGGGAGCTGAGCAGAGTGGAGCACGTGCTTTTGGGCCCAGTCAGTCAGTCCTGTTGCCCTGTGCCCGGGAAATAATTCCCCTTCCCCTCTCAAGTGTCCCTACCAAGTGCCGCTCCATCTCCGCAGTGTCCCACCCTCACGGAGCTGGCCTGTTCTCAGAGGGCTGGATGGTGTGGGGAGAGGTGACGGCCGGCCTGGGACAGGAATATAGTGTGTGTGCTGGGGCTTCTCCTCAGTGGGCTGGGTCATTTGCCTCAGGGAAATGGGCTTCTACACTTTTATACTCAAACTCCATAGACTAAAGATTTGATTTCCACCCAACAAAAGCCCTTGCACTGAACTCTGTCCTGTGAAGTTTGTTAGGAAGGTAGTATTTAAAACATACAGGAGTTAAAATTGATAGACTGAAAATACTTTTGTCAATTTTAGGGGACACCTGGTACACAAAAGGTGTTGAATCTTCATAGAAAATTACCAGTCCTATACTTACTGGTCATTTTCTTTGGGACATACATACCATTCATTTGCATCAGGAACTTGAAATGTCAGGCAAATTCAGTCTGGGTGAATATTTTTAATTTGCTGTCTGTCCCTTTGCATGTCCCCTGAAACAGCTCGGGTAGCTGAATGGTGTTGACTCAGAAGGTTTAGTCCCTTTCTTGAAGGAAGGAAATCCGTGGCCCTGCCGGTCCCTCCCCAGTGAGGTCACTGAAGACAAGGTTCCTGCTGTGGGGAGCGGGTCAGCAGGGTGTGGGCGGACAGCAAGGAGGAGGCAGGACTTTTTAGATGGTTTGCTCCACCCTAACCCGGTGCTTTCTAAGTACAGTCATGTGGTTTCCTGATTGGCTGTCATGGGGTCCAAGATTAGCCTGCCTTGGAAATTTCCCCGCCTGAGAGGAATGACAGTGCTCAGTCAAATGGGGTCACATCTCCTTGGTACGTAGCACAGACCCCTCGTTCATGCTGGCTAAAGGCACACAGGCACTGTAGGGCGCTCTCAGCCCAGGCTTGGGAGAGAAGCAGGTCTCACTTGGTGTGTCCAGGACGTCTTCCACCATGGCCCTCATGTCGCTGAAAGGCCAGCTCAGTCAGAGCCCCACAGGTTGTCTGAGCACAACACGGGGGTGCCTCAGGGCCAGACCACTCCGGCAAACCCCGACTGCACAGGGGGTGCTGGGGGAGTGCGCGCATGACAGGCAGCCTGGGCTGCTGCAGAGGGTGGAGAGGCGCCTTGAGGCTGTGTCCACGTACAGGAGCGTCACTGCTGACTGTCCCTGGCCAGAAGAAAAGTCTGGTGAGACACTGCCCAGGACTGCCTGGTGCCGCTGCAGCGGCACCCTGCCACAGGCTGGTGCAGGCCCCAGGCCACTGCAGCCCCTCCTGCTTTCCGCCCAGGCCTGATCTGTCTTGGGGGCTGGTCCTTCCCGTGCCGGGGTGTCCTCAGCCCTCTCACAGGCCTGAGCCAAGGCTGACGGGCCCCGGCTGGGTGGGCTGGTGCTGGTTTGGATGGCCTGACAGCCTGACGGGGCCTGTGGTGTTTTGCAGGAAGGTGACAGTCACCTGAAGGTGTTCTGTGAGCTGCTCGGCCTGGAGAGCGGCCCAGTGGCCCAGTGGCTGTGCAGCCGCAGAATCGCCACAGCCTCTGAGACAGTGGTGAAGCCCTTGACCGGGCCTCAGGCCGTCAACGCCAGGGATGCACTGGCCAAGAAGATCTATGCACACCTGTTCAACTTCATAGTCGAGAGAATTAACCAAGCATTGCAGTTTTCAGGCAAGCAGCACACTTTTATTGGTGTTTTGGACATTTATGGGTAAGATTCTCTTTGGTGAGCCTGTCTTTCCTCATTTAAGTGTCGAATGCCCGGTAGTTTTAGATCATTTTGTTCTGATTTCTCCTCCATTTCCCCTGCTTAGAAAGTGTTCTCTGTTGTGCTGGTTTGGATGTTAAGCACAGCCTCCCGGGCAGCAGGGCCTTGTGTAGAGTGTACTCAGTGAGTGAGAATTAGGAGCGGCCAGTGTGAAATGCTCACCTGTGCCAGCCACCGTGCTCAGTGGCTCCCATGTACTTTCTTACTCTTCAAACAGCCGTGAGGTTATCCCCATTTTAGAGGTGAGACAACCCAGGCTTAGAACGACTCGGTGACCTGATTGTGGTCACTCCGCTGTGTGAGGCTCTCACCCACCTGTTTCCCGACAAAGGCCTAGTGAGGTACGGATCCCTGACATGCCTCTTTTCACAAGGGAAATGACAGTCCCGGTAGTCCTGCGCCTTCCCCACGCCCACAGGGTCGGCGTGAACTTGGGCTCAGGCCTTTCAGCAAATCCTCTTCACACCTCAATCTTCCATGCTTGGATGATAAGGGCTGAGTGTTTGCCCCAGCCCTTCTTCCGGAATTCCACACTGGGGGACAGTTCCCACACTGGAGCCTTGTTCTTCCTCCTTCTCTCTGCCTAGTCCTGCTTTTCTAAATCGCGGGTCAAACTCATGCTAAAGATGCTTGTAGAATAATAGCCAGAGTGAGTGAGTGAGGACAGGCGTGGCTTCAACTGCCCAACCCTGACCCCCAGCCAGGCCCAGCCCTGGCTTCTCAGTGGGGAAGAGGGCAGGTTGTGCCTTGAGACGCACCTTCTCGGAGTATTCTGCCCAGCGTGGGGTGCCCCCCCACACCCTGTGCGAGCAGAGGGGAGAGCTGGGCTCTGGGGCTTTGTGGCCCTGCCGCTGCCTGCTGGGGGAAGGTGGGCAGAAGGGGCGGAGGGTCCACGGTGCTGCTGTGGGGCTTCACCCACGTAGAGAGAACCAGCTTTTCCCATAGCCGTCTAACGTGAGACAGTGCCTCAAGGGAGTTACTGTGTTTAATTTAGATTTTAAGTTAATACATGTGACTCCCACTTAATAGTACATGTCAACAGTTATAAAATAGCCATATATTGCCAGGACAATCTAGTAAATGATTTACCTTGTCTTGTTCTAAAGAAAGGAACTGAGTAGCCAGTAAAAATTTGAGTTGACTTTTAAAAAGAAATAGTCTGGCTTAACAATAGTCTCTTTTATTGTGGTGGAAATATGTGATTGTTATAGTATTCTGTCCTTTTCTTATCTTTAAAATGTCTTAAAAATAAAACACCCCTTATTTTAATAATATATTATTTCATTCATCCCACTATATTTATGTGCCAGCCACTGTATTGGGTGGGATTGGTGAACAGAATGGGTACGTGGTCCCTGCCCTCCTGGGACTTAAATTTTAGAAGAGGAGGCAGCAGGTAATCAGAGATTGAGATGATTTCTGTGCTGGGAATAGTAGATGGATGTGCTGGGGGTTAAGGGGGATGGAGGGGCATGGGGAGGGGCAGGGAGGGTGCAGGGGCGGCTGAGTACCAGCAGCAGTGAGTGACGACAATGGCAGGTAGGCAGGAGTCAGATCCACAGGCCTGTAGGTAGACCACTGTGATAGGAATTTGAATTTTCAGTTCAATGGGTAAAGCTAAGCAGGAGTAATTGTAGGTCTGTGAGAACTTACTAGAGTATATTTAACATTTTAATTTTAAAATTAAATTCCTCTTTGGAAATTATAAAACTAATATGCTTGCTGCCACCCATGAATTAATGGCACCTCTCCAAACATATAAGCACCTCTCCTTAAGTAACAGTGCTACTGCCGGGCGAGGAACCATCCACGCCTTGCCCCAGCCTGTTTGTGTTTAGATGAGCCCTTGCCGTGCACACCCTGCCAGTTTGGAGAGAGCTGGGCTCAGTTTGACCTGGAAATAAGGCAGCTTCAAAGGAAGTTACCATCATTAAAAGTGATGAAAGCTGAAGCTGTAAGCTTTGAGGTCTCAATTCAGAACAAGATGAAGGCTTGTGGTTCCCCAGCCAGCAGGGTGTTGTTATGAGCCCTGGACCCCAAGCTGGAAAGTCCTGTCCTAGGTGGCAGAATCCTGGAAGCAAGCACTGCAGCATAGCAGCTGTGTGGCCCCGAGGAAGTCAGAGAACTTCTCTGAACCCCAGTTTCTGCATCTGCAAGATAGGGCCAGCCTCTCGGGTTATCATGAAGATTAACTGGAAGAAATTGTGACGGCATCTCAACCATAGGCATCATTCAGATGTGAAGGGTTTAATAGCTAATTCCTTCTGGCATTTTAAGTCATAGATTGAGGTTTCTCCATGGCTTTTAAACTTTAGTTCTGAGTGCCTTTTAGAAGGCGCAGGTATAACAAGGCAGGAAAATACTTCCTGATGTTTGGTATTCTGCCCCTGCTCTACAAAGCCCTGCTTTTGCCCTGGCTGTGGAGCACAGTGAGGCCCTTTTGACCCTCCCCGAGGCCTCACCCTGGCCTGTCCGCAGTGTCCAGACAGGCCCCAGAGCCTCAGGACTATGCAGGGTGCATGTGGAATGGGCTGCCAAGAGCTGTGTGGGTTCTCCTGCTCCGAGTCACCCAGGAGCTTCCCAGGGGACAAGCCAGGCCCTCAGCCTGCCCAGGAATTCAAAGCTGAGCCAAGCTGGCTCAGTCAGGTGAGACTCCCAGGAAACCTACAAGTGGAGCTGGCAGGAACCTGTCAGGATTAGAGTAGTCAAGAGCCAAGCTTTGGAAGCACCAAGAGCTGTGGTCAGATTGTGTACGTGGCACCACCTGCTGACTACTGGCCTTTGTCTCCTCTGACTCTGACCCACGGGTGTGACGGTGCGGCTGGCAGGCCTCCACATAGGGCGGGGTAGTGAGGTGACAGGCGCCCCTGCCAGTACTGTGCTCGGCTCCCTCCCAGTGGGAGCGCTCATCCCGCCACGAGGTGAATTTGGTGCCCGTGTTTGTTCAGCCCACACCAAGTTTTACGGAGTGAAATAACTCACAGGAAAGTCCAGATTTCTGGCTTGTCTTGAGAACTGGGTGATCTAACACCCTGACCTGCCTTAATCCATGGTCACAGCAGCTGGAGCTGAGTAGCAGCTGCTTTGTAGGACAATCCTGCCTGCCTGGCCACCCTCCAGCCTGCTCCCCATTTCTGTCGTCTGCCTGCCTCCTCTCTGCTCTTGAGTTAGCAACTCCAGGGCCAGCTACTGACAGTCTGAAAATGAGGGCAGGCCGTGTCTGTCTTGGACCTTAAGGGGATCTGCTGGGCTGGGGGCTATGGAATGACCTTGCTTTTCTCCTCTAAGAGCTATGAAACACCCCTTGGGGAGGCAAAACCGTCCTGCCTCTCCCCTTGACAGGCAAACGGTGGGGAAGAGAAAACACCTTTGCTTTTTCACCAAAAGCAAAGGTGTCACAGTCAGGTGGGCTCCCAGCTGAGTCTGAGGCTCTGTGTGACCTTAGGCAAGTTTCTTAACCTCTCGTGAGCTATGAAACACCCCTTGGGGAGGCAAAACCGTCCTGCCTCTCCCCTTGACAGGCAAACGGTGGGGAAGAGAAAACACCTTTGCTTTTTCACCAAAAGCAAAGGTGTCACAGTCAGGTGGGCTCCCAGCTGAGTCTGAGGCTCTGTGTGACCTTAGGCAAGTTTCTTAACCTCTCGAGTCTTATTTCCTCCTGTGTAAAGTGAGGATAGTAGTGCAGATGGCAGTGTTGTTGTGTGGATTAAGTGATACACTGTCCTGTGATGTGCCTGTTTTAATGCCTGCCTCAGGGCAGGTGTTCTGTACATACCAGATTCCTTTCAGGGGCAACCTGGAAAAAGGTGATTTATAAACTGACTGCCAGGATATTAAAACCAGAAGTTTTGAGGCATATTTAAAACTTGCACAAAACATAGCAAACTTTTAAGCTGTACGTTTGTCAAAAAATACTTATCTGTAAATGAACCTATGTCCTTCAAGTTATATTTTAACTTGTTTAAACTGTATTTCAGCTTTGAAACCTTTGATGTGAACAGCTTTGAACAATTTTGCATCAATTATGCTAATGAAAAGCTGCAGCAGCAGTTTAACCTGGTAGGTAACTTTCCTGCCTTTTTGAATGTAGTTCTCAACCTTGTGCGTGAACTTGGAAAGAAGCACATTCAGGCGTCTTCCTCTTCAAATCTCCCATTAGTGAGGGAGCGGCACGCTGGCTCGCTTCGCCACCTGGTGGCCATGTCTTGAAACCGCACCTTCCCATCCTAGTGCATCTTTTTCCAACCACTTCCCAACTTCTAAGCTTGGGTCGTCTCACCTGCCATGCTTGGACACAGACCCTCTATGCATCCAGACCAAATAATTTAATTTCCTGGAGGCTCCACCGCCTTGTGATCCTCTGTATATTTTCTCATACTGTTCTTTCCCTGTCCCTTCAACTCCACCTGGCCACCTACTGCTTGCTTTTTGAAATTCAGCTTCTCACGCCAACCCTTGAGGAAAAGATAGTGCAACATCATGGAGAGCATGGGCTTTTGCTCAGCTTGACCTGTTTGAGCCGTAGCTCTCCCACCTCCTTCCTCTGGGACCTGGGCTCAGAGTGTCAGTGTCCTCATGATAACCAACAGGTCAATAGTATCTGCCTAGACTTGTTGTAAGAAAACCTAACATTGACTCATACTCAGTAAATGTTTCTTTTCTTTCCTTTTCCTTGCCCTGGAACTAATCCATGGATAAGCACTAAATTTCATCCCATTGAAAATTGTATTTTGTTAGCATTCTCAAGAATTCCTTGAAAGTTTAGCACTTAATAACTGCCATGAAGGTTTATTCCAAGTAGATATGCTGCGTAACCCACCTCAAGTCGGTCCGCCCCCTCTAGTACTGTGCTCTCTCTGGCCTGCAAGAGCTGTTTCATTCTCAACCTCCTGTTGGGCTTCCCTGGCGCTCCCACTGGGGTTCTTCTGTGAACGGCTGTCTCCTCACTGCCGTCCCCGTCCGGCCACCTGCAGCCAGGATGAGCCCGAGCCAGTCCTCTGGGAAGCCTTCCTGATACCCTTATGGCCTGGCCAAGTAGTGAACAAAGCCCTCCAAGCTGGCTGCTCGCACTGGCCCCGCAGCCAGCATTCTCGGGCAGCCTGGATCTGTCTTGGATAGCAGCCATGGTCTTGAGCAGGGAGGGGTTCCAGGGCCACCCTGAGTACATGCAGTGCAGCAAGTGACAGGATGTGGGGACCCAGTTGGACCAGGTGGGAGGATGATGGCTAGAGCGACGTTAGATCAGCGGCTTGCTCATAGGTAAGGGGTATTGCCTGCACCTCAGGGTCTTCCATAAACATTACAAATTAGTCATGCATCTGTGTTTTCCAAAATCTGATATCCTGGTCTTCAGAAGCACACTTTAATATTCTAACTTCTGAATTTGCAGCATGTCTTTAAACTTGAGCAAGAAGAATATATGAAGGAAGATATCCCTTGGACTCTGATAGATTTTTATGACAACCAACCAGTTATTGACCTGATTGAAGCAAAAATGGGCATTTTGGAGTTGCTGGATGAAGAATGCTTGGTAACTTTTAAAAATAATGTTTTCTAAAAAAAAAAATAATAATAATGTTTTCTTCTGAGTAGTAACAAATGAGCATATTGCAAAGTGAATTTCTTTAATGCACATGTAAATCCCTGCTGCTATAATGGGTTGGCTATAATGCTAGGACTGCAGTCTATAGCAAGAGCCCTGAGGGCCAGGAGGGCCTCCCCCCCCTCAGCAGAAGCAGTCCATCCTTGGGTAACATGCATGACCTGTAAGGTCATGTCCAGCAAGGAGGACCCCTTTAAGGCTGTCCTAGGTGTATGTAGAGTGGACATGGAAACAGCAAGTGACCCCATGCCAGGTGTTAATGACTAACAAGGACTGAGTTTCCTTTCACTTCCTCATCCTCGTGAGTCATACATTGGGAGTAGCTGAAAAATCAGCACCACACAGTTGGAGAGGAGCGTCTCTAGGGGCTTGCCTGTTATTATTTTCCTTCAGGAGGAGCACCTGTTAGTGGGTCAGCCTCCCAGTGCCCTCATGGGGCCACGGGAACAAATAATTCCCAGGACAGTATTCATTGTTTGGTTTAAACATTGCATTTCGATGTTATACATAGATTTTATTTCTTTTCCGGAGATTTGTTTGTACCCAAAAAAGTGATCATAATGCTGAAGACTCACAGGCACTTTCTCCCTAGAATTTTCAATTCAGTGGTTCTCACAGATCAGCCTCTCTGGGGCCACCTGTGCCTCAGCGCCTGCAGAGATATAAGACTAAAGGGCTGGCTTCAGGGCTCAGCCTTCTGGACCGATCTACTCTGGGCAGAGTGCAGAGGCCAAGGTAGTCTCGAGGAGATGATTGTACCCGCTCTACACAGATACACCCTGGGGACACAGAGAAATATGAAGGAATCATTTGGACATAGTGGGTATTAAATTCACTGAGTTTGGGCTGGATATAATTGATAGCTTCAAAATTACCAGAATCAAGAACAAGTTTTCCATTAGCTTAATTTGAGGAGGTAAGAACTTAGTTCCAGGGAGTTGGTTATTAATTAGGCAATAAAACAAAGTAAAAGCTGTTTTCCAGAGGGGGGGGCGGTGGACTACATTTAGGTGCTAGTCTTTCCCCATTCAGCTGAATAAAAAATCACGTTCACATAATGCAATCCATGCTAGTTTTTTCTTGAACCCTTAGACATCTTTGGGAAGAAATAATAAAATACTGCCAATTTTGCAAAAATACAGTTCTTCATTCTTAAGTCATTATAGGATCATCTTTTAGTTTATAACATTTTGTTCTTCTAAAAGGACATTGATATATATTCACTTAAATGTCACTCTAACATGTTACGGTCAAGAACAAATTTATGCCTAGAACTGCTTTATAAAAGGAGCCACTTGACTCGGAGGTTCCAGCTCACCTTGTCCTCATTTAGGATTTAGTGCTTTTTCTCACCTCCGTTAATCTTTCACCTTCTTACCTGGTATTTGGTTTGCTTTTCTCTTCCAGTTACCACATGGAACTGATGAAAACTGGCTTCAAAAGCTGTATAATAACTTTGTCAACAAGAACCCTTTGTTTGAAAAACCCAGAATGTCAAATACATCCTTCATCATCCAGCACTTTGCGGATAAGGTACAGGGACGGTCCATTTGGGAGCAGGATGTCGGCTCGGCCCTGAAGCCAGACCTGCTTCCTGCTCCGACTCAAGTCACACCCAGCATGTAGCTTCGATGAAGGATACGTGTGTGTGCTTAACAATTTTTAATTTGTGTGTATCACAAAACATAGGAGTTTCAGCCAGACTGCTTTAAAGATAAACATGTTGCTTAGTGGATCTCATTTCTGATTTGGGATTTAGTGTGAATTCATTAGCCTTTTAGAAGTTTATTTTCTCTATGACATTGTGATCATCAAGACAGCATAATTGTATCCTATCATGAAAGCTACATCTTGTTTTGAGGTTTTCCTTTTTTATTAAGTTGTACTATATTTATTACAGTATTAACACAGTTTTACTCAAGATACTGCATTCTACAGGTGAACTTATTTTCTTCATTCATCTCCTTTTTTAAATGAAACAGATGTCACTTTAATAAAAAGAAATTTTTAAATTACATTACAGAAGACTAAGAAAATAGAAGGAAGAAAAAATCACCATAACCACCTACCCTTACCATACAGTCTCATCTTGCTTCCCTTCCCTAAGGAAACTCATGTCCCCTGCCGTTGCCTGGTTGAATGTCACCATAGCGGCCTGGCCGGGGCCTGGGGGCTGTGGGAACAGCCTGCATGTGTCTGTCCCGCAGGCTAGTGCCATGGGTCAGAGTCACCTGGCTGTGCCAGTGGCTGAGGGGGCAGCGGAGGGGACAATGAGCTGGAGAGCTGTAATAACCTTCGAGGGCTAGAGTAGTGCTGTGAAATACGGTAGCATTTTAGTGCCCAGCGTTTTTCAGATTGGTTCCTGAAAAGCTGCATATGCTGTGAATGATGGCATATCAAGTTATATTTTCTAGTTGTTGTCCTTTCTATTTTCATGGTTGGGATCCCAGGGGGAAAGAAAAAAGGGATCATATCTCATTTGGGATTTACTTCAAGAAGCCGTCTTTCTGGTACCTAGTTTCTGTACATTTAGTTCTCTAACCTGCCACTTGCAAGAAGTCACTCATGAAAGAACTAACTATGTGGCATGTCGGGCGCCTTGCAGATCGGTGGGAGGAAACCACAGACGCAGTAAGGTTATTCTGGGTTCTCAGGTTACGTAGCCAAGGATATAAAGTCATTTAGTAAGTGAGGCAGCCATGCTTAGATGCAGCAAGTCAGCACATCTGCAGGTCGCCAGAGCTACCAGTAGAGGCATCAGCTACCCGACACTGTTCCCACAAATGGTCTCTCTGGATTGGAAACTTCTACATTTCTTATACCTTTTGCCCATTTAGACTAGTACCACCAGCCTGGAAGAATCTATACAACAGTCCAAAGTCTTCATTCACAAGGGAGAGTTTACATATAGCCAGTGTACCTGTTTCTTCACCTAAACTCTGCCCAGTAAGGACACCTCCTCACCCAGGGGGGAAAAGCAGAGCCCCTGTCCAGGAGTCTGTGAACACCCTCTTTGCCTCCAGATTCCAGCACACCCAAAAACCTGTTCTCTCACAGTGAATTTTTAAAATTTTATTTTTAACATACTTTTTAATTTATGAAGAATACTTGTCATGTAATAAAATATATAACCCAGAGGCATAAGTTATTAGGGTTTGAATGTTGAAGCAGCCACACTGGATATGTTGTTGTTTGAAGGGGTTGAGAAGCTTTACAAATCAGAGAGGGATGCAGGAGAGCTTTTCACAGCCCAGTTCAAGCAGTGCAAACATTTACCCACTCCAGACCTGACTTTAAGGGCTCTCGTGGCCCTTGAAAGCTCTTTGGTGAGCTGGCCATTTTTTATTTCCTTTCTGCCACATCAACGCTGATTTGGGAAAACATTTCTATTTGAACCTAAAAGACCCCTGAGCTCTTTTCTCCTCTTGATGGCTTCAAAGGCAAAGTGAGCCCCAAGTCTGGTCTTCTAAGGGGCGTGTATGTTAACTGCACACATTGCAGGGAATCACCAGTCACTGTGGCCAGAGGGAACTGACAGGTGAGTGCAAGGTGATCAGCAACTAGTGAGAAATCTAAGCAGTGACAGATGACATGTTCCCCAGCTTCCTATAATGGGGTTGCTGTGAGACATGGAAACTGAGTCTCTTTTTTGGAAGATTGTTTTCATAGCCCCTCCGTTAATTTTTCTTTAAGAAGAAAAATCTGTGGTTCTTAGGTACTGTCTGCTTTGCCTCTTTGGAAGTAATTAAGTCCTTTCTGTGCATAGGTAGAATATAAATGTGAAGGTTTCCTTGAGAAGAACAGAGATACTGTCTATGACATGCTGGTTGAAATCTTGAGAGCAAGCAAGGTTTGTAAATTCCTAAGAGGGTAATTAATGTTTTCCTTACCTACTTGACATGGATCTGGATACATACAAAAATAGCCATTTTAGAATTGGGACTAGGTTGTGATCCTAGCTTTCAGAAAGCATACAAATCTCCATCGTCTGCAAAACCGAACCAAACATGCCAAAGCCCGAGAGGAAGGACAGCTAAGACAACCATTTAAAGAACCACAGTTCACATTTGATTTATGACCCTCCTGTGGAATTGAGATTTGGCTGTGGAGACTGGCTGAGCTGACTTTACCCCCAGTGGTTCAGATGGGGCTGTTGTGACTGTTTATTTGGTCTGCAAGCGGAGGGCTCTGAAAGAACACTTTGGGACACTGAAGTCCTTTCTGTTCCTTCCAGTTTCATCTCTGTGCCAACTTTTTTCGAGAAAATCCGGTTCCTTCTTCCCCTTTCGGTTCAGCGATCACAGTTAAAGCTGCAAAGCAAGTCATCAAGCCAAACAGCAAGCAGCTGCGGACCACAGTGGGGAGCAAGGTACCCAGCGTGTCTGAGGGTGAGGGGGCCACGGGCACAGACCAGGCCCCCGGGGAACCAGGCCTGGACGTGGGCACTGAGCTGCTTCAAATGCAGTATGAATACAAATGCAAAGGAAAACAATAGCTCATCACCATCATACCTCAGTGTCCAAGGCTGCACATGCCAGAGTGAACCTCGCATCTGTACAGTGACTCTATCACTAAGGTCCCTGCTGTTCAGGAGCAGTTCTGTCCAGAACAGTAGGACATGCTGATAGTCACAATCATGGATTGAAACCTGTCCTAATACATGTTCATCCATGAAGTTAAATCATCCTCTTCTTTGGAAAAGTTGGGCCGTTTGTCTTTTTTTTTTGTTTTTTTTTGGCCTTGATGTAAGTGTTCAATTTCAGTACGTTTGTTCTCTAACCTTATTTTCTAGTTCCGCAGCTCTCTGTACTTGCTCATGGAGACCCTCAATGCAACCACACCCCACTATGTTCGATGCATCAAGCCAAACGATGAGAAGCTACCCTTTGAGTAAGTGCTTATGTGCAGCAGAGAGGGAGACCCTGAGGAGGCTGTTGCCGTCATGTTGGAGAATTTGCTTATAATTGTCTTGAACTTTATGGTTTCTGAGTTTTCACATGATTCAAAACATTTCTGCCCTTTACCTGTAATGTTAGTACAACCCCCCCTGGCTGAGCCACCTCATCCCCAGGGTGAACAAGGGGGCTTGATCTGAAAGAACAGTCTGTAGTGAGAGTGTAGACTAAGAGAGCCAGAACATTTTCCTTGATGCTAAGAATTTGTGTGCACAATAGTGACCATAGTTAACAATACTGTTTTTGCAGATATGAAAGTTACTAAGAGACTAGACCTTACAAATCCTCATCCCAAGGGAAAAAATTCCCTAACTGTGTGGTGATGGATGTTAACTACACTTACACTGGTTATCATTTCATACTGTATACAAACACTGCGTCATTACATTGTAGACCTACAACTAATATAATGCTAATACCTTAATGTTTTTTTTCATTGTTTTTTACAAGGCTGTAAAGGAGAAGAGGTTTTGCCCTCAAACATGCCAGGGAATGTTAGACTTGTTCTCTGGGGCCCCGAGGAAAGGCCTCAGACCCTCCATTTTTTATTTCCTTTCTGCCACATCAACGCTGATTTGGGAAAACATTTCTATTTGAACCTAAAAGACCCCTGAGCTCTTTTCTCCTCTTGATGGCTTCAAAGGCAAAGTGAGCCCCAAGTCTGGTCTTCTAAGGGGCGTGTATGTTAACTGCACACATTGCAGGGAATCACCAGTCACTGTGGCCAGAGGGAACTGACAGGTGAGTGCAAGGTGATCAGCAACTAGTGAGAAATCTAAGCAGTGACAGATGACATGTTCCCCAGCTTCCTATAATGGGGTTGCTGTGAGACATGGAAACTGAGTCTCTTTTTTGGAAGATTGTTTTCATAGCCCCTCCGTTAATTTTTCTTTAAGAAGAAAAATCTGTGGTTCTTAGGTACTGTCTGCTTTGCCTCTTTGGAAGTAATTAAGTCCTTTCTGTGCATAGGTAGAATATAAATGTGAAGGTTTCCTTGAGAAGAACAGAGATACTGTCTATGACATGCTGGTTGAAATCTTGAGAGCAAGCAAGGTTTGTAAATTCCTAAGAGGGTAATTAATGTTTTCCTTACCTACTTGACATGGATCTGGATACATACAAAAATAGCCATTTTAGAATTGGGACTAGGTTGTGATCCTAGCTTTCAGAAAGCATACAAATCTCCATCGTCTGCAAAACCGAACCAAACATGCCAAAGCCCGAGAGGAAGGACAGCTAAGACAACCATTTAAAGAACCACAGTTCACATTTGATTTATTCATTCTCAAATATTTATATAGCACTCACCACGTGCCACGCATTGTCCTGGGTTCTGGGTGCAGCAACGAACAAGCAGACAGGGTTCCCGCCCTCGTGGAGCTGACTGTCCAGAGGCGGTGACGTTCCTGAACCGCGTCAGCAGCAAGCAGCGGCAGGCAGAGCTGAGTGTGCGGGGGACCCGAGGCAGGGCAGGGAGGAAGGGACGCAGAGACATGGGCACTGCTGCAGCGGCACCTGTGGATTTAGATTTAAGCTCCTCGAATCCACGGCTCTGTATGATGTAGTGTGTCACCAGAAGAATGACTTCTGGCTTTTTCTTTTTCTCTTTAAACATTTCTCATTAAAATTTGAGAATAAAGATACTTCATACGTGAGCCTTCATTTTGTGGCTATTAGGTTATTATATTTATCTTCTTCCTTTCAAAAGATTCTCAGTCCTTAGCTGTTCAAGTATTTTGAGAATTTCTCAAATGAATATGAGCACTTCTGTTAACAATCAAAAATAAACCTCAGGCCATGACAACTTCAGTTATTAAGACTAGTTTATCATAGGGAATTTAATGTGGAAACAGTCTGAATCTTGTGTACAAAATTAACTGACTTAATTCACCAGTCAGTTCCTCACCCTAAGTGTACCCTGGGGTCCAGTCTGGAAGGTGACCGCAGATCATGTGGGAGCACAGATGGGCCTCTCCACTGGGCACGTGTGCTCTGAGGCATGGGAAGTGCAGATCACTTGTTCCACGGGGCATACCAGCATGCATTAGGCAGGGATTCTTCCCCAAAGGAGATTCTCAGTGTTTGATTTAAAAGAAAAAAATGTGAGGCTCATTCTGAGGGAAGATAAGACATTTAAAGAAATAACTGATGCATGGTAGAAAATACTGAGTGCCTTAGAAGTGGTGCAAATAAAAAGATTAAGATTGTTCAGAGGAAATTGGAATTAATTCATGTTGGGGTATGAATCTTTTAACTATTTTTTTGCCCATAGTCTAAGCATGTGAAAGGGGTGGACCTGGAAAATATTTTGATAGGAACTTGAATACTGGGTGAGTTTGAATCTGCAGGGATGGACATAGGGCAGGAGGGAGGAGATTGCAGGTGCGGAAACCATGTGAGCCAGGCACTGGGCTGGGAGTAGTAAGTGTTGGTCACTTTCCACTTGCTGACTCTGAGTGCTTCCCACATGCAGACCGTCACACAGCTTTCCGCTCTGTCCCCATTCCTGGGAAAGAAGTCGTGGGTTGCCCCCAGTGAGGGTGACCCTCCTGTGGAATTGAGATTTGGCTGTGGAGACTGGCTGAGCTGACTTTACCCCCAGTGGTTCAGATGGGGCTGTTGTGACTGTTTATTTGGTCTGCAAGCGGAGGGCTCTGAAAGAACACTTTGGGACACTGAAGTCCTTTCTGTTCCTTCCAGTTTCATCTCTGTGCCAACTTTTTTCGAGAAAATCCGGTTCCTTCTTCCCCTTTCGGTTCAGCGATCACAGTTAAAGCTGCAAAGCAAGTCATCAAGCCAAACAGCAAGCAGCTGCGGACCACAGTGGGGAGCAAGGTACCCAGCGTGTCTGAGGGTGAGGGGGCCACGGGCACAGACCAGGCCCCCGGGGAACCAGGCCTGGACGTGGGCACTGAGCTGCTTCAAATGCAGTATGAATACAAATGCAAAGGAAAACAATAGCTCATCACCATCATACCTCAGTGTCCAAGGCTGCACATGCCAGAGTGAACCTCGCATCTGTACAGTGACTCTATCACTAAGGTCCCTGCTGTTCAGGAGCAGTTCTGTCCAGAACAGTAGGACATGCTGATAGTCACAATCATGGATTGAAACCTGTCCTAATACATGTTCATCCATGAAGTTAAATCATCCTCTTCTTTGGAAAAGTTGGGCCGTTTGTCTTTTTTTTTTGTTTTTTTTTGGCCTTGATGTAAGTGTTCAATTTCAGTACGTTTGTTCTCTAACCTTATTTTCTAGTTCCGCAGCTCTCTGTACTTGCTCATGGAGACCCTCAATGCAACCACACCCCACTATGTTCGATGCATCAAGCCAAACGATGAGAAGCTACCCTTTGAGTAAGTGCTTATGTGCAGCAGAGAGGGAGACCCTGAGGAGGCTGTTGCCGTCATGTTGGAGAATTTGCTTATAATTGTCTTGAACTTTATGGTTTCTGAGTTTTCACATGATTCAAAACATTTCTGCCCTTTACCTGTAATGTTAGTACAACCCCCCCTGGCTGAGCCACCTCATCCCCAGGGTGAACAAGGGAGCTCGATCTGAAAGAACAGTCTGTAGTGAGAGTGTAGACTAAGAGAGCCAGAACATTTTCCTTGATGCTAAGAATTTGTGTGCACAATAGTGACCATAGTTAACAATACTGTTTTTGCAGATATGAAAGTTACTAAGAGACTAGACCTTACAAATCCTCATCCCAAGGGAAAAAATTCCCTAACTGTGTGGTGATGGATGTTAACTACACTTACACTGGTTATCATTTCGTACTGTATACAAACACTGCGTCATTACATTGTAGACCTACAACTAATATAATGCTAATACCTTAATGTTTTTTTTCATTGTTTTTTACAAGGCTGTAAAGGAGAAGAGGTTTTGCCCTCAAACATGCCAGGGAATGTTAGACTTGTTCTCTGGGGCCCCGAGGAAAGGCCTCAGACCCGTGAGTGGAAGTTGTGAGGGTCTTTCAGGGCCTAGAGTGAGGGGGTGTCCAAGGGGCATGCACCCTGTCCGTGGAGGCAGTGAATGTGTCTATGGGTCGCCCAGGGATCAGACTTCAGCCACAGGGCCACATGTTGGGTGTCTTGTAAAAGGAACTCAAACCTGAAAACAGGAGCTTGGCTGAGATGACATGAATGTTTCTTCCACCCTGCTTGTCACTCAAAGCTCAAAGCAAAGGCCATTTCCCCGACAAGACCCCCTGTCACCGCCAATCAGTTGCTCCTTTCTCCATAAGCTCAGCAGAGCTTTCTGAACTCATTCACAGAGGTTCTGTTTTCCTTTGACACCCAACAGTTATTAAGGATCTGCCTGGTGCCAACAGGGGGAATGCATAGATCCTACTCCACAGGAGCTCATAGTCTAGGAAGGTCTGCCACTCTTTTTATGGGCATACTTATCAATTATGATGGCATAACTCATTATAAAATCATCTTCTTTAAGGTTTGACTCCAAAAGAATTGTTCAGCAGCTGCGAGCCTGTGGCGTTTTAGAAACAATTCGCATTAGCGCACAGAGCTATCCCTCCAGGTACACGTCGGTCCTTGTGTTTGGGGAAAAGCGCCCACCTTCTGGTCTGTGCTGACAGCCAAGGGGACTGGCTGCTTCACTTTGTCAGATACTCTCATAAGACACCCCAAGATTTTTCCCTCTGTGTGGTGGGAAGGCCAGAACTGGGTGATGCGCAGGCAGTGTGTGAGATGGAGGCTGCTTCCCTCCAACCCAATACCATGTCCACTGCTGGTGAAAGTCACCTGCTGCCTACCTGGTGCTCCCGGGAAGGCGGCTAGAGGGGAGGAGAAGACAGTTGTTGGAGGGGAGCATCGACAAAGACCATCCAGGGAGCAGACAGGCGTACTCGGGTGTCGGCGGCGGGGGCAGGGGTGTCACAGTCCTGTGCCATCTTCCCAGAACAGACTCCACCCCATCCCACCCCACCCCACCAGCAGCGGCAGGTCTGGCGGCTAGCCCCACAGACGTGATGTGCCTCCTCTCCGGCGCGCCTCCTTAGATTTCACTGTGACTTTCCAGGTGGACGTACCTTGAGTTCTACAGCCGCTATGGTGTCCTCATGACCAAGCAGGAGCTTTCATTCAGCGACAAAAAGGAAGTGTGCAAAGTGGTTTTGCACAGGCTCATCCAGGTCAGTCTTGCTCACCTCCTAGAATCGTGGACAGTTATGGCCTGTGTGGAGATGCTCACCTCCCAAATGGGTTTCTTCATCTTTGCCTCAGTGTCAGAACCATAACTGCCATAAAGAAGGAGGAGAATGTGCCCAAGCATTTCTGTGCTGAGAGGGTCAGAGCAGACACACTCCATGGGGGCATCATCTCCTGGCGGCAGGGACCCAGATTCAAACCCTGGCCACCTCAAGTGTCCTCCTGTCCTGCTGTGTCCCCCCCAGTCTAGGGGGCTGTCCTGGGCCTGGCGTCTATTACATGGTCTGCTGGGATGGTCACTGAGCCGGCTGGATTCCAGACGTGGCACTCAGTGTGGATTTAAGTTACTGCCAGAATGACGAGTGATGACGGACAGAGGAAGGGACTGTGTGATGATGGCCGGGAACGGGGGTGGGGAAGAAAACCCAAATGAAAACAGAGACCAAACCTTTGCAGGTTCTTCTGTTCTTTCTTGGAAACCACCTATAAGGCTGAAGCTCCCAAGAGGCCCAGCCGAGAAACACGGGGAAAGCACACACACACACACACCATGGGGTTGTGCATCCCACAGATGCAAATCTTAACCTCAAGTCCATTTCGTCCCCCAAAGTGGCTTTAAGCAGACAAGTCAAAATGTGAATTTCCAGATCATGATCAGGATTTTTCTGCTTTATGGCAAAGAACAAATAGGTCAAAACAACAAAGGTTTTGGCATCTTCAAATCTGTAAACATTTTCCACATATTACAGAAAATATGAAAGATTTTATTTCTAATTCTATCATTTTTGTCTTCCAGGACTCTAATCAGTACCAATTTGGTAAAACCAAAATTTTCTTCAGAGCAGGACAAGTGGCTTATCTAGAGAAACTCAGATTAGATAAACTGAGACAGAGTTGTGTTATGATACAAAAGCACATCCGTGGCTGGCTCCAGAGGAAAAAATTCCTCCGAGAGAGACAAGCTGCCAGGATAATCCAGCAGTACTTCCGGGGTCAGCAAACCGTGAGGTATGTTGGAACCAAGGCAGAGGTGTGAAACTGTGTGGCTTTTCTTTGCTGATGGCCTCCAGGGAGACGGCCCGACAAGGGCCAAAGGCCTTTCTGCTTGGCCTGGTAATGCAGAGGTGTGTGTGTGCATGCCTTCTGGTGGCCACGCGCCTCAAGATGAGAAGGTGTCCTCAGGGACAGCTAACGCTGGCTCTGCCTGTGCCCCCACGTGGCAGAGATGATGACCAGGACCCTGAAGAGAGAAAGCAAGCCCTGATCAGAGTCAGAATTCCCAGTGAGAACAGATAGAAGGACTGGGCCCCATGTCTGTAGGAACTGAAGATGCCTGAGACGTTCAGGGTCCTGGTGGAGCCCCTGAATAAATGCCATGAATAGCCACTGATCTGACCACCTGCCAGTGGTTGGGGGGGCCGACCGTGCCAGAGGGAATCCGTGGCAAGTTCCTGCCAGCAAACTTAGGGCCCCCTGGGAAGGCTGCTGCAGCCTCAGGGGGATGGCTGAGTAGAGGGCAGCTCCTGCAGCCATGCCCACCCCACCCCTCCAGTGCCCCCAGGAGTTCATGCTGGGCTGGCCAGTGAGGTGGGCATCCTTCCCGGATTGTGTCCTGTGTGCTCTGCGTGCTTCTTGGCATGCTGTGAGGATGGGCAAGAAGTCAGGTGCGTAAGGGTCTGGCTGTGTCTCAGAGCCTGACCTCTTCCTGAGCTTGAGGCTTCACCTCGGCAGCATCTGGGCTTCTCCATGTGAGAGGCAGACCACAGCCTTCATCTCGGCATGCCCAAACTGGACTTCCCATCCCAGCCACTGGTCCACTCCCCCAGGTGCCCATCTTACATGCAAATATATAAGCTAAGAGCAGCGGTCTCCAGGGCAGGAAACCCCAGTTATCTTCTCCCCCAGGCTCATGCTCACCTTCTTCTTGGGAATCACCGTGCCCTGACATTTCTACACCCTGCCTGCATCTCCTGTCTGTCCCATCGTCCCATCCCCACGCCACCGCCCTGTAGTGGCCCTCATCTCGTGCCCTCTGCTCTTACAGCCCATCCCCCACCTGTGCCTTTCCCTTCCATCTTCCTCAGGCAGGGCCGACCCGAGCCCACGCCCGCCTTCCATGTCTCCTGTGGGCTGTCTCCTGCAGAAGGGCTCTGTCTTTCACATGGTATTTGAGGCCCCTCCATGTCCTAGATGCATTCTTAGGAATGGAAGCCCTGTGGGGACAGGGGCCAAACTTGTCTGGCCATACTTGCTTCTGCACCTAGGATGCAGTAACATGGCTGTCACACAGTAGTTGTTCAATAAATACATTTTTTGGATAACAAATGGCCCCATCTATTTTCCTAATTTCGCTGACAACTAATTTTCTCCATGTATCTTACATTCTAGCAATTCCAGACAGATTCTCTTTGTCTGAATTTTTCAGGCACAGCGAGGCCTCCATGCCCTCACTGGTCCCTCCACCTGAGAGGCCTTTTCCAGTCTTACTGTCTACAGAAATCCCACTTGTTAATCAAGGGCCGGCTCCCATGTCAGCCCTTCCCATGCAGAGCGGTAGCGCTTTAAGATCTCTCTTACAGATTTTTCAGTTATTTTTCCTCATATCCCACTCAGCCGTTTGAAAGCCTGTCTGCCCTATGAGGTTGTAAACTCTGAAGGTAAGAATTTTGTCCTCCCCTCCAGCCTTTTAGACAGGAGTTGACAGTGTTTTTCTGTAAGAGCAAAACCTTTGGGCTTTCAGGGCCTTGCAGTTTCTCTCACAACTTCAGCTCTGCAGTTGTAGCCTGAAATCAGCCGTGGGCAGTGTGTAAATAGTGGGTGTGACTGTGTTACAGTAAAACTTGACACTAACAGGTAGGAAGGCTGCAGATTTCGCTCCAGGCCGCAGTTTGCCAACCCCTGATCTAGAGCCTCCTGCTAGATTTCCTGCAGAATGCATGGCTAGATGAAGGCACGAGGGCAATGCCACAGCCAGCTTTGTGGTCACGTATGGTAAGCTGAGTAGAATAAACCACTTACAGAGTTTGATGTAGATTTGCAGAACATTTGACTACTCCACAGGAAGAAAGTGCTGCCTGAGCTGGGCGCACTCTAGGATAAGCCATCGCCCGGGATAACAGACGCTATTCTGCATTCTCTTTAACCTAGGAAAGCTGTTACTGCCACAGCCCTAAAGGAAGCCTGGGCAGCCATAATCCTTCAGAAGTACTGCCGTGGATATCTCGTTCGCAATTTGTACCAACTGATTCGGGTGGCCACCATCACCATCCAGGCCTACACCCGAGGATTCCTGGCAAGGAGGAGGTATCGAAAGGTGCGGCTGAGACCACATCTTTCCTGGGACATGGGTTTGCCAGGGCTTGTGTTATTTTTCACCAGCAGTAGTGAGATGGTTTCTCTGCGTGAAGGCCTTCCTGGAGAGTAGGGAGTTCTGGTATGTGGATGTCTGTTCGTACCTGTCTGCCACAGATAGGATTTGCTCATTGCCTCAGAAGTTCAGTTATAATAGGGCTCTATGAGTTGATTGCAAGGAATTCATATTTTACACTGGGAATATTTTGGTAGTTGCATTTCCCAACATTGGAGGAGTTGAGAGAAACAGTGGACGTCCAGTCTGCATTTCACAAACTCTTTGTTTTAAAGATGCTGGAGGAACACAAGGCTGTGATCCTTCAGAAGTATGCACGGGCGTGGCTGGCCAGACGCAGATTCCAGAATATCCGACGATTCGTGCTCAACATTCAGCTTACTTACAGGGTCCAGCGCTTGCAGAAAAAGCTAGAAGATCAGGTAGGTCTTTAGAGCACATCTTTCATATTTTCTTATTCTAGCAGATTTATTTTGTTCTGGGCCAGGTCCTTAGCTATGCTTTTGAGATTTATGCCTATGTTAGGAGGTTCCAACAGTTTACATGGACCACCTGAACTAGACAACAGGAGACTGTAAGGGGCTGCTAAATATGGTTGTGTAGGTTGTACACTGCACAAGAGCAGTTGCCATAGAGGGCAACTGGGGCTGAAATCCAGCCTGGCTTTGCCTGCCAACCTGTGTGTCCTGGTAAAAGCTGGACTGCCTTGAGGCAGAGGTGCCTTCTTCAAATTTGCAGAGGTGCTGTCTGCATGCCAAACCATGCTCCCTCAGGACTGTGCTGGCTCAGGAGAGCTGCCATTTTCTAATTTGCCCAAAAGTCCATATGGTCCAGCTGCAGCCCTGCCTAGTTTGGGAATACTTCCCATACCATTCCCACTGGTAGGAAAAAAAATCCACATGCTCTCAGCCAGTGTGGGAGGGCTATGGAATATGCAGCATCCAAATCTATAAACCTCACTTCTGGCCTGTCTCAAATAATACCCTGATTCTCCCAAGGTGAGCACTAAACTTAGCCCTGAGCTATATTGTAAGGGTCCTTAGTAAAAGAATGAATGTGCAAAGAGGTAAACTTGAGGTTTTCATGCAATTTCCCCTCATTGTGCTATTGGTAACAGGCTGGCATGTTATATGGCTTGTGCACTGAAAAATAGTCCAGACCAGCTGGTAGCAGGGCCTGTGGGAGACCCAATGCTGCCTGGCTCCATTCTGCGTGCACCATCTGCTAGGGCTGCTGTAACTAACCGCCACAGACTGGGAGGCTTAAACAAGTCAGTTTCTCACACTTCTGGAGGCTGGAAGTCCAAGATCAGGAATTGGCAGGGTTGGTTCCTCCTGACTTGTCTGTCCTCAGCTTCTAGAAAATTGTCTCCTCCCTCCATCTTCACATCATCTTCCCTCTGTGTGTGTTTATGTCCTCATTTCGTCTTCTAACCAGTCACACTGGATTAGGGCCCATCCACGTGACCTTAATTATGTCCTTAAAGACCTTGCCTCCAGATATGGTCACATTCCAAAGTACTGGGTGTTAGGACTTATGTGAATTTGGTGTGTGTGGGAGGGGGCGGGGGGCAGTGGCAGACACAGTACAGCTGATGACCCTGGGGTTGCTCCAGGACTGACATGTCCCACACTGAAGGGGCCACCAGCTCAGGAAGACACTCACCTGACCAGCTGTGCCTCGCTGTTTTCACTGGGATGAAGATGCTCACACATGCCATTGCAGTGACATGTGCTCCGTGTAAATAAACCTCCGATTTAACATAGATGCCATGTTACAGGTTATGAGAAGCAAATGAAACAGCTTCTTTACTTGGGATGAACTTGTATGTGTCTGCTGGGTTTTTTTCTCTAGAACAAGGAGAACCACGGGTTAGTAGAGAAGCTGACCAGTCTGGCCGCTCTTCGGGCTGGTGACATGGAGAAGATTCAGAAACTGGAATCAGCCCTGGACAGAGCAGCCACCCACAGGCACAGCTACGAGGAGAACGGGAAGAGGTGCAGGGCCGCCATGGAAGAGGTCCGTGCTGGGCTGGCTGTGGGAATCCGTGCGAGGCCCCCCGCGGAAGGGGCCCTGGCTCAGCGCTGTCCCTGAAGCAGATTCCTGCAGAGCAGAGCAGGTTGTGCTGTTGGCTTCCATTACCTAAGGGAGCCTGCCTGCTGGGGGAGGGGAGAGCAGAGGCCTTGGGTCCAGGTGGGAGGAGAAGGCTCAGGCTTCAGGAAGCACAGCATAGTGTTCCCTCTTCTTTTCAACTTTTAAAGTGATGAAAGGCCAGAGAAGGAGCCCTGGGCAGATGCTTCCCTGTCTTCCAGGATGCTGGTCCCCTGAAGCTTGTCCACCTGGGGTGTCCCCTGAAGCAACTTCCCTGGAAGAGCAGTACAAAGCTTAGGGAAGGTTTTCATATCTGTGGTGGAGTACAAAGCAGTACATACAGAAATCCCATGTCTCCAGTTCAAATTTTGCTTTGCCGCTGCCTGGCTGGATGACCTTGGGCAAGTCACTTACCCTCTCTGAATTTCAGTTCCCTCATATGTAAAATGGGAATCACAAAAAGGGACTATGACAGAGTTGTGAGGGTAAAGCTGTCAGATGAAATGATTCAGCTAAATCCCTATCACAGAGCCCTGCACAAGCATGAGCTAATGTTCTCTAAAGAGAGGTCTTTATTACCATCCATTCTCCTGCGCTTCCCAAAGTCCTCCAGCACCCGGGCCAGGGCAGCCTGGAGCCCCAGGCATCATCTGCCCTCCCTGTGGCCCAGTGGCACCAACACGGTGCCCTGCCCACACTGCTGGTCACCAGCCATCAGCACCACGGGGTCCCCGGCCGCCAGACCAGCAGACACTTCACCAGGAAAAGCTAAAATCATAGAATTTCTGTCATGATCACACATCCTTCCTGAGCAGTAACAGTCCCAAAGTGTAAATCCACCTTCTACCAGGATTTATGTCATATATTAAGGATTTAAATTCGCTGACTGTCAAGAAGCTCAAGAACAGGATAGACAAGTTTCCTTAACTTTGAGGAGATCTTTGATTCCGTTCTTTCTCCCTGGTTTCAGCCATCACTGGGCTGGGGTGGGACCTGCTATCTGCTTAGTCATCTGGAGCCCTTGCATATGAAATAAATGCAGCATCCTGCAGTTGACTGGTGCTGATGTTGCCGACGGTTAGGAGCTGAGATCAAAAGAAAAATACAAATTTAAAAATACACAGCTTTACATCAAGAAAGACAATAATGACAGAACTTGAAATGAGATTTTCATCAAAGTTTTATTTTTTCTTCCCTGTGCTAGAAATTGGCAAAGCTACAAAAGCATAATTCAGAACTGGAAATACAAAAAGAGCAAATACAGCTAAAGCTTCAAGAGAAGACTGAAGAGTTGAAAGGTAAAGCCCAGCGTGGCCTGATACAGTGGTTCCCACCTTATCCCCGTGGGTATATTCCAAGCCCCCAGTGGGTGCCTGAAGTCGCAGGTGGTACCACACCCTAAGTATGCTATGTTCTTATACATTCCTACCTCTGATAAGGTTTAACTTATAAGTTAGGCACAGTAAGAGATTAACAACAATAACTGATATAAAATAGAACAATTACAACAATATATTGTAATTAAAGTCAGTGAATTTGGTCTTTCTCAAAATATCTGACGGTGCTGGACTCACCGTTCTTCTTGTGATGATGTGAGATGAAGTGCCTCCATGATGAGGTGAAGTGAGGGAATGAAGTTGGCCCTGTGACGTAGTGTCAGGCTACAGTTGATATGTCAGAAGGAGGGTCATCCACTTCCAGACCACAGTTGGCCACGGGTAACTGAAGCTGTGGAAGGCAAAACCATGGATAGGAGGGGACTACTGTACATTCATACATGCACTCGTCCAGTCATTTGGGAAATAACTGTTGGGTGTGAACCGAGTGTTAGGTAGAATCTGGAATCTGGTGTATGCTGATTATAGAAAGGTAATTTTGCTCTATAGAGAACAACCTTATTTAAATTATAGTAACTTTATCCTATGGATTCATCTGTTTTACTTCTATCTTTTGTCAGACAGCATAGCAGTCCCTGTCTCAGACCCTCCTGGGCCACTTGCAACGTACAGATGGTTGGGCCATGAGCCTGGAACTTCTCCATCAGCAGACGGGTGTGCCTGTCTGTGTGCATGTGGGTGTATCTGCGTGGTGTTGGCATGAGTGATTCAGACATCTGTGGGTTTTTTAATACTTTGGGGTGATCCTGATGCACAGTTGGTACTGGCATAATGTTTGTCGCTTGCCAAGGATTTGCAGTCAGATTTCAGATCTGTCTCAGTTGCTTGGCTTCAGCGGCATGCGCACCCTCTACAGCCGCCCGGGCCCTCAGTGAGGGCCCCGGCTTAGTGCCTGGGCCACGTCACCTCAGGCTGTTGGCTGCAGACTTTCATTTGGGGGTGTGGAGCCGCCACCCTAGCTCTGTCCATCTGTAGCTTTCCAACTCAAACGCTAATTCCGAGCACTTGCTAAACCCCAATAGGAACAGGAGCCTGGTGGCTCCTGATCAGGTCGTTTAAATTGCCACACTCAATCCCCTATCTTGTCCAGGGATCTTTTCCTTAAGCTCTAATGTGGGGGCAGCAAGGGCTGGGGATCTAGTCCCCACCTTTACACCAGGGTCCGGAGGAGCGCAGGAGCCCTGGGAACTTGGGGGTTCAGGTCAGAGTGTGGGAGGAGGAGGTGAACACCCTGGGTCCTGGCCAGCAGGGCAGGAAAGGTGGTTCAGACGCTGCCCTGGATGGGTATGCCCTCCTGCTCCAGAGGCTGCGTGCCCTCCACCCGGTCTGAGAAGTAACGGCGAGGGCCTTGGCGAACAGGGGGTCAGAGGTCTGTGAGTGAACCTTGACCCTGAATTAGGAAAGGGCTTACCTACCTCCACCTTTTTTACTGCAGTGAAAGAGAAGAGTGAAGAGTTGAAAGGCAAAGTCCTTCTGGGTGTTTGTTCTTTTTTCTAGCTAATGTCCCACAAGAAGATCCAAATTGCCACAGGTGTGCCCTGAAAGTCACATATTTGACAGCATTGATGTTTGGGTGGAGAATTTTATACCTCCTTCTAAAAAATGCCTGAGCACTCTCCCACCTGGTATCTACAAACTGCTTATCCTGTGGGTCCCCCTGCATATGGCAACTGATGTTTTGTGAAGAGCACCGTCGTTGCTTACCCTGTACCTGTGACCAAGGGATGTTACCAAATGTCGCTTCTCCTTTTTGAGATTCCGGCTTGGATACCATCCGTGCTCCTGGGAGGAGCAGCACATTTGGGCAGCCTCAACTGTATCAGATACACTGGTTCTATTAAGCTTCAGCATTTCCCTAGTGTTTCCTGGCTGACTCATAACATTCTGAGGCAGTCGTTTTGATTCAGGGATGTTTGGCAAACAATCCAACTGCTGGCTTTTTTTAAAAACCCAGGTTATGTGAAGTGTTCCTCTCATGACTTATGCCCCGGCTCCTGTCCAGGACAGGACTCAGAAACGGGGTGGAATTCAAGGAAAAGCTGTCAGCTAAGTCCAAACAGGGGTGTCAGGCTTTGATGGGCGGCATCTGTCATTCTGCTCCCATGTCGGTGGGCACCTGTTGTGTGTGGATGTGTTGGGAACACATGGCTGTCAGAGCCACCGAATGTCCGCAAGCCCAGCGACTGTTTCCTAGATGTCCGGTGCCACTTTGTGGAGGAGACGCCTGTACGCAGAGGCAACAGCAGCTTGTTGGTACTTTCTCCTGCCCAGATGAAGACAGACACTTTGTTATTTCCTTGGTGTCATGAGTGAGTGGTTCTCAACCAAAGCACTTTTTGTTGCCCTCCACGGGGACATCTTGGAATGCATGGGGACATGTTTGGTTGTCACAGCTGGGGCACACGTGCTGCTGGCTTCCAGTAGGGAGAAGCCAGGGATGTGCTCAACGCCCTGAATGTGCAGCACGGTCCCCTCTGCACAGCAGAGATTATCTAGCCTGAAGCGCCCGCAGTGCTGAGATGGAGAGACCCTATCGTTGATTGATCATTTTCTTCCTACAGGGTTTCTGTTTACTTTTAATAATAGTATTTATTGCCACAAGACCAATATGCTTTTTCTAATCAAAACAAATTTTACTCAGACCAGTAAAAGTACTAAACATAATACTGTTTTGTAGTTTCCAACATGACAAATTTGTGAGAATTATTATTTTGAACCCCCCTTATCCATATTTCTAACTTATAAAAGTGACAGTTATACTCTCATCTCAAGTCCTGTTGGTTACACACAGCCCGTGATAAGGACATTCTTACTTTATGTATGACATGAAACAAGACTCTGGTTTGCAGACATATTTCAAAAAGCTTTCTCTTTTCACAGAAAAAATGGACAACCTCACCAAGCAACTCTTTGATGATGTGCAAAAAGAAGAAAGACAAAGAATGTATGAAATCTAGTTTGCCTTAAAGCTCCGGCTTTGTTCTCTCTCTGCTGTTTTATATTTTGCTTCTCAGCGTGGAGATAGCAGATTGCAAATACAGGAGAGTGAGGTGTGACTTTTTTCAGGAAGCAAGAGACTTTGAGATTTGTGAGAGCTCATTCCCAGAGTGTACCTTTCAGGCACTGCAGGTTGTACGGATATGGGTGCTCAAGCCCTGGAATTTCTTGCTTTCCCTTTATTGCTGAGACATTCAGACACTGCCCCCCTTTCAAATTCCATCAAGTCCAAGAAGTAAGATTATAGTGCAGGAAGTCAACCTCCCTCCCTTACCCCACCTGTTGTCTTTGTTAACCTGGTTCTTACACCCAGACAATAAGGGATGTAACCATCTCACAGAAATTAAGGCAGGTCCCCATGACCTTGTCCTGTGCTAGTCTCACCTTTTCCATCTCAATATCAAACCTTTGCTCATCTCTAAAGACTCTGATCTGTGCTCCTATCTCAAAGTTTTAGATTTCAAAGTAGGGATGTCTGGCAGGGCATTTGGGGGGATTTGAACATTCTTGGCATGTCTCTCTCCTGGGGTCTAGAAGGCTCAGGGCTGTATGGGGTAGGGGTGGGGGTAAGTTACACAACTTCTCTGTGCAGTTAGTTGCCAGAGAGCCTGGCTCTGGGTGGGGCAGCAGGCACCAATAAGTGAGGGAAGGGGATGTCTCTGAAGAGCTTCAAGGGTTCACAGATGCATAAAGTCTTTCATGATCCTATGTCAGTTTAAAAATAGAGATATTTGACTCTTTACCTTGAAAAGTCCATTCTTTAATTAACTCCAGGGCAAGAGCTCCGTTCTTGGCATCTCACCGTGATAGGGGCCCCTCTTGGGAGTGGTATTTCAAAGAGGGGCTCAGAGAGCCAGGCTGGGGCCAGGTTGCCTGGAGTTCTGCTGACCCACTCAGTGCTCAGCAGCACCCTCACCTGGACCTCAGTCTGGCTCCTGGTCGACTGGCTGCAGAAATCCCCAGAGCCGTCACAGCCCTCGAGAGGCATACATACGCCCGCAATCTGTGGGTGCCTCCCAGTCAGTTCAGGCTGCGAGTCTCAGATTCTTTTTACACAGGCTTTCTGGTTGCAGTTTGCTTCTTCAGAGGTTTTGCTGGCCTCTTAGGAGCACTGTGGTTTTTTGAAAGACCTAACAACAAAGTTTAAAAGTATGTTAATATTTATAAAAGGAAATGAAACAAAAGCCTATTGGGAATGTGACTCTCTTCCTCTCAGTTTTTCTCTTTGAGCTATAAAAGCAAGTAATAAAATTGAGCTGACAACCTGGTGTATAGATTGATGACTTAATAAACTCATAGAGCCCCTGGGACTGACTGCTTCAGTTCTCGCTGAGCTCCTGTGGGCTGTGTCGGGCTGATCCAGGCCATGTATCTCTCCTTAGTTGTTTTCTTGGTCAGTCATCCTATGTTTAATTAATCAACCATCTCAGAAGGAATTGGGTTTCTGTGGACTTTGAGGAACCTAGATTTGGTTTATTGTAGACTGTTTGAAGGGCTGGGCCCTTTGACATATTAAATGGCTATATTAACTTGTTTAGAACCAAGCCAATACCTTCCAGGACCCTTAGAACCTGGTAGGGGCCAGGACTTGGCAGAAAGGGCCAAAGTCTTTGCTTAGGAAGTGGCCCCTCTAGGGAACTACATGGAACTGGGGTGGCTTCGGGAGTCCAGTGTCCCAGACACCACTAGATTTCCAAGTTTAGCCTTCCTATCCTGCGTTTCCTTTGCTGGACATTGTAGAGCCACACTTCTCAGATCTGAAGGTATAAGAAGCTTCCTTAACCTAAGGGGACCAGGAAGAGTCAGCTAAAAATAAGGCCTTTGTTTAGTGGAACTGTCACAATAGATCCTAATTAACTCATTGCGTCCTTTCCAGTCTTTCATTATTTTCAAAATGATGAATAGTTCTAATTCAGGATAAAGACTTTTGAGACAATTCTAAATAATTTTTTGCTGCCTAGACTTCTTGAAAAAAGTTTTGAATTGAAGACACAAGACTATGAAAAGCAGATCTGGTCTCTGAAAGAAGAAATTAAAGCTCTCAAGGATGAGAAAACACAGCTGCAGCATAGCCTGGAGGAAGAGCGCATTACCTGCGACCGCTTAAAGGGGGAGGTGGCCCGACTGAGCCAGCAGGCAAAGGTAGAGGCGCCTCTGGCTTTCAGAGGAGCTCTTTGCCCAAGTCCTCTGACCCGCTGGGGGGAGCAGGTGTGCATGTCCCCAGGATCAGACAGCTGATGGGCATCTGTAATGGTGAAAGTCAAAAGGACCCAATTCCTTCAGTTCTTCCAAGTATAAACCCCCAAGCTGCCTCTGACTTAGCAAGAATTGTTTTTCATATTTTAAAAGCCAGATTTTTAACTTTTTTGAAACTATATTTACATAAAGTTATTCAAATATGTTGACCTTGAGAATCCTTCCCAATTAAGTTATAAATTGGTGTGAGCCCTTATTTTACTATCCATCATATTGTTTATATATTTATAAATACATATATTAAAATCAAATTAACTTATCAGAATCTTACATTTTAAACTACTATCAGAAAATCCACAAAAGCAATCATCCATGCTTGCACAATCAAGGCTCGACTAAATTCCTTCCCTCCCAGAAAACACAAAAGTGTGTCCCTATGTTTTTAAATGCAAAGCATTTCAGTGTAAGGTTGAAAAGCTTTTGAGCTCTCACTAAATACGTGAAACACACATTAGTAGAATGTTAAGATTATGTAGAGTTCTCTATAATTGCCTTAGCAAAGCCATGCATGGTTTAGAAGAGCTTTAGGAACCACGCATATGTTGCCTCTGAACTTTGTAGCAGAGCTGTTGCCGTTCTGTGGGCCCTGGTTTTCTATTGTTTAAAAGTAAGGGATTGGCCTGTGGGCTCAGGAAGGACCATAACTTCCTATCACTGCTTCATTCTTGCTGGTCACATAAGGATGATGTCAATCTGGGAGTCATGTCATGTGGCTAGTCTGTATCTTGGGAAATCATGTGGCTGTACTTGGATTGAAGCACCAATATTTGTCACTCACTTCTTCTTTGGGAGCCAAAACTGTGGCCCAAACTCTACAATGTGGTATATTAAGGAGAGTCTGACATTCAGAGACACCAAGACCATCTTCAAGTTATACTTACAGTCTGTAAGTAAAGACACATATGTCTTGGAACATTCATTGAAATATTAAAAAGAGCATCACTTTGAGATTGTATGGTCCAGGGGCCCCCAACACCTTGCTACATGACTCCGAACATGCCATTTAACCTTTATGCAGCTTCAATTTTCCTGTCTGTATAAGATCACCTTACCCACATTATGGTCCCATTAAGAGGACTAGGTTATGTATGAAAAGTGAATAGTAAATATCTATTTGGCCTCCCTTCTCACTCTCTGTGGAAACAGAAGCTGTAGCCCTTAAACACTTAGAAAATATCAAGGAGGGGTTGTTCACCTCTGCATACCTCCCGTAGCTCCCACCGCCTGTGGTCCTTAAGTTGAGCTGCCAGGGTCCCGGTGGAACTCAGCCTCTTCCCCACAGCCAGAGCTGCCCCTCCGTGATAGCCAACTCCCAACCTCCCGGGCACTCCCTGGCCCTGCCACTGCACATATCTAAACCGAGCCAGAGCCCAGCCCTCAGTCACAAAGGTGGTGGCCTTGCCCACATCCCCAAAGATTTCATCATATAGTGAAAGAGGATTTAGCTCCTTTACTTTTGCTTCTCTTGGCTTGCCTTCCTCCCCACTTTACCCCAAGTTTATAGTAAAGTAGCTGTTTTTTCCTTTAGACGGTAAAACTAATTCTATTGATACAACCAAGGCGAACTGGTATAAGTAACAATATTTTGAGCAGTTAAACATGCTTTAAGGCCATGATGTATGGGGCAGCAATGGTTTGACAAGATTTTAATTGGGAAACTGCAGTGAGGGTACCTTGCATAGAAACATGATACTGTAATAGTATTCCCTTTGTCTAACATAAATCATAATTGCTGTTTTTTCTTCACCTGTTACGGTCATTGCTGTGGTTCAGACAATCTCTGAATTTGAAAAAGAGATAGAACTACTTCAGACACAGAAGATAGATGTGGAAAAACATGTGCAGTCACAAAAACGGGAAATGCGAGGTAACAAAAATAGGAGTCACTGAGCCCACGGGGTGCAGGATGCATTTATCACAGGCATCACTGCTAAGGGAACTTGAGCAGTATGAGACTGGTTGGCTAGCTGGTTGGTTGAGTATTTGATAGGTTGAATAGCTAGTTGGCTTCATAGCTCATAGGTTGGTCTAGCTGGCAAGTTAGCTGATGGGATGGTTGCTGAAGATTGCGTGAAGCTAGTAAACTGGGCCCTAAGGAGGGAATGGAAGGAGAGAAATCACACAAAAATGTAATTTATTCCAACTCTGCCTTTTCCTCTCAGAAAAGATGTCAGAGATCACAAAACAACTTCTTGAAAGCTATGACATTGAAGATGTAAGAAGCAGGTAATTGTTTTGCATTTCCAAACATTCAGAAATATAGAACCCATGAGAGAGATGATAGATTTTCTTACATTCCTTATTTTCCAGGCTCTCTGTGGAAGATTTGGAACATTTAAATGAAGATGGTGAACTTTGGTTTGCTTATGAAGGACTAAAGAAAGCAACACGGTGAGAAACTGCCCCCTACCCCAAGTTCTTTTTGATCTTTCAGAGATAATAGCCTATTGGAAAGTCAGTTTATCTTACATCAAGTTGATACACAAAGTAAATTCTTTATGATGATCTAATAATGCCTGAAAATATTTATTTCAGAATTAAGTAATCAGTTTAGTAATGAGGAGCAGCCTCTTTATGGGATAAACTGTCGAAAAATTAAAAGCTATAAACTGTCCATTGAAAATTGATTATATCAGATAAGTTAGTCAGTGTTGCTATAGATATATAGATATGTTTAAATTTAATAAGTTTGCTGCATTTTTTTCCCATTTCATTCTAAAAACTTTATTTTTTGATCAGTTTTAGGTTCATAGCAAAATTGAGCACAAAGTCCAGAGATTCCTCTTCTACCTCCTACATGCCCCCCACCACACACACACAACCATTATCAACATGTCCCAGCAAAGTGGTGCATTTATTAAAATTGATGAACCTACATTGACACATTATCAACCAGAGTTGATAGTGTACATTAGGGTTCGTTCTTGGTGTCAGACATTCCAGGCATGTATTTTTACCATTGTTTCATGATACAGAAAATACTTTTTAACTACCATAGTAAAAATGTGACATCAATAATGTATAAAATAAAATTTCTTACTTTTAACTACATGTTAATGCCACATACTTGTTCCTGACTAGTTAAATGAATTTATTTTGTCCGTTTCTAATTCCATAACCTGTAACTCTGTGTACATAAGTAAACTTAATGTACTTTGTCCATGGCTCTAATTGTGAGTTTTCATAACTGCTGCACGTGTGAGCACTCACAGTCATCAGCACAGGAGGAGAAAGACCATGTGTCTGATTTCTATTTTTTTATTTTTGTGCCTTAATTAAGATATAATTGTATATAGCATTGTGTAATCTTAAGTGTACAACATGACAGTTTGATATACCATGTGGTCAGTTTTTTGACCCCCTCTTAAAGTGTTTTAGAGAGCCACTTCCAGTCCCAGAAGGACTGCTATGAAAAGGAGATTGAAGCTTTGAACTTCAAAGTGGTGCATCTCAGTCAAGAAATCAATCACCTGCAGAAGTTATTTAGAGAAGAGAATGACATCAATGAAAGTATCCGTCATGAAGTTGCCAGGCTAACGTCAGAAAACATGGTACGGTCTGCGCCGTGGGCCCCTGTAGCAGCCGCTACCCTAGAGGTGTTCTAAGTTAGTGGTAAAATTCAATTTCCTGGCAGTAAAACGATGGATCAGAATTAACATTTTCCAGAAGTAAAATAACAGGGTCAGAAGATAAAACTATAAAATCACCCTAAGCTAGAGAGCACTTTGATTTGAGAGTGTGTTTGTTTACCAAAGGAGGGTCCAGATTCTGTGTGTGTGTGTGTGTGTGTGTGTGTGTATTTAAATCTGTGTGTTTTAAAACTAGCATAAACCCCTTGGAAAGTGACAAAAAACATTAAGGTAAAAGGATGACTCCCGAGACAGGTGTGAGTTCAGAAGGTCGGTCTGTCTGCCCGTTCTCCTCATCTCACCCTTTCAAGGACTTGCTCCAGGATGCCTGCTCGTGCCGACCGCCTTTGTCTCACTGCTGCCACGGAGAGACGCTTTAGGAGTCTCCTAAATGCTTAGGAGGGATGCTTTAGGAATCTCTTCACTCAAAAAGAAATCCCCTCCTTAGCCCCACATGCCCTGCAGCCACCACCCCATTCCTTAGGGGGAGCTGGACAGGCTTCTCCACGGCCCCCTAACTGTGATTTCTCCACTCACCCATTTACTCTGCAGCCGCCCCGTTCTGTCGTGGCCCCTACCACTAAGTGAATCTGCTGACACAAGGCTGAGCACAGAGGGTTCCTCTTCACCCTCATCTGAGTCTCCTGGCATTTGATGGCATTGACCACTCCCTCTCCTTCCTCCTTGATCTGTTGGCATCAGGACGCTGCGCTCTCCTAGGCTTCTCAGCCCCCTGCACGCTGCCCCTTCTCAGCTTCTTCACTGTCTCCTCCTCTGCCTAACCTGGGCGCATTAGGACACAGGGCTCTGTCAGCAGGTGAGGAGACGTGACCCTGGGCACAGCAGACATTGGAACAGTGGTTAAGGAACCTCATGTCTTTGTTTATTCTGTTGGTGAAACTTTATTGAGGAATATGCAGTGAGATCCAAAGTCTCAATCAAACAGGTATTCCGCATTTGAACTTCAGAGGCATGGGTGTTTGTATAACTTGGACAAGAGAAAATATCTTTTTACCTGACTGAGGGTGGAGGTGACCAACGTTTAAAGAAACATACAGATAGACCAGGACAAGGATGCTGAAACACACTGGACAGTTCCAGACCTCCCCTAACAGAGCTGTACACAGCCTGGAACTCAGTGGGGCCCCTTTGAGATGATTTTGCTGTTCCTAGAGGAGGAGGTGTCTCTGGGCCTAAGAGGCGGGCTGCTGTTCCCTCACATCATTGTCCTCACCATCATCCCTACTCCCCCAGTGTCAACTCAGGGGAGAATTCTAAATGCCTCCCGGACTCTACTTCCTCCTCTCCCCAGAGGCCTCAGTCACGGGGGGTGCAGCTGTGTGAGCACCACCCCGTGAGCATGCTTGTGACTGTACAGACCTTGAGGTGAAAGAACACAAAGCCGAGCGAGTCTGGCCCTCTTACACAGCTACACTAGGCGCATGGTCCATAGCATCAGACACTCCATAGTTTAGTTGGCTTCTGAGTAGCTCTGAGATTTTAGAGTTCATAGGTGAAAGTAGAGATTCAAATATTCCTGATTCTTCTCTGAAGATGATCCCAGACTTCAAACAGCAAATTTCAGAACTGGAAAAACAGAAGCAAGATCTTGAGATCCGCCTGAATGAACAGACTGAAAACATGAAAGGTAACTGACCCCATCACGAACCCACTCGTAGAAAGTGGTTTCCTGTGTCCAGGAAATGACAGAAAAGAATTTGAGTGGGTCTCAAATTGTGGTTCTGTGGGCCAGGCAGGTGACACCGTGTGAGCAGAGTGCTGGGTGGAGGGAACGGCAAGGCGCACGGCACGTAAAGCGGCAACTGGTTGATGCCGAGGAGTGCGGGTCCCAGTGTTGCTTGATACTCCTGTTTTTAAGGAAAAGCCAGAAATCCAGATTTTTATGTGAAATATCACAATTTTAAAATAACAGCTTTAAGAAAAGTGTAAACCAAGCAAAATCTCTAGTTGGATACAGGTTAGAACCCCTGATAACTGAAAGCATGACCAAACCCAAATCCAAAGCAGCGGCCCGGCCCCGGAGTCACGGCGGTCCTTTCCACCGCAGGAAAACCAGAGGAATCGTCGAATCAGTTGGCCCACTGTCGAGAGGAGGAAGGAACGCAAAGGGAGTAAGTGTTAACGCATTTGCGCCTCAGGTTCACGCTCGTGTTATGCGCTGCTTTTCTGAAATTGGGGGAGACACCAAGATATTAGCAAGGTGCTAATTAAGATGTATGATATATTGCCACTCATGAGGAAAAGAAGTACACGTGTGTGTACACGTACACACACACACACACACACACACACCACCACCACCACCCCCACCACCACCCCCTACTCCACCCCCCATCCCCCCTACCACCCCCCTGGGAAAACATACAAGAAATAAAACATCACCTGCTTCCAGGGAGGGTAACCGAGTGACAGGGCAGGGAGGAGAGGGACCCAGCACTGTGCACCCTGTTAGACCCTTAGAGCATCATGCCATGCACGTGGGTTATCTGTTCAAAAAATTGACAAAATAAGATTGTGTGAGTGAGAACAGATTTTCTCCTAGTAGGCTATTTAGAATAAGGCTTAAAAGCTATGTTCGAAAAGAATCTTCACTGATAATCCCTCTAATTTACATCCTGACCAGCAGAGGGCCTGGGGCTCCCGTGAAGCCTCTTGAGGGAAGTGTTCGGCTTTGCTGCCAGCTTGCTGAGATACTTGATTTTTCAGAGGAATAAATGGACTCTCTACATCCTGGAGAGCATTTTTAGTCATGCAGTTTTACTGGCAGGAATGGGATGAAATGAGGGCCCCAAAAGCAGGAAAGAGTGAGACGCCACATTGGAATGCTTCTCATGGGCTTCTCCTCTCTTCCCTCCAGTCCCTGGCTTTTTGAGAGTCTGGTGCCCAGAGTGTTTACAGGCCATTGGTCATAGGGGTGTGAGTGGGTGTGGATGCCCTGTGGGAGCCCTCAAGGGTGCAGGTGGGGTGGGGCCAGAGTCCCTCATCAGGACGAGGAGACCAGGCAGTCCAGGAACAGTTTTATGCCCCAGCCAACTGTGATTTCCTTCCCCTGCTTCAAGGACTCCCCTGTTCCAGTACTGTAGGCATGCCTCATTTTATTTTGATACTTGCCATACTTGCAGTGGTCTGGAACCAAACCCACAATATCCCCGAGGTCTGCCTGTATTCACTTTACATATTACATTGGCCAGAGCATTTTCCAGTTTTGGAAACATCAGTGCTTGCTATGACAATGAATGACTTCTCCGCTGTGGTCAAACTGATAGCAAAATTCCCTCTATCCTTTCCTCAGGACCATAGAAACCCAAGATGAAATACACACCAAAGAAAAAGAGAAGCTGGTTGATAAGATTCAAGAAATTCAGGAGGCCAGTGAGCACCTGAAGAAACAATTTGAAACAGAAAGTGAAGTCAACAGTAGGTTCCAGCAGGAAGCATCTCGTCTTACTATGGAAAACAGGGTGAGAACTTCTAACATGCTGATAAATGGCTGCAGGTGTCACTGTAGTTATAATGATTCATTCACAAAGCCGGAAGCATACAGTGAACAGCTGGAGATCAAACCGTCTCCCTCAGAGCAGTCTGTTTCCTTATCTCAGAAGGCTGGTGGTCTCCGAACTTAGAGCCCACTGCAGGGGTGCTGGGGGAATCACAGAGGCCGCACCTCGCAGGTGTCTGGCAGAGTAACGGGAGACAAGAGAAGAGGACATGGTCCTGAGCACTGCCCCACGGGTGGCACCCTTAGCGGTGATGAGCCCTGCTCCAGAGCACGTTGAGGTTGATGGGCCAATATGTGAACTTCTCTGAGCAACACTTACCCCATTAAACATTACCCCCTTTCTTCAGAGGGTATGTCCTTCCTGCAGTTAGAGTCAAACTGTTCTTCTATGAAATGCTCACATAGTAGTTGACAAATTTTTTAAATTGTTAAAGTCTTTATCAAATTGTAAATGCACTTGTCAAAGTGAAATTTGGCAATTCTGTGTCAGTCCCTTGAAATTTTGTTGGTGTGTGAAACCCACAAGACTGAGAACCACCAAAGTGGCAGGTGAGACGCATTCCTGGGAGTCAGACACTCTCAGGGCGCTTCCTGGCCTGGCAGCCTGCAGACCGGGACCACGGGAGGGCTCGGCAGGCAGGCTGCCTGGACTTGTGCACAGGCCTGCTCCCCCTCACCAGGGCCCCCCATTTCCTGTCTCACAGGAAAACTATAATAGGGTAAAATCATATTTTGCAGTGTCAGAATTTAATTTCAAAGGGTAATTATATCCAAAATGAACATTCCACACAGGTTAACATTTAACAGGAAGTAACACTTTCCCATTGGGGGCATCTAGATGATGGCCAGCTATTTTGAGGAGGACATAACTTTCTCAGAGAATAGACTCCTCAGATCACACCAGAGAAGCAGCTGCCTGCCAAGCCTGTGTGAGAGGTGACCCTGCCCTCTGCAGCTGGGCCCACGTATGCCCCTTTGGTCTCAGTTGGAGCCAGTGGGAAAGGAGAGGGTAGGGGTGAGGGACATGGATGTGGCACATCTTGTCCCAAGTGGACCTTCACTCCCTAGCTGTGAGCAGGCGGCTCTGGGTGTTGTCAGTCCCTGAGTTGTGTGGGATTTGTGAGAATTTGTTTCTGATATGCTGGGAGTAGTGAGGTCCCTCAGTGCCCCTCCTCAGGAGCCCCCTGTGTGTGTGGCTTTGTTCCTAGGAGGGGACAGGCCCGGCCTGCTCCTTCCGCAGTGCACTGAGCTGGGGAGCAGTCATATCTATGGGTGCGTTCCATGAACTATCCCTGACCCAGTGAGCAGCCTCAGTGTTACAAATGAGTAGATGAATACAGAACAAACAAATATGACTTCTGTATATTAGGTGGTAGATTTCACCCACAAATAAGACTTGGCTGCGTTCGTGTCCTAGCGCCACCATAACAGACTACCACAACTGGGTGTCCTGGAACAACAGAAATTTGTTTCCTCACAGTTGTGGAGGCCAGAAGTCTAAATTCAAGGTGTCCCCAGGGCTATACTCCTCCAAAGTTTCTAGGGGAGAATCTGAGTCAAAGAAAATTTTCATTAACAAAAGAAAAAAAAACCTTTAGTGATCCTCTCACTATTTACCAAGGAAATTTAAGATGAAAACTTTTTATTTTTGCCTCTCCAATAATAGAGATCTTATGGTGCTGGTGAGAACATCTTGCAGTGGGCAGGGTCACACGTGGTTTCTGGGGATGTAATTGGGGTAAACTCTGTCCAGGGTGATTTGGAGGCAGATATGAATATTTAGTAGCACTTTCTCTTTGACTCAGTAATGCAACTTCTAAGAATCTAATCTAAGCACATAATCAGATACGTGGACAAAGATTCATATTCAGAGTATTCATCAAAGTGTTAAAGCAAAAAAAAAGAGGATATCCCATAATAGTGGGTAGATTATATTATTGTAAATTACATGACTTAGCCATTAAAATGACAGTGTGTGGATATTATGATGGGGGAAACATCTGTAATGTAATGAGAGGAAAATCTAGGATTTAAAACTTTATGTACAGTATAACCCCAATTTTTAAAAATGTGTATGTGCCACATTAGGAAAAAAGGAAGGAAGGAATAAAAACAAAACATAAACTGCAGTTTCTTCCAGGTTCTGGACGGATGAGTAGATTTTTTATTATTAGATATATTATAGCATGAACTCAAATAGGGGAGAAGAAACTGTACGCACACCCCCACTTGTAAAGGCAGGTAAAGTTCCTCAGGTGTTAGCTAGAGACACAAAGCCGACACTTCTCCCTCCCTCGGGGGAAAGGCAGACACGGGGCAGGACAGCACGGCCTCCTCCCCAGGCCCGAGAGTCCGCAGAGGCACACAGCTGTGGAGACTGCGTGGTGAGCATGGCTGGGTCAGAAAAGCCTGAGCGCCTTCGGTGGCAAAGCCCTTGGAATTCAGGAAGAACCTAAACACTCTGTGTTCTTTATAGGAAATATTTATAGGTAACCAGGACAGTCCTGGCTCCTGAGCCACACTCAGCCTGGACAAGACCACCCCCTTATCACAAAGGAAAGGCAAGACCAGGACCCAATTCTCTGAAGTTTTTCTTCTCCAGCTTCTCTGATATCAGAGAACCCATTCATATTTTTAAATCTCTCTGATAGGGATTACTTTATCAAGAGGAAAAATAAGATGAATCGGTATATCCATACAGTATTATATTATTGAGCAATAGAAAGGAGTGAAGTACTGGTACATGGTACAACATGGATAAACCTTGACAGCATTTAAGCTAAGTTATAGAAGCCAAACACAAAAGGCCACCTATTGTAAGACTTCAGTTATATTAAATGCCCAGAATAGGCAAATATATGGAGACAGAAAGAGTAGCAGTTGCCAAGGGCTAGAAGGGAAAAGGGGGACATGGGGATGACAGCTAAAAGTCAAGTTTTCTTTTTGGTGTGATAGAAATGTTCTGGAATTAAACAATGTCAATGGTTGCATAATCAACGGTCTAAAAACCACTGGGTGTACACTTACGTGGGTGGATGGTATGGCCTGTGCAGGAGAGCTCAGTAAAGCTGTTACTAAAAAATAGAGTAACATGCTTCTAAACTAATGTCCTTATTTCTTTTGATTTCTGTAGGATCTTGAAGAAGAGTTAGACATGAAGGACAGAGTGATTAAAAAGCTACAAGATCAAGTCAAGACTCTAACCAAGACAATTGAAAAAGGTAGGAAAGATAACATTTTACTGTTTTTTGAACTTTCAGCTAAGGGCAGTATGCACTGAAGTGTTTGCTTCCTAATCATCCAAGGTCTTTGAAACCCAAAGGAATGATTCTCAACTGAGGGGCTTTGGGGCTCAGTGATGGGCCAATGGAAAGACCCTCTGAGGCAGGAAGATGGCTCACCCCCTCAAATTATACCTGATATGCTCATGTAATTTTAAGGGATACCCCGTAGTGAATACTTTTAAAAATGAAAGTGTGAACAAGTTTCAAATCTAACCGCTTTGAAATTCACTTCCTCTTCCGGTTACATAGGATCAATATCCCAATTTCTGTTAGAAGGAAGTAGAGACCTAAGGAGCCAGACAGCAGTCCTGAGGGTGGACTGAACTTGAGCGTTCTCGTGAGCTCCTGTGAAAAGGACCCTCTCCCTTTCTTTCCCTCATCTGCTTCAGTGTCAGTGAACTTTTCCGACGTCTCTCTTCTGATGCTCTTCACTCTCACTTCCTCTTCCTCCCAGCCTTTATCACTAAGGCTCTAGCTTCACCTGTCTGTCCCCTTTTCCATATTCATTTCTTTGAAGAGCTTGTTTATTGTTACTTGTTCAACTCTCACCTCAAATTTAAAATGTCCAAAGCTAACATGGAGATCTGTCCCTTTCAGTAATAAATGATATATTTTGGTCTAAGCTCAGGAAATGTCTGTCCTTCCCAAACCCCTTGTGTCCCTGTGCTAGAATGAATGAATGAAACACCATCTCTGCATAAAGATTTCCAAAATCCATGAGCTTCTGTGAAAAGGACCCTCTGTAATTGTAAGGAACACCCTTCTTTTCCCGAGTCCCAGCCCCTTTTTTGCCTCTAAAACTACCTCTTTTGCTTTCCTGTTATCACCCCAAACTCAATGTGTCCAAAGTGGAAAACATCAGATTATCTTCCTGTGTAAATTATCTATTGTCATGTAAGAAACTACCTCCAAATTTAGCAACTTAAAACAACAAACACTTAACAACACAGTGTCTGAGGGTCAAGAATCCAAGAACAGCTTAGCTAAGTGGTTTTGGCTCCGAGTTGCAACCAAATTGTCAGCAGGGACATAGTCATCTGAAGGTTTGTTTACCTGGGGCTGGAACACCTGCTGTCAAGCTCATTCACATGGCTGTTGGCAGGAAGCCAATATCTCCTGAGCACTCCATAGGTGGGATTAGCTTCCAGGGTCCCTGCAAAGAGCATGCCCAGATACAAGTCACAACACTTAAGAACACCCAAGATATGATGTCCTTATCAGCTATTTCTGCTTCATTCATGTTCCTCCCAGTCCAGTTAAAATTTACTGATCAGAGGTCATTCTTATTAACAGTGTTGCTTAGTAAAACAGTCGATTCAACCTCTACCAGTCTCCAAGGAAGCAGAGCAAGTAAATTCACAGACAGATTCTCCTGCAGTAGGAAGAATCTGTTAACTCTACCTGCGCTAATCTTTTTTTTACCCCCCAGAGCCATCTCACTTTTCTTGGCCAACTGGAGTGCTACCTTCAAAAAGCATTTTTCAACAGTTCTAGCCACCTCTATGTGAATTCTTATGGCCCTGTGTTAATGTCCTACAGCTGCTATAACAAATCGTCATTAGTGGCATAAATGAACACAAATTTATTATCTAGAAGTCAGAAGTTCACAGTGGTTTCCACCGGGTTAAAATAAGTATGTCAGCAGGGCTGCATCCTTTATGGAGGCTTTAGGGGAGAATTCCCTTGCCTTTCCAGCTTCCAGAGGACACAGCATTTCTTGGCTTGGGGGCCCCTTCCTCCATCTTCCAAGTGAGCAACAAACATCTTCAAAAATCTTTCTGACTCTCTAGGCTCTGCTTCTGCTGTCACATCTCCTTCTTTCAGGAAAGACATGAATCTTTGGGAACTAGCAGGCAGACTGTGGCCACTCAAAGATGTTCATGTCCCAATCCCCGTAATATGTGAACATGTTACCTTACACAGCAAAGGGGTTTTTCAGATGTGATTAAGGATCTAAGATAGGGATCCAGTGTAATCACAAGAGACCTTATAAGAGAGGCAGGAATGCTGGATGGGAGAAGGAGCTGTGGCAATGGAAGCAGAGAGAGAGAAAGATGATGATGGAAGCAGAGGTCCGAGTGATGTGGCCACAAGCCAAGGAGGGTGGGCAACCTCTAGAAGCTGGAGAAAGAAACCAGATGCTCCCCTGGAGCCTCACAAGGAACACAGCCCTGCTATCACTGTGAGTTTAGCCCTGAAGGCCCATTTCAGTCTTCTGACCTCTGACCTCCAGAACATAAAAAGTGTGTGGTGTGTTAAGCCACTAAGTTTGTGATAACTTGTTATAGCGCGTAGGAAACTACTACAGCCCCCTTAGGACCATGCAGTTGGGCACTTTACACATCAGACGTTTCCTGAATCTTGTTTCCTTAACTGTAGCACTAGCCTCATGAAGACAGGAGCAACATCTTGGATTGCTTTCCTGTCCCTGCTGTGCTGGATGCATACCAGACACTCAAAGATTCCCTCACGAATAACCAGCCTTTTTAGCAGTAGCTGTATGCATTTATACACTCAGATAGGAATCACTACTAGAAGAAATTCTTCAGGATTAATAAAGTTTTCATTTTTCTGAGAGCCACAGGAGTTCATGCGCAAACCAGCCAGAATGGGGTAGAAAGAGAGTAGTCTCCTTAGAAAGCCTGTGGAAGTTGTTTTTGTTTATTTCATGGACTGTTTGCCTCTTCCTTACAGCCAGTGATGGGCACTCAGGACCCAAGGAGTACCTTGGAATGCTGGAATACAAGAGAGAAGACGAGGCCAAGCTCATTCAAAACCTCATTCTCGGTAGCGAAACCTGGAACTCTGCATACTCACTTTGTCTTTGAGAACTTGAACACCGGTCCTGGGGAGGAGGCGGTCCCTTCCCTCCGCTGCTTGACTCTCAGCCTCAGCACTGTCGGTCAGATAATTCACTGGCAGGGGACGCTGTGCCCTGCGGCATCCTCGGCTTCTACCCTCGAGAAGCCAGTAGCAATGCCTAGTCATGACAATGAAAGTCTCCAGACACTGCCCAGGGTCCCATGGGAGCCAGAAGTACCCCCAGTTTAGCAGCACTGCCCTGTCCTCCTCCTCCCCCCTCCTTCCCAGGGTCTGGAGGCAGGCCCAGCTCCTTGTCCCTCCTTCTCAGCATGGCACCATGGCAGGAGCAACCCGTTTGACCTCTACTGAGGAGTTTACTTGCAGGCAATACGATGGAGGCTCCCCAGCCACACCTCAGTTACAGGACTGTCCCAGTGTGTATCCTTAAGGGTTGGTGGTCTTAGAACCAGTCTTATACACTGTCTTCACCATGACAGCCACCTGGTTTTCTACAGGGAGGGAGACAAGGTGCCTTCCCAGCAGCTGCTCCCAACATCTCAGAGCAGAAAGCCAACATGTAACCTAACTTTCTTTTCTACCAATGGCCGCCCTCACAGCACATGAGCATCCTACCCTTTCTTTCCCACCTTCACTGGTACACAGCTGTGGGGCCTCTTCATTCCCTTGTCTTCTTGGAGCCATGGCAAGGTCTTTGCTTATCTTGATTTATCCTATAAAGTTTCTGTCTTCCCTTTACCCCTCTCTCTCCCTGCCATTCTTCTCTTCACGCCGAGGCCAGCGCGCCTCCTCTGCAGGATGTCGTGCACCTGTCTTCCCAACTTCAGGCAGGTGCATGCAGTCACCGGGATGGCATTCTGTCCTCATCACAGAGGCTGCAGTGGGGCATGTGTGGCACTGCAAATCTGAGATCCAGGGTCTCCACACCAGGAAGAAGTACAAATTCTATCTCTTATTCAGACTTTTAAAAAAGAGAAAGTACTTTGCAAATGAGAAGAGCAGTAGGTGGCACTTGTGTGTTTTTGACAAGAAAAGAGCCAGATTGAATCCCTCAAAGAGGAAAGACATCCCGCGCCTGCGGACGCAGCGCCAAGTGCAGAAGGCAAACAGCCCCGGCCTGCAGCCAGAGGCGCTCACCTCAAGGGCAGAGCTGACTGTCAGCTGGAATCCTCATCAACTCTTTCTGTTCCAGACCTGAAGCCCCGCGGAGTGGTGGTGAACATGATCCCAGGGCTGCCCGCTCACATCCTGTTCATGTGCGTCCGCTACACAGACTCTCTGAACGACGCCAACATGCTCAAGTCCCTCATGAACAGCACCATTAATGGCATCAAGCAGGTGGTCAAGGTAGGCACCGTGTCTGACATTGGCCCTTGATATTACGGTTCTTCAGGAACACCTTCACGAATGACCGGCTGCCCATATCTGCCCATCCCTAACCTCCGGTGTTGGTGAGCCCTGCAGTTCTTCAAAGCTGTCTGAGGCCCAGTCAGTGAAGGAAGCCAAGCTGTTAGGAAAAGCCAAGCTAGGTTAGGGGCTCCAAAGGCTAGGGACCAGCCCGAAGACCCCACAGCCTTTCCCAGGAGACTGCAGCCTGGCTGCAAAGTGACTCATCTCTTCCCTTTGTATTTAAATAATTCTTCTGTCTAAAACTGCATGATGTAATTTTATTTCCCATCCAGAAGAAAAGGGAGGAGTGAAATATAGATCCCTTATTTTTCATCCCCTTCCAAATGAGAAGCAGTGTTTGAGGTTGGAATATATTTGAATTTTTCAGTAGGGGAAGTCCTATCTCACTTTTAGTGAAATATATGTCCTAGTAGACTCATGACTAATTAAATCCTATTTTAAATACTCTAGAAAAAGAGAAGAATAAATGCATGAGAGGTCAGTGTATGGGTGATTTTTCCCTTTCCCCTCCCCCCCAAAATTTTTGTACCAAGAAGTCATTATTCACCACCAGTTGGGAGCATTTATTCTGTACTAGGTGCTTTATAGTCACTGTCTTAAGAGAGCCACCAGTGTCCTGGGAAGGAGCTTCCATAAATTGATGTTTTCTCTGTCTATATTTTCATAAATTGGGTTTCCTTATGACAAACTTGCATGGTGTCTGAGGCCATAGGCACAACATTTGCCCCATCTTGCCGCTCTGGAATGTTTAAATATTTAGAAACAGGAAGATGCATGGCGTGAATATAAATCCCTTCTCGCCAGCACCTTCCATCTCAGCTTCCCCAGTGTGGTCCTGCCCTCTGCCATTGTTGGTGCGCAGCACCTGTTCCTCCCCCTCCAGCGCACAGCGCACTCAAGCAGCCCTCACTCGGCCCGCACAGCCTAGTCGCTGCACCTCTTATCCCACGCCCTGACGCCACAGTGCTTAGCCTGGTGGTCTCCATCCCTGCTCTTTGCAATCTAGCTTCTCCCCCATCACTCCTCAGAAGATCACCAGCAATTCCTCTTGCTAAATCCAATGGTATTTCCTTAATTTTTATTACCGTTAAATGGACCAAAGCATGAGGACCATCTCTTTGAAACCCTCATCCCATGTCTTTCAAATCTGGGGATGTTCTGGTTTTCCTCTTACCTTTCTGATCACTGTACCTTAGTCGCTGCACCTCTTATCCCACGCCCTGACGCCACAGTGCTTAGCCTGGTGGTCTCCATCCCTGCTCTTTGCAATCTAGCTTCTCCCCCATCACTCCTCAGAAGATCACCAGCAATTCCTCTTGCTAAATCCAATGGTATTTCCTTAATTTTTATTACCGTTAAATGGACCAAAGCATGAGGACCATCTCTTTGAAACCCTCATCCCATGTCTTTCAAATCTGGGGATGTTCTGGTTTTCCTCTTACCTTTCTGATCACTGTACCTCTGCCTTCTTTGTTCGTCTCCTTCCTGCCCCCTGTGTGGGAGTGCTCCCCACAACAGACTCCCTGGTCCTGAGCTCCTGTCCTCCACCCCTTTCCTTCAGAGAGGACATCCTCCTGCTTCTCTCATGTTGTCTCAGCTGTCGTGGTTTTCCATCATCCCTCCATCCTCTGAGCTTTTTTAGCACAGTCTACGCCCATCCTGTGGCACCCAGCCACTCATTTAACTGTATCCTATGTATGTTATATCTGTCTTCCAAGTCAGAATGTGCACTTTGGAGAGCAGAGACCGAGACCAACATTTATGAGGCATTCCTGCAGGCCCTGACTCCAGCTTCGTAATAAGTGACATAACCTATGCAGAAATATTTGCAAATCATACCTGCTAAATAAATGTAATACAAACTTCACAAACTCCTTAGTGAATGAAAGAAGGGTTCCATTTGATCAACAGCCACCAGCTAACCAAACAGGCACCAAAATCACCAAATCCAACTTGGTGTTTTCTTGTTTTTTTTAAGGAACATTTAGAAGACTTCGAGATGCTGTCCTTTTGGCTTTCCAATACTTGTCATTTCCTCAACTGCCTGAAGCAGTACAGCGGAGAAGAGGTAGTGGGGGGTGCTTGCCTGCTCTGTGCTCTATGCTAACTGCCTGTGGGTACCCTCCTCATGAGCCAGAGCTCACCGGAGGGGTTAGGAATGTGCCCAGCTCCAGGGACAGCCTCTGCTCCAACTGGCTCTCTAGCTTCCTTTCCACCCAGGAGGCCAACTTCACGTACCTGGTTGGACAGAAGTCATAGACAAAAGACCTAGAAGTCTTAGACCTCGGTCATGGAGCCAGTCCTCAGTTCCCTTGAGTTTTAAATCAATGGGGTAGATTAGATGGTTTTTAAGTTTCCTTCTGTTTATAAAATTCTGAAGTTACCAGTATTATGACTCTCAAATACAGGGTTTCATCCAGCATGCCTGTTTCTTCACAGCTGTTCTCTCTATAAGATTCTGATTGTTCCTCCATAATCCGTAAATCCTTTGTCATTCTGACTCTGCTCCCCAGGGGCTAACATCCTGAAGCAGGTCTCCACCTTCAAGTACTCACAGAGCAAAATTCCATTAACCTAATAACAAAGTGGCCTTCTAGGGTTTTCTTTGCTCTCCAAAATGATTGTACCATTTCATAGTTCCATGACTGTGAAGTTTCCAGCATCTCCTACCTTTCACCAAAACTTGGTCTTGGCAGACATCTTATTCTTTACCAGTCTCATGGATATAAAACAACACCTTGTTGATTTAAATTGCAAATACTTGATCACTAGTGAAGTCAAGCATCATTTCACATGCTTACTGGTCATCTGGGTTTCCTTTTAAATTGCATACTGACGTGCATTCTTCATTTTTCTTAGAGGTGATTTTTATTCTTATTGACTTGTAAGTGGTGTTTATATATTATGGGCTTATCTTGTAATTTTCTTTATGTAGTCTTGTAATACACAATTTTTGAATTTTAATGTACTTAATCTATTAATCCTTTTTTTTTATGATACATGTTTTAGTGTCTTCAGATTCTTCCCTGCCCTAAGATTATGGACTGATTATCTTCCTTGCTTCTAAATGCCTGTAATTCAAACTGAGTGTTCACAGTTACATTTTAATCTATTCATGATTGATTCATGAATGGGCGTGGTTATTTATCTGTCCCAAGCTGATGTGTGAGGTAATGATCTATCTTCTTCTACATGGATAGTTCAGTTGTCCCAATGGAAGGAAAGTAAAAAAAATTCAAAAGTAATTCTACCAGTACTGTAGAACAAAAGGAGAAATAAGTAAATAAAATTCTACCTCTGGCTAAAAGTAATACAAAAATGAGGAGGAGGCCACAGACCAGTCCACTGGCATCTGTGAGACACTAATGAAAGAGGAGCATATCATTCAGCACCTTTTGTTTTCTGACCCTCCCTTTGTCCCCTTTCACCATGTATACAATATTCTTTTTCCTGAATATTTTTTCAGTTACTATATTTTTCTAAAATTTCAATGGTTCCTTTGCACCTCTGCCTCTTATCATAACATCTTGTCTTAATGTTTTTATTTATCTCTTTGAACATATTAAACATATTGTATTAGTCTGCTTCAGCTGCTATAGCAAAACACTGCAGACTGGTAGACTTAAATAACAGAAACTTATTTTTTCATAGTTCTGGGGGCCAGAAGTCTGAGATCTAGGGTGCCAGCCTGGTTGGGTCCTGATGCGAGCTCGCTTCCTGGCTTGTAGATGGCTGCCTTATTGCTACCTGGCCTTTCCTTAGTGCATGGGGTTAGGGGGAGAAGGTCCTCACATGGCCTTTCCTTGATGCATGGGGTTTGAAGGACAGATTGAACTTTATAGTGTCTCTTATTACAAAGGCACTAATCCTATGCAATCAGGACCCCACCCTTAGGACCTCCTTTTACCTTAATTACTTTCTTAGAGGCCCCATCTTCAAAGAGAGCTACATGGAGGTTAGGGCTTCAGGGTATATGAATTTTGGGAGGATACAAACATTCAGTCTATAACACACATTTTAAAATACTTCAGATTGCTCTATATTCTGCAATTACAAAAGCATGAAGCTTGTTGATTGCATCTACTAATCCCTTACAGAAGTTTGTCTCCTTGGTCGCTTTGCAGTTTTTTCAGTGAGCTTCTGTGGGAGTTGTCTGTTGTAGTCTGTGGGCTATGGGGGCACATGTCTGCAGGGGAGTCTGCAATGCAATGACAGTTACAGAAAATAAGCTCTATGTCAAACATGAATTCAGGTGATACTAATCAGACATTATATTTTGAAGTGTAGGATTTATAGTAGAAGTTGATTATAATGTTACTAGTAGAGAGAATATTTGAATGTCCTACATGTTTATATTATCCTAATGTTTATGTGCTCACGATTACTTACAGGAATTCATGAAGCATAATAGTCCACATCAGAATAAGAATTGCTTGAACAATTTTGACCTTTCAGAATACAGACAAATTCTTAGTGATGTGGCTATACGAATATATCATCAGTTCATTATCGTAATGGAAAATAACATTCAGCCAATAATCGGTAAGAAAAGAATTGATGGCCAAAAAATATTTATAGTAACATTGAGACCTTAAAAAGTAAATGTGGTATATGGAATGTGTGATTACAAAGAGTATAATTTTAAAACCAGGAAAATTTAGTTTAAATTTAGTATAAATGTCCACTTTTTAATTCTTTGATTGCTTGAAATGATTACACACATATAAGTACGTAGTTCGTAATTTTCTTTCTGTAAGGGTGATTTATCCTGAAGGGAAAATATTGGGAGAACCATTGCTACTTAGGTGACTGATCCTGGGTCTTAGCCAAGTATTTTTGAAATCTTAATGCCCCACTCAAATTCTTGTATACTTTCTTCAGTTTTCTGAAGTTTAAATATCTTAGGCTTTAAATGGTCCCAGACTGTGAATTATCATGCTAACCTGCTCTCTTCCCCATGAAGGTGAAACAAGAGATGCTCCAAGCCTAGTAGGGGAGCTGTTGGAAACAGCCATCCACCCCTTTCACCTCTACACCTGGTGCTCCCCAATCCTTGATTCCTCGCTTTCTCTGTCTTAACTCTTCCACTACTGACTCTTGTAGATGATGTCCCACCGCCTGAGACAGACACGTGAGAGCAGGGGAAAATGTTCTCTGGCTGTCCCCACTGTGTGTGCAAGAAAAGCTCCCATTTTTCTCTGTAGTGCCAGGCATGCTGGAGTATGAAAGCCTGCAAGGCATTTCTGGCCTGAAGCCCACAGGCTTCCGGAAGCGGTCATCTAGCATAGACGACACGGACACCTACACCATGACCTCTGTCCTGCAGCAGCTGAGCTATTTCTACAGCACCATGTGCCAGAACGGCCTGGACCCCGAGCTGGTGAGGCAAGCGGTGAAGCAGCTCTTCTTCTTGATCGGGGCCATCATGCTGAACAGCCTCTTCCTGCGCAAGGACATGTGCTCCTGCAGAAAAGGGATGCAAATCAGGTAAGAGCCAAAGGCCCCCCGCTACCCTGGAGAGGCTGGCTGGAAAGAATGCTCTTAAATTCTGGGGCCACACAGCCCTGCCCCGTCCCGCACGAGCTTAGTCCCCAGCCCCTGCTCCCACCCCATGCCCACTTGACACTCAGGCCAAGTGGCTTTAACTGGGAACTAATAATTATATATTTTAAATTCTGGCCCTCTGTGGTTATCATATACTTAACTAGTGTTTATTGACCACCACTGCTGGGAATGGCATACCGGCTGGACGCAACAAGACACAAAGGAAGGAGCGATTTAGGTCCTGTCCTCAAGAAGCTCAAAAAGAGCTAAACAGCCATTCAAGGCAACCACAATTAAGTCACAAGCAAGTGATGTGGGATATACTTCAGAGAGAGGAGATTACTGTGGACAGAAAAGCTACAGAAGCCTGAGAGCTGTGCACTGTGATTTTACAAGGGAGAAGAACATTGCAGGCAGGGGAAATGAGGCAGGTGAAGGCACAGCCGTGGGCCCAAGGGAGTACCCTCCTGGGGCTGGCAGGGAAAGCCCTGTCCCAGTAAAGCAGGGTCATTTCGGGGAGCAGGACCACGGCAGAGCTATAGCTTGGATCCGGACCGCGAAGGGAATCCGGTTTGCCATGTGCCAACTCCTTGTTATCTCTGAATTGAGGAAACACACACTCTGGAGCTACGGCCTGAATAAACATTCCCAGAGTACATAGTATGGGGCAGATATTTAAGATTTTTAAAAATATGTACAGGGTTTTGATACCTGTATGAGATATGAAAAGCTGGGGTCGGGCCGATGATAGTGATGCAAAGGAAGGTGTCAAAGGAAGGACCCTAAGCCAGGAAAACAATGTGAGGCACCCAGTACACCTCTCCAGCATCAGTAAAACTTCAAGTTGGCCATCTGCACAGAGCTGGCTGGCAAACTGCCATGACACCAGGTGGTCTGCAGGTAAGGGGGGCGTGCAGAAGGACTGGCCTTTGGGAGTCGTCTTCTCTCGTTTTGTTTATCACACAAGCTCTGAGCAGATGCTCTGTAGGCCTTGGAGGCAGGTTTAGCACTATTTAAAGTTGATCCATAAACCTAAATGTGCCACTAGAGCCTTTGCTAAACAAATCTCATTCCATCCGCGGGTCCCCAAGACTGAGTGAGGAAATGAGCAAGATGCATGGCTCTAGATAGGCAACATCTGTCCCCATAGGCATGCGGTACTGTTTCCTTTTACCAACTGAAAGTGGTCATCAGAGAAAGTAGTGCCTTCACCGTGCATCTCTCTGAGCGGCACGAGCATGCTAGAGGATTTGCTTGTCCGGATATTTATGAAGCTCCTGCCACGAGCAAAGCCCATAAGGATCAGACGTGGCTTTACAATGAAAACACAAGTAACAAAATAACAGAACATGAATACAAGTAGAAAATCAAGGCCACAGAAAAGAAAAATGAAACAGTGGACCAAGTACTTGAATGCTGGCCCTGGGCTTTCTGGCTGCCAGGACACAAAGTACAACAGCCTCCGTTCTCTGGACCCACTGGGTGTGGTGAGGCCGACCAGTTCCTGGGAAGATACAGAGATTTTCTTAACACCTAATTATTTTTGTGTTCCTAGTCATCAATCATAACAGCACTATTTCCTGTGGAACTTTATCTGCAGTCTGCACAAGAGCACGCCGACAGCAGGTCTCTCTGTGGCTGCTTTGCTGGGTGACATTTGATACAAGCCTGTGTAGACTTTTCAGATAGTTCAGTTAGGGAGCCAGAATAATGGGACCCAAGTACATACAGTGCTTGCCGGCCTGAGGGAATCTGGGAGGAATACAAAAAGCAGTGATCTGGGTCTTAAAAGACAGGGAGGGTTTCAGCAGACCGAGGATTAGAGGAACAGCACAGGCCTCAGTGAAGGAAAATAGATGGCAGAGAATGAATGGCTTCCTTTGAGTGGAGCCCCAGGAGGGAGGCGAGCATCCAGAAAGATCGTTAGAAGGAGAAAGTGGAAGGTGAGCTGAGAAATGTGGGCTTTATAGTCCTAAGAAAGGGCAGCCACTACAGACTTTTTTTTTCTTTTGCAGAGGGGTTTATGCTGTGAATTCAATTTCTTTAATAGTTGTAGGATTATTCAAGTTGCATATTTAATCTCAGATGAGTTTTGGTAGGTTTTGGTTTTCAAGGAATTGGTCCATTTTATCTAAGATGTTGTGTTTATGTGCATGGAGCTTTCATAATATTTCCTTACTTATTTTTTGAATTTCTGTAGGATTTGTAGAGATTTTCCATGCTGGCAGAGAATCTTCTGTTCCTGTGTTGGTGATCTGTGCCCTCTTTTTCTTGATCAGTCTCTCTAGAGGTTTATCAACTTTGCCACTTTTCACTCTTTTCAAAGAACCAGTTTTTGCTTTCATTGATTTTTCTCTATTTTTAAAAAATTTAATTGATTTCTTTTATTGTCTTTATTATTTCATGCCTTCTGCTTACTTTGGATTTATTTTGCTCTTTTTCTAGTTTCTTAAGATAGAAGATTTGATTATGGACTTTGAGGCCTTTCTTTTCTAACATAAGCATTTAATGCTCTGAGTGTCTCTCTAAGCACTACTTTATTACACAAATTTTGATATGTTGTATTTTCATTTTGTTCCTATTTTCTAATTTCCCTTGAGTCTTGCTCTTTGACCCAAGGATTATTTGGAAGTATGTTGTGTAATTTCCCAGTGTTTAGAGACTTTCTTGTTACTTTTCTGTTACTGATTTTTAGTTTAATTCTGTATGATCAAAGAACATACTTTGTCAGTCAAACTCTTAGAAACAGAAGGTAGAATAGTGGTTGCCTGGGGCTAAAAAGACAGGGAAAAGGGGAATTGTTCAATGGTTCAGCTTTGCAAGATAAAAACGTTCTGGGCATCTGTTGTACAACACGAGCGTATAGTTGACACGCCTGTATTGCACACTAAAGAATGGTGAAAATGGTAAATCTTACATTATATGTTTTCTACCACAATAAAAAAAAATCTCGAAGTGCATACAGGTTGAAATATACCATAAATTATGATACCAGAGTCACCAACCATCTCACTTAACCTGAGACTTCACCAGGCTTGTTTTTAAAATAAAAACTAAATATTTTTACCTTAAAAGAATAACAAACGTTGCATGATTTCAGTTCTTTTTAAATTTGTTAAGATTTGCTTTTATGACCCAGAATATGGTGGGGGTTTTGTGAATGTTCTACATGCAATTGAAAAGAGTGTGTATTCTGCTCTTGTTGGGTGGAATGTTCTATAAACATCAATTAGACTCTGTTTGTTGATGGCATTTTTCAGTTCTTCTATATTCTTGCTGATTTTCTATCTGTTAGTTCTGCTGATTACTGAGAGGAGTTCTGAAGTCTCCAGGGATAATTACGAATCTGTTTCCTCCTTTAATCTGTCAGGTTTTATTGCATGTATTTTGAGGCTCTGTGGTTAGGTGCACACACACTGAGAATTATTATGCCTTCTCGGTAAGCTGAGAGGCAGCATACATTTGGGTCTTGTATTTTTAATCAGGTCTGACAATCTATTCTTCTTAATTGGAGTGTTTAGACCATTTTAATTTAATGCAATTATTGATATATGTATAGGTATGTCTACCATTTTATTATTTTCTGTTTGTTCCTTAGAGTTTTTATTTCTCTAATTTCCTTTTTCTGCATTCCTTTGGGTTATTTGAACATTTCTTGGTACCCCTTTTTAATTTATCACTTGTGTTTTTACCATATATCGTTGTATCTTTTTTAGTGGTTGCTCCAGGAATTGCAGTAACATACTTAACTTTTTCAGTCTATTCAGAATCAGTATCTTACCACATCAAGAAGAATGTAAAAACCTTAACATCACATAGGCCTTTATATTCTCTCTAATTTATGTTGTATTTTTCTTATATATCTACATATATCAAAAACTCGGCCAAACAACATTATAATTTTTGTTTTAACCATTCACCATATTTGAAGAACCCAGAAGGAGAAGAATAGCCTATTACATTTACCCAGATATTTACCATTTCTGTTGCTCCTTCTTCATTCCTAATGCTCCAAGTCTCATTTTTACCCAAATCTCATTTTTATATAATTTCCTTTCTGCCTAAAGAAATCCTTTCAGTAGTCCTTTTAGGGATCTAGAAATCTGGGTTGACAGGTGTTTTTCACCACTTTAAAAATGTTTCACTTTTTCTGGCTTCCATGGTTCCTCATGCATGAGAAATGCATAATCACTTGAATTTTTGTTTCTCTACAATATGATGTGATTTACATCATACAAATTTACATACATATGATCCAATAAGATATGGTATGTCTGGGTGTGAATTTCTTTGCTTTAGTCTCAGATTCCCTGAGCTTTTTGAATCTATACGTCTGTGCATGTCACAAAATTTGGGACATTTTCAGCCATTTCTATGATTCATCTTTCTCAATGAATCATACTTTGTCCTTCTGGAACTTCAGTAACAGGAATGTTAGTCCTCTCATTATTGTTCCATGGGTCCCAAAAGTTCTGTTCTTTTTTTTTTTTCAGTTTTTTTCCTCTGTACTCTTTAAATTGGATATCTCTATTGATCTCTTCAAGTTCACTGAAGTTCTATCAGGGTCACTTCAGTTTCTTTCCTCTGTAACCTGTATTCTGCTGTTGAGCCCATTCAGTGAGTTCTTTTATTTCTGTTACTGTATTTTTCAGTTCTAAAATCTCCATTTGTTTTTCTTTGTATTTTCTATTTTTTTCTGAGACTTTACATGTTAAAATTTATTTCAGGACAGTTTGTCTTTACTTTTTGGAGCATTTTTATAATAGCTTCTTTTAAGTTTTTGTCAGATAATTCCAATGTCTATGTCATCTCAGAACTGACATCTATCAATTGTCTTGTTTAATGCCAATTGAGGTGTTCTCATTTCTTCATATGCCAAGTAATTTTGAATTGTCTCCTCAAAGCTTTTAACATTATACTATGAGACTCTGAGTCTTTGACTCTTACGGAGAATGTTGCTATTTCTATCGGAATGTTAATCAACCCACTTAAGTTCAGGTTGCAAGGTCTTTGTGGGCTGTGCGTCTCATGTCAGTTAAGTTTTCAAAGTCTTTGTAATACCATTTGGTTCCATCTTGTGTGGGACACACAGTGGCTGGCCTGAAACTTGGGTGGTCTCTATACCATAGTTCAGTTCTCAAAGTCTACATGTGCTGCTGAGAGTCAGAACCATGCATGGTCTCAGGGGTGTGCCCAGGAAGGAGTTCATGGACAACTGGAAAGGGTTGCTTTCCCAAGCCCCTCGTCTCCATAATACCCCTGGTACTTTTCAGATCCCTGGGGATCCTCTCTCTGGTCCCCCAGTCAGGAAACTAGGGCTTTACTTAACTCACTATGTGGCACGCTTTCTGCAAATGATCCCATCTGCATCAAGTAAATGGGCGTTCACCAGTCCTCTTGAACCGCAGCCCCTGCAGTCAGAGAAAGTCCCCCTCCTCAGAGTTCTGGGCTCCTGCTGACCCTGTTGCCACCGCCGCCGCCACCAGGGGCTTATTTGGGGCTTGAACATGAAAGAATGAAGAAAAGGAAAAGGAGAAGAAAGAAAAGCAGGGGATTTCCGCCCTCTCTCAGAGCATTAAGAAACCTCTTTTCAGCTCCTAGAGCCAGAACTGGAGGGCTCCTCCTGGAGCTTCATAGGCATCAGTGCTTACTGCTGAGCTCCAGTCTGCTCTGAGGTCAGGCCAGTGAGCAGCAGAGGGGCAAAACTGGTAAACTCACTGCTGATTTGCTGATACTTCAGGTTCTGGTCTTTCTTCCTAATCTACCTGCTACTATTTACTTTTCAAATAGCTGCTCCAGGCATTCCGTCCAGGCTTTCTGGCTGCATTTAGTGTGAGACACAAAGTGGAGTGTATTCTTACCAAGAACCAGAACTCTGCCACAAATTTTTGAGCTGGAGAATTCACATGCCCAAAACTCAGATTAAGAAAGGACCGTGGCAGGATTGAATAGGATTAGGATTCAATAGCCCACTAGGAATCTACTGTAATAAGAACTCAAACTAGGAACAGAATTGACAATGCAAAGATGGGGGGAGACAGTACAAGAGATGTTGATCTCATTACGTCCCTATGAAAAACATTACTTAGACATTATTGTGCTAATGTTATAAGCAAAGATAAGACTCCGTGGGGAGTTGGAAGCTAGTACTGACCTTAGAGATCACCTAGTTTTACACTCAATTTCTTAAGACAGCTTCACTGATACATAATTTTATAATGCCATAAAGTTTACCAATTTAAAATGAATAGTTCAATGGTTTTTGATATATTTGCAAAGTTTTGCACCCATGACCATAATGGAATTTTGGAACATTTCCATCACTTCAAAAAGAAACATTATAACCATTAGCAGCCACTCTTACCCCTATCCAGTCTCCTCTCCCTCAATCACGAATATATTTTCTTTCTCTATAGATTTGCCTTATTTTGGACATTTTTTATAAATGGAATCATAAAATATGTTGTCTTTTATGACTTGCTTCTGTCACTTAGTGTAATGTTTTCACAGTTCATCCATGTGGTAGCATGTGTCAGTACCTCATTCCTTTTTATTACTGACTAATATCTCATTGTATGGTTATACCATGATTTGTTTAGCCATCGTTTGGTGAACATTTGTGGGGTTTTTTTCATTTTGGAGCTATTATAAGTGTTGAACACATGTATACACTTTTTTGTGTGGACATGCTTTCCATTCTCTTGATGTATATCTAGAAGTGAAATTGCTGGGCCATATGGTAGTTCTATGCTTAACATTTAGAGTAACTGCCAAATTGTTTTCCTTAGCAACTGTACCATTTTATATTCCCACTGGCAATGTATGAGGGTTCTCAACTCTCTCATTTACCCTGGGAGGTTGAGTAACTTTCAAGCTTACATAAAACCCATGCCTATTGACTCATAAAATGATGACAATTAGTGACAGAAACAAGAAGAAAAACCCCAGTGGACTGAAAGAAAGCCTTCTACCAATTTAGGGAAAGAATTAAACAAGTCTTTATGCTAGTTAAGTCTTCTCTTCAAATTTCACTATAATTTTTTCTTTTAGTAGATTTTCAAATCTATTAGTAAATAACTTTATAAATTATCACAGTCACTGTTCTTTGCTCAGATTTTCCCCAAAATTTATGACTATAGACCCTCACCCCAAGCGTAGATCCTTAGAACCATGGATCATGAGAGCTGATCATCTGGTCCAACCCCCTCAAGTTACAAATGAAGGAACTGCTGGACTGTGGTCCTAAGCTCTCAGTGAACTCCGGTACCTTCTTGGTACCCACTGTGGGATTCAGCACCCTTCCCTAAAGTGTTCTAATGGACCACCCACTCTTCTCTGCTCCTCTGCCTTTTACTCCAGGTGCAACATCAGCTACTTAGAAGAATGGCTTAAAGAGAAGAATTTGCAAAATAGCTTGGCCAAGGAAACTTTGGAACCTCTCTCTCAGGCAGCCTGGTTGCTTCAGGTCAAGAAGACCACAGACAGTGATGCCAAGGAGATCTACGAGCGCTGTACCTCATTGTCTGCTGTGCAGGTGACCAGGCTTGCTCAGTGTTTCACTGATCTTCACCAACAGAATGTATAATTGGTGTCTCCTTTCCTAGCTTAGCCAGCCATGGGGTGCACCTGGGTCTCTGCTGCTCTTTGGGGAGCATATGTACCTTCCATGGCCCACCCTCTCGTTAATAAGCATTTATTAAATATGGACTCTAGGCCTTAAAACAGGAGTGCATATGACAAATTCCCTGCCCTTCTAAACTCACAGATGGCTATGTGTGTGTGAAGAGGCGGGTGATGGTGGGGGAAGGCAGGGAAGGAGGCTGGAAGTGGGGAATTCTCCTACAGCCCTCACATTATATGAATTGTCTTTGCTCCCCTCTATGTTCTTCTTACTTTGTTTTCTCTTTGCTTGGAAACAAATAACACATGGTTCCTAGAGCCAAATTACAGTATAAAAGAATTATATGCAGTTCCCAACAGTTCCAAAACCACCAGAACCGTTATTTCATGGACAGAGTTGTCCTTTTTCATGACCAAACACCGTCTTCTGTACTATTTGCAGATCGTAAAGATCCTTAATTCATATACACCTATAGATGACTTCGAAAAAAGAGTGACTCCATCCTTTGTTCGCAAAGTACAGGTGAGATTATTAAGGATGTGCTTTTCAAGTTTTAGATAAGAAATTGCTATTGAATTAATGTTATAGAAATCTGGATTAAAGTACATTCACCAAAATGCACAAAAGGTGCCCAGCAAAAGCAGCAGGAATTCTCCCCATCAAATTCCCTAGTTTTCAGAACCCATCTTAATCCTGGTGGGAAGGGAATGAAAACCCTCAAACTGTGCCTCGGTGCTGTGCTCTTTCAGTGCATCTGATTTTTTATCAGTCTTCAAGTACCAGGCAAGTGAGCCAAGGCTGGGTGGAAACAGAAACCTCTGTACCCATTTTTCTCATTTTAATTCCTAAAGTTTCTTCCCCAATGAACTGGGGCAGCAGTTCTCAAAGTTTGGTTCAAGGATACACATCTGTGTGAGGCAGATTTTTCTTCATATGCTTCAACCAAAAAAACCTATCACAGTAGGGTGAAAGCATAACAGATTCGAGATTCCACCTGTCAGACATTAAAAAGATTTACAAAAATATGAAACAATACCAATCCTCACTAATTTTTCTGTTTTCAGAAATATTCTTCAATAAAAATATGTTAATATGTATTGAATTTGTTCTTATTTTAATGAATTGACAAATATTTTAAATTACTGTTACAGTAATTTACTTACTGATACGGTAGTATCAATAGTTGCTCTTTGGCGGCCTCAATAATTTTAAGAATATAAAGGTGTTCTGAGACAAAAAAAAATGTCCAAACCACTGATCTAAAAAAAAAAAAAGATGAGTGTAATAAAAATGTAATACTTGAGATCTATTCATGTTTGAGCTTAGAATTATGCCATGAGAATAGATAAGAATGGAGAACAGAACGATATATAGTCAGTCTATTCCATGGGAAATTAACTTCTGAAAAGCCAGTTAGTATTCATGAGAGCTGGTCTAGAAGTCCTGATAGACCATTTCACCTTGGAATTGTGCTATTAAAAAGCTGTTTTGTGTGTTATCTCCTGTGATTGTGAAAGCAAGCAGTTTTTCACTGGAGATAAGAGTTGTTGTGTTTCCCTTACTCTTGACTTCCAGAACTCAGCAGTGCAGAATGCGCTGATTTCCTTACTCATTTTTCCTGTGATTCTAATTTCAGGCTCTCCTGAACACCCGAGAGGATTCATCACAGCTGATGCTGGATACCAAATACCTCTTTCAAGTCACATTTCCTTTTACCCCCTCTCCCCATGCTCTGGAAATGATCCAGATTCCCAGCAGTTTCAAGCTAGGCTTTCTCAATAGATTATAGCAGAAGAGAGAGTAAGTGCACTTTTCCCCCAAAAGCTAAATGAAGATCCAATATGGGAGATGTGGTTTATTAATTGGAATTGGAATTGCTCTAGAATGTGTTTGAAGGAAGAAAATAAGAATTCTCTCAAATAAGCCACATTTTTTCTTGCTCACGGTGATGGAGCGGCCTCTGTCTTTTTGTAAGAATTAACACATAGTGGGTGTGGTTGGAAAGACCATGCCTACCTCTGGAATCTCAGCTGGCTTTTACCAGCATTCTTGGAAGGCTCTTGATTTCTCCCAGGTGCCTCTTGTCTGTATCCATCTTGGGACCGGGCTCCACCCAGAGGAAGCCAGATCTGGGGACGCAGCATCTCTAAGTGTTCTAAGGTGCATCCGTGAAGCCACAAGTGGGCTCCAGGGCCGAGTCTTCTAGGAAATAATCACATTTGGCCACCATGGCCTGTCCAAAGTCCTCTCACCACAAGTCTGCTGGGTGGGCTGGGGCAGGGGGCTCACTGATGCTTCTTTTTACTAAAAATGCTCCTACACAGAAAACATTATTTCAGACCCCTTGAATTTTAAAAGAGTATTCACTCTGAAATGAATCATATGAAGTACTCTTATGATAAATCTATCTAAAACTAATATATCATTAATGCTGAATTGCTACACCATTTATCATCTCTTCAGAGAGACCATTTCTTTACATTTTATCTCCCAAATATTTGCTGTAATTTTTCATTAATATCTTTCATAAAATTACTTTTTAAAGAAATACTTAGTTTAAAAAGGCAACCTAAATGATTTCCTCTCTCTTATCAGTATTCAAATATGTTTTAAATTTTTCCCATAAAAATAACTGAAGAATTATGTCCATCCCTCCTTTCGAGAAATCTTCATTTCCCAAGTTTTATAGGAACTGTTTCTCATCCCTCAAACCTTTTCATTCCTTCCTTTCAGGACATGAGACATCATTTGTTAAGCAGTCCTAGCCTGTGGCCCCAGTGCCCTTCTGCCCACGCCAAGAATCCCAGCCAGACTTCTGTTTCCAACAGACTCATAGGCAATAGCAGTGATTCTGTAACATGGACATCTTTCTTAGGAGTAGAAATGATACATGATTATGAAATAATATCACCCTACTAAAATGTAACAGTGTTTTTTTATATTAGAAATAATTTAATTTTGTTCCTTCAGATACATGTGTATGAAGAAATGAAAAGTAGAACTTTGTAGTATTTTAATCAATAAAATTACCAAATGAACTGAGTCAGATTCCTTTAATTGCTAGACTGTATTTTCCTTAAGTGCACAAGTTTTATGCCTTTCTTTTAAGGGTCATACTTAAAGATGCTGGAATCTTTACAGATTCATAGTATCATAAGAAGTATATAAATTTTTTTAGTACATAAGAAGTAAATAAAAAGATATGTCCTAAGCCCTGGCTCAGGCTGTGTCACCATGGGCTCCCAACAGTGCCAGGATGAGGGGCTACTTGGCAGAGAGTTGGCTGGGTTCCTGATCCACATCCGTGGACTTCTCCATGTCCCTTCCAGACCCTCCCTACACTGCAGGGAGCCCGTCACCCTCAGGGTTCACAGCTGTTCTACAGCACTGACCCTGAGCTCTAAGCCACTAACATTACCCACTTCCTCTGCTGCCCCTTGAGCTTCTGGAGGGCGGGTCCATGTCTCACTCATCCCCACAGTCATCTTGATGCTGGGAAGATGGGAGAAAACCCCAGGTGCAAAGTCCCAGTGGGGGCGGCAGGATTTGGGGTGGGGGTGTTGGTCAGCCTTGGGAAGGAGTGGATCTTCTTTAGGGACCAGACAAGATTTGCAGAACTGATAAATTTACGCATGGAGAAGGGTGAAGAGACCGCCCACTCATCATCTTCATTGGTTCTGCAAAGCTGAAGATGGAGAGGGTGGCCACATGAATGAGGTGCTGGTGGAACAAGGACTGTGAAGAAGCAGGAGGTGCTGATAACAGTCATAGGTGGATGTAAAGATTGCTCAGTGGAGCCGGACATGGATTCACGGGGGTCAAACCTGCTGAACTCAGAGGCAGAGAAAGACGGAGAAGCTACTTAAGGGGTCCTGAGGGCACAGGGCAGGAGGGTGGGCACAAGGTGCAAGGGGTGAGTGAGTGACGCGGCGCGCAGTGTGAGCCCGGCTCTGCAGGGCGGAAGCCGCTGAGCTCTAACGCCCGGCTAAGGGGATCAGATGTGTCGCAGTTGCCCCGGCGCCTTAAAGCTGCAGCTCTAACTTCTTGCCTTCTTGCTGATCGATTCCAAGTGTTGACTCTATAGAAGGTATGTTTGTGTTCATTAAATTAGAATACTCCGGCTTTCTTAAATGCTTAGCAAAGCGTTCAGACGTACACATACCAAGGGGTTAACAGTGTCTCCCTGTGAGGTGGGAGCACAGGTGAGGGTGGTGATGGCTGTTCATCTGCTTGTTCTAAATTTTCTACAATTCACATGCATTTCTTTTGAAAGAATAAGATATTTTGTTTTTTAAATGTATTTAATCTTGGCATCAGGGAAAAAATTAAGCATCTTTAGAATCATTTAACCAGTTTTAAAAATTGATCAAGGTCAACAGAAAAGCCTCAGCGTGTGCCTTTATGGGATAGTAAAAGGTTGTTGACACTAAATATTAAATAGTCATAAGTCATGTGTATCAGTAGTTTATTCTTTTTTATTGCATGAACATTTCACAGTTTATCTAGTTTACTATTGGTGAGTTTTGGGTTTTTCCAGTTTGAGGCTCTTATGAACAAAGCTGCACCCTTATTCATGGTTTGTTTAGTTTTTTTTTTTTTGAGGATGTACATATCCATTTTTTGTGGAGTGTATGTCGAGTAGTGGAATTGCCAGCTCCCAGATTAGATGTATGTGTAACTTTAGCAGGTCCTATTAACCAGTTTTCCGAAGTGATTGTACCAATTTATGCTCCCATCAGTTCTGCACATCCTTGCCACACTGAAGATTGTCAGTCTTTTTAATTTTAGGTATTCTGGTGGTAGATAGTGATATTAGTGTGGTTTTAATGTGCATTTCTTTGGTAACTAATTGATTGTCAGTCTTTTTAATTTTAGGTATTCTGGTGGTAGATAGTGATATTAGTGTGGTTTTAATGTGCATTTCTTTGGTAACTAATTATGTTGAAAGTCTCCTCATATGTTTATTGACCATATTTGCATGTGTGAAGTGTCCAAGCCTTTTGCCCATTTAAAAAATAATGCTTCTTCAGATATAATGCACATAAAACTCACTATGTTAAAGCATACATTCCAGTGCGTTTAGTATACTCACAAGGATGTGAATTATCTAATTCCAAAGCATTTCCATTATTGCCCAGAAAAACTCCATACCCATTAAGCAGTTACTCCCAATTCCCCCCTCCACCCACCCACTAGCAAGCTCTAATCTACTTTGTCTTTATGGATTTGCCTATTCTGGATATTTCCTAAAAATAGAATCACAATTTTGTGGCCTTTTGTGTCTGGCATATTTCACTTAGCATAATATTGTCAAGGTTTGTCCATGCTGCAAGATATATCTGAACTTTATTCTTTTTTATTGCCAAATAACATTCTATTGTAGGGATATACAACATTTTGTTTATTCATCATTTGATGGACATTTGAGTTGTCTGCACTTTTTGGCTTCAGTGCTGCTACAAACATTCATGTACAAGTTTTCGTGTGAACATGTTTTCAATTGTCTTGAGTAAACACCTAGGAATGGATTTGATAGGTCATATGGTAACAACTCTGTTTAACTTTCTGAGTAACTGCCAAGGTGTTTTCCACAGCTGCTACATCGTTTTACATTCCCACCAGCAAAGTGTAAGGGTACTTTTTGCCCATTTGCCAATGAAGCATTATTTTAAAAGTAAAAACTGGATATCCAACAATAGAGGGTTGGTTTAATAAATCATGATATTTCATAGTATAGAATAATACTGGTTATTACCAAAAAAAACCCAAAAAAAACCAAGCAGATCTATAAGTACGAACAGAATAAATTACGTGAGAAAAGTAGTTAACAGCCCACTTGTATAAATGTCAAAGCTTTCTCTATGGTGTCACAACAGTCTAGAAGCATATGCACCAAACTAAGGGGAGTGACCGCAAAGCAGGTAATGGGGACTTTAACTTTTGACATTCTATATTTGCATTCACTCTTTTAAAAATAAATATGGGGTGGTGGGGTTTTTGGTAATACTTAAGTCATGTATTTAGATGAAACATTTCAAAAAAATTTTGTGCTTGGCATAGGTTAGGGGAATGTTTGAAAAGGTCTCTGAACTCCTTCTACTGCAGAGAACTTCATCTACACTTGTTAAAATGAGGCATTCATATCATTTTCTTGTCAAAATGTTCACTGGAGCAGTGGATCTAACTGAAAAGATCCCTTATTATAAAAAGTATTATTGACAGTCAATAGAATGTACTGAAATTAATTTTAGCTTATGATATAAATATCAAATGAAAACCATCAGGATATAAAAAAATAAACAGTGTACATGAACAGTGTGACCACCATGGCCCTAAAAATCTATTATTGCATATGGTAAAATGTGAGAAGGAGTCTTTCTGGGTAGTGGGATTACAGGGATTATTTTCTTCTTATGCCTTTTTGATTTTTCCAAACTTGTTACAATGGCCACATATAACATTTATGGTTTCAAAATACTATACCGTTCCAAATTTAGTTTTTAGCTTGTCCATGTTTAATCAGATCTAAAATGCTAGCTCTGTCATGTGCTGTAAAGCTGGTATGATTCAAAACATTTGGCTCCACTAAAAAATGATTTCTAAGAATATGCACTGACATGTGAAGACACTATTAAGCAAAAAACTAAGGTTTAAAACTGTATATGGAACATAATTCCATTGTTTAAAAAAGTATATGCATATATGCTTATGAAGAAACTAGAAGAAAACAAACATCTAACAGAGGTCAGTTATTTGTTAGCAGAGGGCATGTAAGCAATTAATTTTCCTTCTTTATGTCCTTCTGTTTCCCATTATTTGAAATAAAACTGCACAACTCCTCATTTGAAAAAAATCTTTTTAATTCATTCTGGGAAGGAAAGCAGTGTCTTTATCCAGATTTCAAATATTGGCCATTCTTTCTACTTTTTTCTTGATCTCCCACAACTCCTCCCCTTCGGTTCCTCCTGTCTTCCATTCAGAGCTTGTTTCCTATTCCCCAGAACAAGGTAAGTTGATCTTCCTGCTGTACATTCTCTCTCTGACCTACTTTTTGGAAGCACAAAAGCTGGAATAATCCGCTTACATGACATTGCGCCCTTGCTGAAAAGCCCAGGGCTCCCCGTCCTGCTGCTGTTACTTGGAGTTCTCAGCACGACCTGGTGACCAGTGGCTCTGGCAGGCTTGGGCAGCACATGGGGGCAGCATTACTTGGCCCCCACTGCAGGCCAGGCCTAGTGGGCAGACCCTTTCATGTTCTTGGACTCAAATTTTGTGACAAATCAGAGCAGCCTGATGGTGCTAGCTCCATGGTGTGGGTTGAGGAGTCCCCCTACATGCAAATTCAGGCTCCACTGCTGTCCTTGAACTTGTTAAATCCCTCAGCATTTCTGCAGCTGTTAACACAGATGTCCTGCCTCCCTCCCAGGGTGGCTGTGAGGTCAGGACCAAGCACTCTGTGGTGGTCTCTCACCCTTACGGGACTATCCTGTACTCCTTTGTTACTTACAGGTCTCAAAAACTATGCCAGCTGCCCCTTTGCTGTAGGAGTTCGGCCAATCCCCTAGTTCTCCATTCCCTCCCCAGCCCCAGGTGACCACTGCATGGTGCACATTCCCCCTCAGAGGTGTGCCCTCTGCCATCTGTCCCACAAATACATCCCTCTCAAATTTGGCTGTGTTGAAATGTTCAGACTAGTCCCCCAAGGTAACTTTATACTCAGGGTGTTATTTCTTTGAATCTTGACATGCCTGCTCTTTGGAACACCTGTCAAATTGGCACAGCTACGATGGCTGCTCCCAGCCATGCTCACATCTGTGTCCACCATCTCCAACAGTGGCACCATAACCCCTAGCCTCCCAAACAGAAACCTAGGAGGCTTTACACATCTCCACCGTGTCATCACATGTCACCAAGTCCAGCTCCTTTTTCTCCTTTGTGAGTATGGTCCACACCCAACCCACAGTGTTGCTGTAGTTCAGGCCTTCATCCTGTCGTGCTGACCTGTGACCACAGGCTCCCTTCTGCCGCATCTCCAGCCTCTCCTCCCCACCCCCTTCCCACTGGTGCTGCCCTCGCAGTCATAACTCCTATGGAGCACTCCTTACATTCCAGCCTTGAGCTAAGTGCTTTATGCTCTGTCTCTTGTAACTCCCCTGACAATACTGTGACAGTAGATTAAGATCCCCACTTGGGTGATTAGCAAACACAGATTCAGAGAGGTCAAATGCCTTGCCTAAGTAGTGGGGCCAGGATCCCATCAGCCAGAGCGAGCACCCTTAGCCACGGGCTTGGGTCTATCTGTTGACTTCTGGGTGCACGCCCAGACACCCTGGGTCGGTGGCTGTCAAATGTTTAATAAACGGGACGCATTCCTTACAGGAAACCAGCTCTACATTTCCTTGGCCTCATGGCACTCGCTGAGGTCAGGCTCCACCATTTCCTGACTCTCATCTTTATTCCCAAGTTTACCTTGGTTGAGAAATTTTTTTATTTAAGTTTTAAATTATAGTATCCATTATGACGTTTGCCATTATGAAGCCCCACAGGATTAATATTGTCCTGCAAAGATCAGTTGTATCCATACCTGCAACCTGCCAAAATAACCAGTTAAACCTAAGTTCAGGAACCCTATTGTCTGATACCTTCTTACTGATTAAATAAATAAGCTAGTGTTGACCCAACATGCTGTGATAAGTCAAAGGTTACAGATTAATTGCTTCACTTTATTCCACATGTAGAAGTCTGAGCAACTACCATAATAAAAGGAAGATGAGATTTTAAAAGCCTCTTTCTGTTGGCTTTTCTCACACACATCCATCATTTTCTGTCTCTTTTTCAGCTTCATCTTGGATAAAAGATGTGTGATCAGACGTTTCTAGTTAGTGTATTTGGCTCCTGTGACAAATGTTTCAAACAACGGCCTCTAAGACCAGTTTTCAAAAAATCTCAACAGCTCAGTTACTGTTCAACATGTGCAGAAATTGTAAGTATCAGTTTTTAAAAACTGAACTAGTCACTTCTTAAAACAATGTCTAATGGAAGGGTCTTGTGACAGATGAGGAACCATAGAATCCGTTTATACACACAAGCATTTTCAGCACAGGTAGGCTGAACAGGACAGCACAGCATGGCAGTTAGGGTGTGGACTCTGGTCTCTTAGCTCTTGGGTTCAAATCCTAGTTGTAGTCCTTGGTGGTGGTGTGCCAAAGGATCTCCCCTCTCACAGGAAGTCTGTTTTCCCATTCCTGTGAAACAGGAATCATATTGTTTATCTGTCCCATAGGGATTTATGAAAATCAAATGAGTTTATTTGACAATGTGTTTAAAACAATACTCAGTACAGGAAATGCTCAATGAATGTTTAGGCTGTTGTTATTTTTTAGGGCTAATGCTTTTTTTTTCTGTCTTCTACTAAGTCTGCTTGGCAAACAACCAAGCTAAAAAGGACTGGCAAATAAACAGCCTGAGAGGACTTTCCAAAGGCCCTGTGCCAGCTGTCCCTAGACATAGCTCTACTGAAGATTGACTCTGTAAGGCCTCAGTAGTGAGCAAAATTAAGTTCAAGGAAAAGTGCTCTTAGGCCTAAGGCTTCAGAGAGGGCTAGGGACTGAACACAAATCCTGACATTTTTCGAAGTACGCAAATTAATGTGAAGACGTGACTCAGCACGTCTTCAGACCTTCCAGAAAAAATACCCACAGCATGGCTGACACTCTAGAAATGAGTTGTCTCCAGGGATTTGCAAAGCTGTGCTCAGTAGCGCACACAGCCCCCACCTGCTCAGAAATGGCATAGCACCCTTCCCCAAAAGCCCGGAAGGAAACTCCCAATTATCAACACATTTACAAATTCAGGGATCAAAGACAGGAAAGGCGACGTTTACATTTTATCCAGCTGAAGATGCAAAGGTAGTGTTCATCCTCCTGGTCCCAGGGCAACCCCTGACAGTAATTACATTAAAAAAATTATTCTCACACAGCAATTTTCTGGTATATGGCCCAGCATGACACACAGCTTTGGTACAGCAGAGTAATCCTGACGTCACAGGATGCAGGCTGCTTCTACCTGCATCGTGCTGTGTTCTCAGCCTGGCTCTGCAAACTGTCCAACTGAGGGCGGTCAGTTCTTAAAATTAGCCTGCTTTCTGTTGGCCCTCCCCTCCTGGAGCCGTGCTATTTATTAATTTAGCTCTTCTGTGTTTTAAACCACTTCCTCTGTGAACAGAAGAGGCCAGAATCCCCATTGTCACGTCTTTGGTAGCATCACAGACGCTCCCCAGGCCAGAAGCCCTGACTGGAGATGTTCTCCAGGGATGTCACCAGCTGTCTCCAGCCCCAGCCCTCCAAATACTCCAGACAGCCTCTTTTGGCTGAAGAGACATCCAAATGACCAACAGCTAACTTTTATCCCAGTATTTGGGACTGTGTAGACACAGCCCCAGTGGACCCTTGTCATGAATAGAGGCAACCATGAAACTCAACCACTGTTGGGATGTAGCAGTCCTCAACCTTTCTGATCTCCAGCTTCTTTACTTAGAAGAAGGAGCTAAAACTAAAGTACATGAAGGCACTTTGCAAACTTCCCCAGCCATTAAAAAATTATGTGGCCTCAACTCTAGATGATAGACTCTCCAGGTTCAGGACGTTTGGGGTTTATTTTACATGGAGAACCTCCAGAAGAGGACACACACCAGTGTGAAGCTCCACTCACCCCAGATCTTCACGGGCAGGCAGACCCTGAGCGGGCACACATGTCCCACGATGGGCCAAGAGGTGCCAGCCTGAGGATGTGATGAAAAGATATTGTTTGGCCAAGCCGTTGAGATGATTCTTGTGGGAAGTGTCACGTGAATTACCCCGGTGTGTCAGGCTGCCTTAATAACCGCGAGCATATACTGTGCGTCCCCCACAGCTCTGAGTGCTCTGCACAGTCATTCCTGATGAGGACCTTAAGAAAGAGGTGTTGTATATTTACAAATGAGGAGCCTGAGACACAGAGAAGTTAAATAAATTACCCAAGGCCACACAGCACAGCCAGGATTTACCCCTAGGCAATCTCATGTAGATGGAGCCTGTGCTCTTAAAATTTTGCTCTACGAACCCTGAAACAGATGTAATATTTTTGCTTTCTAAATAGTGTATGTATCTAAAGCATTTATATTTATATTTATATACATATTTTTATATTTGTTTCATGTGTATTTTATATATTGTGTCATACATCAATTTGATAAACAACTGAACACCTACCATATACCAGTTACTATGCTAAATACTAAAGATAAATAATGAATACATTTATACTGATGGGGAGGGAGAAGGGTCCTGCAGTTAATAAGCATCTGCCATGATACAGAGTCTAAGAGGTTCGCTCTCATTACCTTATTTCTCATAACAGCCCTGTGAAGTAGATTTTCCAGATAACTGAGGAGTTCAGCATCTAACCTCCAAAACAAGCATGTATATAGATCAATACAGATTACTTCCACCTTTTCTTAGAGAGCTGCCAGGCCTGCAAGTAAAGGCTGGATTCCTCAGGGAGGGACAGTGCATCAACAGGTTGGGGAAGGCACCCAGGGTTCTGCTTGCGAATGCTCACGCCGCAGTCTGCAAAGCCTTTTGACCTGCCTCCCCATTCTGCACACACATACACTCAAGGTCATGGAGAGAGAAAAAGGGAGAAGCCACCGGGTGGGTCCTCCACCCTGAAGTCCAGAGGTATGAAGCCGAATGAGCCAAACTGCCTGGGTCCAAGTCCTGCCTTTGCCTCTCTCTGGGAGTGTGACAGAAGCAAATCACTGAATCTTCCAGTGGCTCAGTTTCCTCCTTCATAAAATGGGGATGATACTAGTGTCCAGTCATCATGTTAATAGCCATTTGAGTTATTAATGGAAAGCACTTGGAACTGTGCCTGGCACTGCAGTGGACTGTTGGGAAGGGCTGATGCGCCTGCCCTAAAGCCGTTAAAAGCAAGTCCTGCAGAGCTGCAGCAACCTTTCATTCTCAGGTGCAGGTAGATGTCCAGAAAGTGACACACAGCAGAGATCGCTGGGCGTAGGCCCAGAAGCCCCGGTCTGGGCCCCTATGTGCCCCGCCTCCCAGCCCTGCTGTCGCCTCCTTTTGCCGCCCCCAGGCCAAGGACTTAATTTCGGAGAGAAGAAAAGAAAAGCAAGACCAACAGCAGGCTTTCTAATGCCACAAAGAACTAAGAGGTTCTCACGCTCCATTAGTAGTTTTATTTTTGTAAAGTTAAGCCAACAGACGAGGAAAGTTTCCGCCTCTTGCGGGGAGGAGCAGGGATTAGGCCGTACATGGGTGGCGCAGGCCGGGCCCTCTCCTCTTTGCAGGTAGAAGCCCCTGGGCAGCGTTTCAAGCTCCAGGGAGGGGAGACCTGTGCGGGGGAGGCGGCGGGAAGGACTGTGTCCTTGGACGCCTCCTGGGGTGGGATCCAGTCTGGTCTGTCGCTAAGTGTGCGTCCTCCGTTGAGCCACGTCCCAACTCCAGCCTCGATTTTCCCACTGGTCAAGTGGGCACAGGGCTCCGGCCTCCCCAGGGCGGTGTACGCAGCCGCGCAGCGCGGGAGTCGCCCGGGGCCAGGGCGCGCGCGGCGGGGGGAGGGGGAGGCGGCGGCCGCAGCCCGGCCCGCAGCTCCCGCGTCAGCGCCGGAGGGCGGGGCCGCGCTCGGGGGAGACCGCGGTGGAGCTGCGCCCGTGGCCGCTGGGCGCCCGCTCGCCCGCCGGCCCCCGCCGCCGCCGCCGCCGCTCACCCGCATCTCCGCTCCCCGCTTCCCTCCCCGCCGCGTCCCCGCGCGAAGATGGCAACCGACGCGCTGCACGAGAAGGAGACGCTGGCGTCGCTGAAGAGCGAGGCCGAGAGCCTCAAGGGCAAACTGGAGGAGGAGCGGGCCAAGCTGCACGACGTGGAGCGTGAGTGCGGGCCGGGGCGGGGGCTGCGCGCCGGGAGGCGGCCCGAGGGAGCGAGACGGGCGCCCGGCTCGCGGGAGAGGGGGCGGCCTGGGCCCGGGTGGCGGGCGCCGGGTGGGGTCCCAGCCAAGGGCCGCGGTGCCAGATCCCTCCGTCACCTGCCGGCAAGATGCAAACTGAGCGCAGCCCTGCCCTCCCCAAGCGGAGCGCGGTGGCGGGGGCCGTGGTGGCAACGGAGGGAGCCCGTGTGGGCGCGGCCTGGGATATACTCCCGTTTTGTTCCTGAATCATTTGGCCTTCTCCACGTTGTGTCTTTTATCGGTTTTGCTTTTACAAGGAACCAGATCAGATTTAAAAGCTTATTTTTACAATTGTCCCCTTACTTGGGGGCGTAGAGCTGGGTGGGGGAAGGGAAGCAGAGGCGCTTACCCAATCTATCCATTTAGTTCATTTAAGGTTGTTAAAGAAGCTTTCGGATGGATGCAGTGTGCTTGGCAGCAAAGAACACTAACAATCTTAAATAAACGTTATGTTATTGGCCGCTGCCATTATTCAGAACCGGCTTTGTGATTTTTATGAGTGAGCAGGTAAACCGCCGGGTTGAAGGACTCTTGGCGGGGTCAATTTCCCTTTACTCGGTCAGATGGCTTATCCCCGGCAGCGCTTGGGCTTGGGGGAGGCTTGGGGGAGCGGCCTTAGCTGCGTACTTTTCAGCTGTGAGGGTGGCAGCTGCCTTTGCTGATCATGGCCTCCCCCTGGTGTCCTCCCACCTAGGCACTGTGCTCCTGCATTTCTGATTTGGTGCCACCCCCTTTAAATTCTGTTTGGAAAAGAAAAATAGGGTTCATGCTAGGTCCTTTAGCACGTGATTCTTTGAAAAATCACTTGATAGAGGCAGATAATCTGAATCTGCAGTGTGCTGTGCTTTTGTAGGGACCTCCTTTACATAGCAAGCAGGCTAAGCCCCTATATCATTCACAAATATGTCCGGTTACAATTATTACCTATAAACCCCAAATAAAGTAGTTAAGCAAATTAGGAGTTATTTTTCTTACACAATAAAAACAAGGATAGGTCACCACCAACTTTATTTAGATCAGCTGTCCATTGTGCCATTGCGGGTACCCCCATGATTATAATGTGATTACCACAGCTCCAAACATCAACCTCTGTATCCAGGGTAGGAAAAGGGGGGACTGTGGGCACAAGTCTGTTTTTCTTTATCACGAAAGCAAAAGTTTTTCCCAATAACTTCTTTCTCCCCAACAGATTTCTGTTTACACTTCATTGGCCAGAAGTAGGTCACATGGCTATTGGGAAGGCTGGGAAAGGGAGAACTGAGCTGGGCACATTGACCCCAAATAAAGTTGGGTTGTTTTACCAGGGGAGAAGTAAGGCCTGGATACTGGGGGCAAGGACAGGGTCAGCCCCATTTCCCTTTGCAAATGCCTGTACCCTGCAGATGATCATGACAATGCTGTAAGTGTGGTTTAATGCCTCAGGGCGGGCCATCTGATTTCTTCATTTTACATAAGGAAACGGAGGCAGGGCTTAGCTCCTAAGTGGTGGCCATCGGCCGGGGCGGCCGTCAGACCTCCAGCCTAGCCTCAGTTCGGTTTTTTGGGTTTTTTGTTTGCTGAACCCCTTTGTACTCTCTGCAAGAGGGGGTTCTGTAGAAATTTTCTTACACAACGGTGCAGACTGTCCACTGTGATATTTTCAGCCTTTTCTGAAATTTGTAAATTGCCTTAAGGCAGAGAGATAGTCAAGATGCGGTTTTCAGCAAGGAACCCCTGTCCTGCCAAGGCTGCAGTGCCCTCAGAGGCCACAGTGGAAGGATCTATCCCCACCTGTGTATAAGTCAGAATCTTTGAGTTGTGGTCATGTTCCCTTTATTTCCTCTGCAGCTTCTACACCGCTGCTCCTCCACTCCCACATAAAACGCTTGCCTATTTGAGGCGCCTATCAGTCAGCTGACCTCCTTCTTCCCCTCCTCCCTGCCGCTGTCCTCTGACCTCCCAGCCAGGATCCCTCATTTCTTAAGGACTTTGGCGCATGGCTTGAGCCTTGCTTTTTACCCTAAACCCTGCCCCATCCCTGGTGTCTTCAGGGTCCCTGAGGGTGACCCTCCTAACACGCTGGCGCCTCACTCCGTCTCAGCCCCCTGGGGTCTTGTTAGCACTCGAACTGCTCTTCTTCCTCTGACCACAGTCTCCCGCGGAGATCTTCACCGTCTCAGATCAGTGGGCTCTTCTCTCTGCCGGTCTCTCAGCCCCTTCCCGAGCTTACACGGCTTTGCATTTGGTGTTATACAGATGGCCCTGTAGCCCCTACCCTATTCAGGGAGACCTCTCTAGGCCATAAACCAAGGTGACTGAGTCATCCAAGTTTGCCTGAAACTCTCGTTTTTAAAATGGAAGGTCCTATATTCTGGGAAATCCTCCATTCCTGGGGAAACTGGGACGACTGGGACGACTGCTCAGCCTTCTATTACCTCTGACTTGCCCAAATTTTGTCTTTAAGAAGTTAATACAACAAAACTGTAGAACATAAATTTGGAGGAAAAGTGAACTTTACCCATCTCCAGACCTTGATTTTTTTTCTGCTCTTGTCCCTTTGGCCCTCAGACCAGTGACCATTCTGTTAGGCTCTCATCCCCAAGTTAGACCCTTGGCCAACATTAAATGTAAGAAGTGGCTTATATGGGTGACCTGTATGAGCCTGCATCGAACTCCACAGCCCCAGGCCCTGTGCCCCTTTTCCCCTTACTCCTCCAGAGCTTCCTACTTACTGCCTTCTCCTTACCTTCTACCATAGGTGAATGCCCCCTCACTGGATTCTCAGGCATTAGGAATATGGCTTGTGAAAGTTGTTGATTGCTGTTGTACAGATTTCCACAAACATGGTGGCTGAAAGCAACATAGAGTTTATTCTTTTACAGCTCTGGAGGTCAGAAGTCTAAAATGGGTCAGCAGGACTCCATTCCTTCTGGAGACTTTAGTGGGGAGTTAAATCTTTGCCTCTTCCAGCTTCTAGAGGCTGCCTGCATTCCTTGGCTTGTGGCCCCATGTCACACCAACCTCGTTCCTGTCATCACAACTCCATCTTTGGCCCTTGTGATTACATTGAGCTCCCCTGAATAACCCAGGATCATCTTCCCGTCTCATGATCCTTAACCTGATCACATCTGCAAGGCCCTCTTGCCATGTCAGCTGACATAGTCACAGGTTCTGGGGATCAGCACATGGTCATCTTTGGAGGACCTATCACACAGCTCTTAAAACTAGAGGAGTCATCTGCTTCATTCTTAGTCTTCAGGTACAAAAAGTTGTCTTCTCCCAACAACCCATCCTCTTATGGATGAGGAAGCAGCTAAGATCCAGGGAAGGGTTAAAGGATTCTCTGAGGTTCTGCAGCTACTCTAGAGAGAATGGAGAGCAGATACCAGGATTCAGGCTCCTAGTATAGCGCTCCTTCTTGCCATACTGGACCATGTCTCAGAAAGTTGAGATCTACATTTAAAAGGGGGGAAAAAAGGTAAATTCATGTGTATGTATGAAAAGGTGTCAATATTAAGTGAGGAAAAAAAAAGCAAGGTGCCAAAGAGTGTGTATAATATGATCTTACTAACTTCAGAAGAAATACTTGTATATGCATTAAATCTGTGGCAGGATACTACATGCTTATAGAAGTGAGTTTCCATACAGAGTCATCTTCCACATGCACCTACAACCATTGAGGGAGCAGAAAGAAATCTGCATTTCATTTCCTCTCCCCTTCCTTTTGCTCTTCATTGATAATTATACGAGATAGCTAATGCAAAGGTGTCTAGAATACTGTCATAGTGAACTAATGCCCACTGTTAGCAAATTTAGAAATATAGACAAAAATAAGTCATCCATAACCCCACCACCTACAGAAAGCCACATTTAATATTTTTATGCATTTCCTAACTTATATTTCTATATGTGTCCATTTTTTTTTTTGAGAGGGCATCTCTCATATTTATTGATCAAATGGTTGTTAACAACAATAAAATTCTGTATAGGGGACTCAGTGTACAATCATTAATCAACCCCAAGCCTAATTCTCAACAGTCTCCAATCTTCTGAAGCATAATGAACAAGTTCTTACATGGTGAACAAATTCTTACATAGTGAATAAGTTCTTACATGGTGAACAGTACAAGGGCAGTCATCACAGAAACTTTCAGTTTTGATCACGCATTATGAACTATATCAAATATGGATATTCCTTTGATTTTTATACTTGATTTATATGTGAATCCCACATTTCTCCCTTATTATTATTATTATTATTTTTTTTTTAAATAAAATGCCGAAGTGGTAGGTAGATGCAAAGATAAAGGTAGAAAACATAGTTTAGTGCTGTAAGAGGGCAAATGTAGATGATCAGGTGTTTCCCTATAGACTAAGTATTAATCCAAGCTAGACAAGGGCAACAAAACATCCATGGATACGGAAGATTTCTCTCAAAATGGGGGTGGGGGTGAGGTTCTAAGCCTCACCTCTGTTGATCCCCAATTTCTCACCTGATGGCCCCCCTGCGACTGTGCCTATCTTAGGTTGTTCCTTCCTTGAGGAATCTTACCCGTCTCTGGCTAACCAGTCATCTTCCCAGGCCATACAGGGAGATGTAAAGTTGGTAAGTGAGAGAGAAGCCATATTGTTTGAAAAGGTTAGCTTCTTACTTCTTTGCAGATTTATGCCCTGTGGCTTCTATGCCCAGCATTTGTCTTGAGGTATCTTTACCACTTGGAGGAATTACGATACTCGGTAAATTCGATATGAGGCACAAATTCTATTTAAGGGTTGTAATTAGGAAGGAAGAAGAAAAGCTATAGAGGTAGCAGACGGAAGAAAACATGGGAGGATTAATTATTTCTTTGACATATCTTCTTGTAGAGTAACTTAAGCATGTATAGGTTTTGAACTACTAACTAAATTGCGCACACCTATTAACATAATAGGAATACAGTTACA